TCTCCGTGGCCTCCTCTGGCCTCTCTCCAGCAGCTCCACGTGCTCCCTGTGCTGTTCCCCAGGGCTGGGGCGGCTCTGCAGGGGGATGTCACCTGAGGGGGCAGAGGTGATGCCATCACCAGTTGTCCCCTCCCTCTCTCCCTTCTCTCTGGTGCCTTAGCTGCCCGTTTTCCACATCCTGCTCCGTGTCTGTCCGTGCAGACACCACGGGATGTGCTCGGCTGCACCATCTGCATCCTCACGCCCGGGCGGGTTTTTGGCCTCCTCGGTGGTTAACAGAAATAGGTTTTAATTAAAAGCTCATTATCGAGTTGTCGTGTAGCATTAGTAAATAAAAATAACTTTTACAGCCCTGCCTTGTGACTCAGTAAGTGGCAATTGAAAGTATTTGACATCACTTTATTTAAAAAAAAAAAATGGACGGATATTGCATATTTGATTCCCTGTTTGCTCCAAATGGGCTTTAAATCTGAATAAATGGTTGTCTCTGGCACTCTGGTTATCATTCAGGTCCAGAAGGAGAAATAAATGTGGTCTGCAGTCCCAAAATCATCTCCATTTGAGTTGTAAACTGTTGTGGGTGGGTGGTTTGGTCATCTCCTGAGGGGGGTTTGGAACAGCTACAGCCTATCCATTCCCTCATTCTCGGGGGGGTTGAGGGATGCTCTGCTCAGCCTTCTGCCATCTCCATCCCTGGCTCAGTGAAGAGGTGTCTCATCCTCTTGTTAAAACTTGATTCTAAATGGGAATAACATCACTCAGTGCCAGCTGAGCACTTTTTTCCTGGGGCTTGGTCCCCTTTTCCCAGTGGTCCTTTCCCAGGTCCTTTCCCCTTTCTCAGGCTGTGGTGTCACCACAGCAGGGGCTCTGCACTCTCTCCTCCTCCCTAGCACAGAACTAACAATAAAATGATCTGCAAAGCCATTTTCTGCATTATTTAAGGATAAATTGGTGCAGTAAAATACTCTATAGCAGTGAGTCACTTCTGCAAGGTCATGCACTACCCTGGTCTTGTGTGGGGGTGTGGACGGGCCGCTGTGCTGGGTTTCCCTGGGAAGCAGCATTCCCAGGCTGAGCTGGTGAGCCTGCCTTCGTGTCCCCTTGTTCCGAAGCCTGATTCCAGGGACAGCTGAAGCTCCAGTGGTTTGTGTTTGTGATGTTGAGGAGGTGACATTTTCATCTGCCACCCCTGGACAGAGCCAGGTTCTGTCCCCTGGAGTTTGGGCACCTCCCAAGGAGAGTTTCTTGTGTGAGGAACCTCAATACCAAATGGTTAAACCCATCCCTTTGCTTTCCCCTTTTCCACACAGCTGGTGCAAATCCAATTTGACATCCTTGGTGGAAAAACATCAGCCTGACAGTGTTTTGGGAATGGTGACCTCCTGCTCAACCCTCTCTGTGCAGAGGGGTTGCACCCTCTTGTTCCTTGCTGCCCATTTTTAAGAGTCGTGGAATATCCTGAGTGAAAAGGGACCCCAAAGGACCATCCAGGGCAACTCCTGGCCCTGCACAGACACCCCAAAATCCCACCCTGTCCTTGAGAGCGTTGTCCAAACCCTCCTGCAGCTCTGGCAGCCTTGGGGCTGTGCCCACTGCCCTGGGGAGCCTGTTCAGTGCCAACCACCCTCTGGGGGAAGAACCTTGCCCTGAGATCCAACCTGAGCCTGCCCTGACACAGCTCCAGCCATTCCCTTGCTTTCCTTCCCTCCTTGTCACCCCGTGACAAGGGGATCAAACAACCCTCCCGCTCATTTTTGGAGCTGCTCTATTGACTCGTGAGCTGAGGAGCACTTGTGAAACTTGACAGGGAGGTTGTGCTCCCAGATAAATCTCCCAGTTGCCTGCGAGTTTGGGAATGACTCCTGGTGCAGGTTAATAAATAATGCAAACCCCGTTAATAGATGCCAAATGCGCCGTCTCTGCTGGAGAAAAAGATGATGCCAATAACCTGGCCTGGAAATACTCTGTTCTAGCCACTGGCTGCAGAGTTTTAAGTGTTTAGTGCCGTTAATTTAAAATGCTTCGCTGATAGATTGTAACCGCTCTGTGCTTAGTAAAGCACATAAATTCCAGCTCCGTGGAATAACAGCCTGTTTATGAAGCACCTCGGCCCCTGAATCCATCCAACCACTTCCGTGCTGTGATCCTGCCGATGGCAGAAGGAGCTGCAAATGCCAGGGGTGGTGCCTGCAGGGTGCTGGAACGGCACATCCTGAGGGTCACAGCGAGCTGATCGTGATGGAGCTTTTTATTGGGAGATTGAGCTTTATAGCACCGTGCCACCCGCTCTGGCATATGGCTGAGAGGGGGGTGTTTTTCTTCTGCTCTGAGCTTCTTAGTTATGTTTTCAGGAGCTCATAATGGCTTGTAAAATCATCCTTGTGCTTCAGGTGTCACTTTAGTGCCGCCTGGGGAACGGTGTGACAGGCAGAGGGCAGGATGGGAACTGCCAGCCCATCCTGGGCAGCAGCTCTATCTGTCCCCTCATGCCTAGGGGGAGTTTTCTGGGGGATTTTACAACCAGAAGATGTGGCAGTTAATGATACAAAGCCTGTAAAATAGGGGTGAGGAGGGCTGGGGTCCCGAATGTCTGCGAGGCAGGTGGAGTTCAGCTGTCGGAGGATGCCACTTGAATGCAGATCGTTACTTTAAGTACCGAGGTGTGGAGGGGAATCGTGCCTGTTGGAAGAAAGGTTTCTGCTGTTCATTGATATATTTAATGAAGGTAATTCAGCACAGTTGGGGAGGATCTGTGCAGTGTTATGGTTGGGGACTGGAGCATTGTACAGGAATGTTAAATATATATTTCTGTCATCACATAAATGTGCGGTGATAAAGCGCTGGTGTAAAATGCAGCAGCAGAAGCCATCACTTAAAATACAGCCCCTTAAAGAGGGCTTGTAAAGTAGAGAAAGTGATTTTTTACACAGGCAGACAATGATAGGACAGGGGGGAATGGTTTTAAACTAAAAGAGGAGAGATTTAGGTTGGGGTTTAGGAAGAAATTCAGCCATGAGGCCCTGGCACAGGTTGCCCAGAGAAGCTGTGGCTGCCCCATCCCTGGAAGTGTCCAAGGCCAGGTTGGATGGGGCTTGGAGCAACCTGGGATAGTGGGAGGTGTCCCTGCCCATGACAGGGGGTGGGACTGGATGGTCTTTGAAGTCCCTCCCAACCCAAACCATTCCATGATTCCCATCACCAAGTTAAAATTGCACTCAAAGCTCCTGCTTTAACCCTTGCTGCTGGTCCTAGAAATAAACTGGTGCTTTGCTTTTGGGGAGGAAACCTTTGAGTTGTGCCAGCTGGTGAGCAAGGTTTGGGTGCCTGGGGTGGTTCAGTGAGGAGCCACAGCCAGTGGAAATCCCAGTCCCATCAACACACCAATCCTGTGGGATGTGGAGCAATGTGTGGGGAGGCAAGGCTGTGGTCCTGGGGACGTTTGGTGCAGGCACCGAGCTCTGCGCTGAGGCAACGGGCTGAAATACGGTCTCAGAGAAGGAAAAACAGCCAATAACGCTTTATGCAAAGCAGTTTAGTGAAGAAATAGCCTTTTGCTGGCAGCCTGCTTTTATGTGCCTGCAAAAACGCTACCAAATAGCTGTTTTAATGTGTCTCACTCTGTTTTGTCTGAAACCCTCGAATTAACCTCCCTCTTAAAACCACAGGCAGGGGAAGATCTTCGCAGTCTGAGCCATCCTGTGCCGAGCTGGAGCCCATCCCGGGGGCTGGAGGGTGGCGAGAGGTGTGAAATCAGAGGGTTATAATTCCAGCTCCGCCAAACTCTCTCCTCCCGGAGTTTTTGACCTCGAGGTGTTGACGGCGCTCGATCTGAGCAGTCCGGGGGAGGTGTTTGTTCGGGAGGGCAGGCGTCGGCTCCCTTCTATTCCCGGCCCGTCAGCCCGTCTGTGGCTGTGGGAAGGGACAGAACAGCGCCAGAGCCGTTCGCTGCAAGCCGGCAGCATGGCAATGAGCTCGGGCCGTGCCCACAAGGCGGCACTGGGGGACAGCGGCGGCGGCCCCGGCGCTGATATCGATGCGTGCGGGTGGCACCCGCGCTGAGTCGCAGCGACGGGAGGATGTGCCGAGATCCTTCGCCCAAGGGCCTCGGAGTAATGGCCATATGTCTCGGCCCAGCGATCGTTTCCACCCTGCAGATGGAAGAGCAAAGTGGCTTTGGCATATTAGATTCATCTGCTTTATGTCCCCCTTCACCTTCCTGCCTCCCGACGCCTTCTGTTTTTATGAGCCAACTTCGGCGGCAGCGCGGGTGCAGCTGCAGGATCGCTCGCAGGACACGGTCCCTGAGCAGGGCCAATTTTCTCTGCTCCTGAGCCACTTTTGTCACCAGCATTTTCAGCAGAAAATGCAGTTTGACTCTATCAAAATATGCTGCGGGAGAACCGCTGACTTCAGTGGTAATTATGGGTTTTTTGAGCTCTTTTTCCATCTTATCCGTGCAGGGTCGGTGGCTCTGCGCACACTCCCTGCCTGGATTGGGTCACTGCTGGTTTTTGGGAGTGCATTCCACCCTTCTCTGAGCCCCTGTTGCTGATGGGGCCATAGAGAGAGACATTAAAGCCACCAAGGGGCAGTTAAAAGGGGTTTTTATTTCCTACTGGGGACAGGCTGCTCCTACCAGGAACCTAAACATGTCAGGAACCTAAAGCTTAGCTCAACAGGAGCCTAAATGCACCCTTAGGTCCTCTGCTGAGTGTTAGTGGGTCACCAGAGGAGCAACCAGGGGCTTTACAGTGTCTTTTTTGGGGGGAAAGTGAGGAAATCACATCTCAGATTTCCTACTGAGGGAGGAGCTGCAGATCTGCAGATGAGATCAGATGGAAGGATGTACAGTGTGTTTTATTAGGATGTTTTCGTGTCTGTGCCAAGTGCCTTCTCCACGCTCTCAAAGACCTTGTGAAGTGAAAAGGGTGCATTTGGTGGAGCAGAGCTGGAGTTGTGAAGTCCCTCTTTGTAACTGCTTCCTCTTGGCTCTCCTGCAGGTGAAGTGGAAGGGGAAGGACCTGTTTGACCTGGTGTGCAGGACTCTGGGGCTGCGGGAAACCTGGTTCTTCGGGCTCCAGTACACCATCAAGGACACCGTGGCCTGGCTCAAGATGGACAAGAAGGTTGGAACCAAAGTTCTTGGAATCACGGAGTGGTTCGGGTTGGAAGAGACCTTAAAAATCAGCTTGTTCCAACCCCCCTGCCATGGACAGGGATGACAGAGGAAAATGTGCTTTCCTCTTGTTTTGAATGCCCGAGGTGGTATCGAGGTGAACTGGGATAGGGTATTTAAATCTCATCCCCGTGGCAGCTGCAAGTCAGAAAAGCTGGCAGAGGTGCCCAGCCCAGCTCCCTGGGAGCTGTGAGGCCTCAGAGTGTGCACACTGGATCCCCCTGAGGCATTCTGGGAGGTGGCCATGCTGGGGTGCTGCACTTTGGGGTGACTGCCATGTAAATGGAGCCTAAAAAAATCTCTGCTCCCGTGTCCCTGAACACAAAACCTTTAGGGGAAAGGTGGAGTCAATTCCTGGCTTGTTTTGTTGCTGAGATGTTCAAAGAGGAGGAAGAGCAAGGTGCAGAGGAGATGGGACCCAAATGTGTGAGTCTCTGGGGTGGGTCAGGGTGGTGACAGATGGGGTTCTGTTCACAGCCAAAGGGTGTAACAGCACAACCAGGGAGGTCTGGGTGTCTCACCTCGTGCCAGGGTTTTAAACCAACGTGAATCTGAACTGGGCAGTGCCAGCACAACAGAAGGGAGGTGAGAAACAGCACTGAAACAACTCAGTACAGGAAAACAAGGAGCAAGTCTGGTGGTGGCGTAGCAGGATCCAGGATTGCTCCACAAGCATCAGCAGAGGCAATGAGCACACAGCAGATCAGGATCAACCTTCCCTGTCTCATTCCTCATGCTGTTTGTTTCTGCCTTTTTTGTTCCCTTGCCTCGTTAGGAGTGTCAGAAATGTTTGTTTTCTTTTTTTAACTACAGCGTCTGAACTATTTAGGTCTGTTCTCGGTGTCTAAAAGTGTTTGACAAAAGATGTGTTGATCTGAGCAGAAGGGAGCTGGGTCTCGTCTTGAGGAAGCTGAAGTGGCTCTTGTGTCCCACAGGTTCTGGATCATGATGTTCCAACAGAGGAGCCCAAAACCTTTCACTTCCTGGCCAAATTTTATCCTGAGAATGCAGAGGAGGAGCTGGTCCAGGAAATCACCCAGCACTTGTTCTTCCTGCAGGTAGGAGCTGTGTCAGTACAGTTTTCCAACCCGAGGGAGAAGGAGCCAGGATGAGAAATGCCAGAAGGCTCCGGGATCAGAGCTGGCCAGCAGAGTGTGCTCCTCATCCTTATGTTCACACCTCTCCAAAGGGACTTGTTTTCAACAGCAAAAACTTCCTGGAATAGGTGAAGGATGGTTTGTCTGGATGAAGCAGTCAGAGCTGCCCAGACTCCCAGAGCTCCAAAGTGGCAGTCAGGAATGATGAGGTGATCTGGGATAGCCGTGGGTGGCGGCTCAGGGACGTGGATCTGTCAGATGCCAGCTCTGCAGGTGTGGGATCAGCCAAGGGGTGGCAGCTGCCTCTGGACATGCTGGCATTGCTGTGTGGAGCAGGGGGAGTTCATCCTGGAGAGCAGAGTGCAGCCAGCCTGTTCCCAGGCTGTACAGCAGAGTTCACCTCCCCACAAAACAGCCTCAGGTAACTGGAGCAGAAGAAAATCCCAGCAGCTCAGCTGCTGCTGGAAAAACAGAGGAGAAGGGGAAACCTCCCAGTCCCACCTGCCCCAGGAGCTCGTGCCCTTCTGTTGAGCACTGTGGTGGCCACATCTCAGGGTTGTTGTTTAAATTACTCTACAGAGCTGGGTGTCCTGAGGAATCAGCTCAGCTGAGGATGCTGTGGCAGGGCTGGTAACGAGGAGCTGCTATCACAGGAGCTCTCTCTCAGAGACAGGATCAATTTTCTGACACAAGATCCATTCTTTGACGCTTTTTTCCTTTGAAGAGTTGTGTTAAGCATGGATAGAGGGAGTGGGGCACTCCAAGTCAGACCCCTGGGTACTCACTGGGATGTTTCAGCTGCTCCGTGGCTGTTAATTTGAAGATAAATTATCAAATTTAAAAAAAGACACTAAATCTTACATTTGTTACACAAAAGTAGAGGCAGCCTGGATTTGGAAGCTCTTGGGAATAGCACTGTAGCCTGCAGGGTGCTCTGCCCTTTCCAAGTGAGCTCACCAGCTCCTCACTCTCCTGATGCTCCTCACTTTTCCAAAGTCCAGCTTTGTTTTCCAGAAGGATTCTAAATGCAAAGTATTCCTGCTAATTTCCAAGCTCTGTCCCGTGCACTGGTGTCTCTGTAGGGCTATTTCTACCTGCCTCACTTGCCAGGAGCTTTATCCACGACGAGGAAAAATGCTGTTGGCATCTTCGGGAAGGAAAACCAAGAGAGGAGAGAGAAGCAGCTCAAGCTGCATTTTCTGAATGCAGGCCGTGACTCTGCTGCTGGGATTTGTGTGCTGAGAGGAGCCTGGGCTCCTGTGAAGCACTTGGGAAACAGGAGCACACATAAGCTTGTAAACTCTCCTGGTTTTTATCTTGATGCAGCAGAATATCTGCTGTGATTATGTCGTACCCAACTTTGAGGACTCAAAGCACGTTATAAATTCAAATTGATGTTCCTGCATCTCTGACAATCCATTTAAGTCTCCCAGGAAATCGCCTGCTTTTTTTTTTTCCTTTTTCTTTCCCCCCCCTTCCCCTATCTTTAATCAGGAAAATTAAGTGTGCAAACCCAAAAAATATCAAACATGACAGGTCTAATTTTTTAATGCACGGCAGCCGGGGAGGCAAAGCCGTGGCTTTGGGGACCTGCATGTCGGCTCTCCTGGGAGTGTGGGCAGGACTCTGCCTGCTGCTAAAAGCACTGCCACGGAGGTGACCCCCAGCTCTCCGTGCTGGGCTGGGATGGCAGGGAATTAGCCTGGAGCACAGGTGAGCTCTGACTCACAATGAGGCTGAAGATCCTTGAGCCAAGCCTTGCTGTGCTCGGAGACTCGGCTGCTGTTTCATTCAGCGGCGTCTGTGCATGTCCTGTCAGTCCACACCTCGTGTCTTAAGAGGTTTTGTCGCCGTGTTTACATCCAAAACGTTTCCCCCCACCCTTGCCTTTAGCAACAGGAGGGAGTTTCTGTCATTGCCCGCAGAGAAACTGAGTTCTCCCAACCCTGGCTGGGGAAGGTGGTCTGTGAAAGCCTCTCCGAGCCGAGACACGCCGGGCCTGGACTGTAATTAGTGCTGGGGAGATTGTTAACTGTGTGCTTGACAGCTCGAGCTGAGAGAAACTGCAGCCATCTGCTGTGACAGCCATGCTCTGCTCTGCTCCACTGACGTGTGTTTGCTGTCCTGTGCTGCTCTGTGTGCAGGTGAAGAAGCAGATTTTGGATGAGAAGATCTACTGCCCTCCTGAAGCTTCTGTCCTGCTGGCCTCCTACGCCGTCCAAGCCAAGGTAGGCACTGGGGGGTCCTCCCAGGGCCTCCTCGTGGTGGTGATGGCTTAGTGTTGATCCAGGTGCTTTGTGATGGACCCACTTCCCCGGGAAGGGGAAGGCAGGGAAAGTTGTGAGAGCTTGGGAAGTGAGGGGGCTGCACTAGCACTGCTGCCTTCTCCACACGGCTGGTCCTGGCTGCCTCCACGCATTGGATGGATTTTCACTTTCTCTTTCCAGGACTTTTTAGCAAGTGCTCAGCTCATGAGCTGCAGAGCGTGCTGGAGCGTGGCTTAGTGCTGGAGCAGGAGAATTCCCCGAGCCTGAGCTTTTTTGGATCTCCTCCCTGCTTTTCCGTTGTAGCCGGAGGCGAGCCAGCCGTGGGACTCCCAGCTCCACTGCTGCCCCAGAATGCTTGTCATCATGATAACTGCTGTGTGTGAGTGCTCCAGCCTGCCACATCCACGCTATCACAGCGGGAAAGGGCTTTTCCTGGCTTCTCCCTCTGTCTTGGGTGTGATCTTGGGTGTTTGGCCTCACCCCACAGAGGGAGAAGTCAGTGTTCAGTGAGCCCCCCTTGTTCCTGAGGTGAATTCTGCTCTGGGCCCAGAGCTGGTGTGTTTTTCTGAGCATTTATTCCAGAGAACACTTGTTTTCCAGTCTGGAGCATGTAGCCTTGGACAGCTTGCAGCAGCCTGGGGCAGAGAGACTCCTGGGATGGAGGGAGCAGCCCAAGGTTCAGCAGCAGGGGCTGTAATTTATCCCTGTGTATGCACAGCATGTCCTGCTGCTCAATTAGCAGCTCTTGGAGCTCATCTCCAGTTTATGTGTGCAAGGATAACGTCCTGGGGAGAGCAGTGCCTGCAGTCTGAGCTCAGCCCAGCCACGCTATCGCTGGGGCTCGTGCTCGCTTCTGACTCTGGATGTCAGATTTTGGGAGGGGCTTGGCTCGCAGGACCTCAGGCAGGTGGCCCTGCTGGCTTGTCCTCAAGGAACTCAGAGCAGTTCAGGAGAAGCAGATCTGTGGGACCACCTTTGTTGGCAGTGCAGGGGGGAGATTTGGCCCCGTTGCCTCAAGAGAGGGCCTGATCCAGGCTGGTTTGTTCTCATATCATCTTCCTCATCACCCTTCAGTCCACACTCATGGATTGAATAGAGCCTGAACAGAGCCCTGGGTGCCTGCATCAGAGCCCTGGGTGCCTGAACAGAGCCCTGGGTGCCTGAATAGAACCCTGGGTGTCTGAATAGAACCCTGGGTGCCTGAACAGAGCCCTGGGTGCCTGATCAGAGCCTTGGGTGCCTGCACAGAGCCCTGGGTGCCTGATCAGAGCCCTGGGTGCCTGATCAGAGCCTTGGGTGTCTGCACAGAGCCCTGGGTGTCTGAACAGAGCCCTGGGTGTCTGAACAGAACCTTGGGTGCCTGATCAGAGCCCTGGGTGCCTGCATCAGAGCCCTGGGTGCCTGAATCAGAACCTTGGGTGCCTGATCAGAGCCCTGGGTCCGTGCACTGGCGTTCTTTGATGATAAACGTCTGAACTTACTAGAAAAGGGTGTTTTCTCCTCATAGCCAGAATACTGATGAAACCATCAGTTCAAGAGGCTCATCAGCCAGGGAAGGACAAGTAGCTTTTCGAAGTGTTTCTGTTTGTGTGAAACATCCATCACTCTTATTAGAGTGCCTGAGTAAACACCTCCTTGGCGTTGTCTCCGTTGACCTGCCGAGCTGAGGATACGTCAGGCAGGACTTCTCCTGTTGCCAAAATGAATAAACCCTTGGGTAAATATTGAGCTCTGTGAGCCCTTGGCTGGGACAGCTCCTGCTCATGTGCTTGGGAACAGGCTGTGACTTGGGCCAGGACGGTTGTGCCGTCCCCGTTCTCCTCCTGCTGACACTGGACACGCTCGGGCGCTGGGAAGAGTCAGCTGGAGTCGGAGCACTTCTCACCTTCATTCTGCACCGAGATCAGGAGAAGGTGGAAGAGGGATGACTTTTCTGCTCTACACTAACAGGCTTTTCATCAGCTTTCTCCAGCCTGGGATTTCCTTTTCTGCTTTTATTCCCAGCAAAGGAGAAAGCTGAAAGCACGTCTTTGGTACGGAACCAGGAAGAAAGATGTTACAGGTCGTCTCCTTCCACTTAAACAGGATAATGATGTCCTTCCTGGCCAAGAGGAGCGGGCAGTGAGCGCAGTAATTTCACTAATAACGTGCTGATTTGCATGATTAGGGGCATAATAGCCTGACACAGTGGTGTGTGTGCATCCCACAGCCACTTACTGACAGCCAGGTGTTGGTCCATCCACACCGACCTGCAATAACAAAGGAAACGTGGGGGTCATAAAAGTAAAAGCTTATTTATTTCTCCCTCATTGTGTTCATTTGGAGAATTACTATGTGCTTTCCCCTCTGTTCAAACCACCCACACTGCTTTCAGAGGTTGGAGGTGGTTCAGGTTTTAAATAGCTGGGAAAGACGTGGGATCAGCTGAAAAAAAAAAAAATCGGGAACATCCAGGAGGTTCTTCTATTTTTTGCCCCTTAAATGGAGGTCACTGCTGTGCTGCAGCTCCCTCAGCACTTCAGATCTTTTAGCACCACAACAGGCTCTTTAATTATTATTATTTTCCCCCCAAACAAGCAATGCTTGGCGTTGATTTGAAGCTGAGCGTGGCTGTGTTTATGCAGGACAATCTAAGCCAGACGTAGGAATGTGGTAAAGGCAACTTCCATCCCTAACCATGAATATTAATCATATAGTTCTATTAACAGGAGCTGAAATTCCATGACAGTTCGGAAGTAATGATTTAATTGAAAAGGTCTTTAGAAGTACGTTTGCCGAATCATTTGAGCCAACAGATTCTGCAATACTTAAGCCATTTGTTGATTTTTGACTTGTGAATAATTAATGTTCTCATCCAGACTCCCCTCTCAGTACAAATATTCCTTTGGGACACGGCAGCATTTTTCAGCACATGAAAAGTCGCATAATCCAGACTTAGTCTTGGATCTCCACGGTAGATCACAACAGAAAATAATCGCTTTAATCCTATTTGCCGTTATTTTCATCACCCAAAAATGATTTCCTTGCTGCCTGTCCAAGGTTATTGGAGTTGTTTCCTTTGCCAGTGCCGCCTCTTTGGTGCTGTCCCCTTTTGATGGGGATTTGAGGGATGTGCCCCTGCATCCTGAGGGGTTCCAGGCCCTTGGAAGGTGCAGAGTTGCTGCTGCTCAGCACCCTCCTGGCTGAAATCCGGGGTGGTTTTGTTCTATTAATTGAAGTCTGAGTCAGTGCTGGTTGTTGCTACATGTTCCCTTGGGATCTGCATTGGCTCCAAATCAATATTTGTGACTTTAATCCCCACGTGTCGCCTCCCAAGCGGAGAGGTGGGATGTGTGTAGACTTTTGATGCCGAGCTCTGGTTTTGGTGTACGACGTGACGGTTCTGGCATCAAGAGGAGGATGGTATGAAAAGCTTCCCGACTTGTTACATGACCACCATGTGCGTCTTGCTCTTGGTGTTAAAAATTGTCACTGTTTGGCACTTCCTGAGCTGAGGTTCCTCAGAAGAGCAGGGAGGGAGGGGCTGCTTCCCTTGCAAAGTGACTCGAGCAAAAGCTGCCGTGTCTCGTGTAATTGGGGACTGTCACTGCAGAAGTCCTGTTTGCCAGGTGAATGGAAATCACAGCACTCCTGTACGTGCCTCACATCCTTTGTTCCTCTTCTCTTGGACCTGCTGGGTTGTTTGAGCCATTTTCTGGCGCTTTCCTGCCCTCTGAGGCCGTACAGGAGGCGAATTCATTTTCACAGGCACCGCAGGGACACGCGGCTCCTCAATCTGTTAATAAGCGGTTTTATTTCTCAGTCACTTTATATGCTGCTCAAAGAGATGGAAATCTAAACAAATACCAGTAATTACTGATGCACTTAGCAAATCTGAATTGGATTCCTCGACCCAGTTGAGCAGCAGACCCTCTGGCAGAAAAGCCACCACCTGCCTGAGAGGAGTCTGTCAAACTCCTCTAATTTTTTTGATACTTATTCATTAAGGTGATGAGCAGCGGCAGAGGAGCCACCATCTGCCTCATCTGAATCACCGCTATCCATCAGGTTTTGGGGACAGGTCTTTGTCCACATCTTATTTCCTCGTTCCACTGCCAGTGGGACTGCAAGGACCCCTCAGGTGTAGAGTCTTGCCCTGCGCTGGGGGAAGTGTTAATGAGGGTGCGGTAAGGAGAGTAAAATAGACAGCCACCATCTCGTCCAGCTGGTTGACTGATGGTGAACCTCAGCTGGTGGTGGTTGCCAGCTGAAGGGGTGGGAAGTGGTGGAGTCACCGTCCTTGGGAGTGCTCAGAAAGCGAGCAGACCTGGCTCCTGGGGACATGGTTTAGTGGCCATGGTGGGATTCACTCAAAGGTTGGACTTGATCTTGGAGGACTTTTTCCATAATTCTGTGATGGTGGGAGGTTTTGTTCTGCTTCTGCTTGTGTTGCATGAGTAGAAGGAGGCCGGTCATTTCCATTAGCAGTGAAATGACAAAGAAAATCAGGTTATTAACTGTGTGGAGCAGCTCATGTTCTCTGCTCCTGAGGGGAGGTGTGAGCAGGCCGTGTTTGCTGCCTCCTGGGGTGGGTGTGTGAGAGGTGAGGAGCTGAATTTGCCTGGTTGTTAATGTGGGGTGGGCACTGTGTCTGTGCTTCTTTCCAGTACGGTGATTACGACCCCAATGTGCACAAGAGAGGCTTCCTGGCACAAGAGGAATTGCTTCCAAAGCGGGTAAGGAGCTCTGAGGAATCGGTGTCCAAGCTGCCTGGAGGTTGGACATGGTGCTGGGACTTACCTTGGGTATTTTCTGGCTCGCTGGCTAAGAGGCAGCAGTGTGAGCTGGTCTGTGTCTCCCCACACATCCCAGGTAATAAACCTGTACCAGATGACTCCGGAGATGTGGGAGGAAAGGATCACAGCCTGGTATGCAGAGCACCGGGGCAGAGCGAGGTGAGCCTGTGCTGCTGGTGGGGGTCAGGGTCCCAGCCCTCCCCTGAGGAGTCACCGGGGTTTAGGGAGCTTGGGCAGGCCCTGGCTGAGCTCTGCTGCCAGCAGCTTAATCCCAGCACTCCTCTGCTGCAGCCTCATGGAGGGCAAAGGGCTTTTCTTGGTGGCTCTGCTGTCCCTTGGTCACTGTCAGAGTCCTCCAGAGGAGTCAGGGATGATGCTCAGTAAGGGCTCACCTGCCTTGGGGGGGCTTTTGGGGCCAGGAGAAGAAATGGGAATTCAAACTCCCTGTTGCTGCCTCGGGTGGCAAAATGCTCCTTTTGGGGGATAAACCTAAAGTCAGAGGGATCTCAAACAGGGGCCTCCCAGCCAGGGGTTTCCTATTTATGCTGAAGGGAGTGGGAGGCGGACAAAGCCAGGCTTGCAGTGCTGCATCTCACAGCCAGTAAGATGCTGGCAACTGCAGAGTGGGATTTGCTGTTGGACTTTATTGATCCTGCCAGCAAAGACAGGATTGACCTGTGTGATAGAGACAGTCCAGGCTCTAAAGCCTGGTGAGTGCTTAGGATGAGCAGGAGCAGCCAGGTCCCTCTCTGATCCTCCCAAACACTCTAACACTGGGCTGCTCCTGCCTGGCAGAGATGAAGCTGAGATGGAGTATTTGAAGATCGCTCAGGATCTGGAGATGTACGGCGTGAACTACTTCGCAATCAGGGTGAGTGAAGCCGTGGGCTGTGTTTTCCTGCTGGGGTAGCTCTTGTGTTGGTCTCCACATCTGGAGTTGAGGGTGGGGAGCCCTGGGGAGCCAGGAGGGCTGGGAGGTGGCTGTGGCACACTGGGGAGCCCCAGCTCTGCTCTCCTGGCAGCCGGTGCTGGCTCGGCTGGTCACTGCTCGGGGCTGGCTGCTGGAGATAACAGCGGTTCATGGCTCGCCCTCTCAGTGGGATAAAAGGCATTTCTGCTCTTTTCTTTCCTCCTGTAGAATAAAAAGGGCACAGAACTGCTCCTTGGAGTCGATGCCTTGGGGCTTCACATTTATGACCCAGACAACAGGTTGACCCCTAAAATCTCCTTCCCGTGGAATGAGATCCGGAATATCTCGTACAGCGACAAAGAGGTATGGATGTGTCTCCTCTCCTCCCTGAGAGCAGCAAGAGCACAATTGGGATTTAAAATGATTTCTCTCGGCTTCTCTGTCGCTTGCTCTCAGCAGCTTAGCTGAGGGCAGCTCAGCTGCTCCAGTGGAAACCTTAATTCCAAGCCTTCCTGAAGCCTTGCAGGAGTGGGCGTGCGAGGGGTCACCTGGGAGCTGTTCTCCTCTTTGCTTCCAGAGGACGTTCCAACCCTCCATGTAATCTTTTCGAAAACCCCAAATTGCTGTTGATGTGCTTAGCCCAAATATCAGAGTTCAGAAGTTAAAGCCTCTGCTTTACTGAATATATTACAGTATTTATTGCTGTGGATATACTCTGTATTATGGGATACAGGGAGATGTATTCCTGGGGAGAAGAGCTCTTGCCATCTCATTACATCATCTGGAGTCTCAGGCTGTCGGGCTTGGCATAGCAGCTGGAATCTTTTTAGGAAGTTGAGTAATTTAAGCCCTGAGTCTAAATATGGGTCTTTGGAACTGTTGGCCCCCAAACCCAGCAGAGAACAGCAGTGGAATTGGCTGTGGAGGGGGGACTGAGCAGCTCAATTTTCAGTCTGAGGGAGCTGCTCAAAGCAAGCAGCTGCCTTCATGGTACGGAAGAGAATTAACTTCTTAATTAAAAATGGTTTTCTAATCTAAACACGGTATCGATCAGGGGAGCAGCTAAAGGTTTCTCATCAGCTGCGTTTATTGCGTGTCTTGTGAAGTTTTATAAGCACTAAAGCCGTGCTGGAATTCTCCTCACTTGCTTTACTCCTTAAAGAGCTTCACGACTCCACAAACAGCCCAGCACTGAGTGACTTCCAAAGCTTCCCTGCCTGGGAGGTCTCCAAAATCCAGGGGCTGACTCTTCCATAGCCAGGCCCTGTCACAGGGCTGTAACAGCTTCCTCTGGGGATAAAAGGATGGATCCTTTCCATCAGCTCAGTCATCTGGGTAATCAGATGGCCGTGACAGCAAACAGGGCTAAGAATGACAGCTCTGGACAGCACAGAGGGGTTTATCCCTCCTCACAGAGACTGACTGTTCATGTGGAGCTGAAGTTCCTCTCCTGCCTTATTTCTGCTGCTGCTCCAAGTGACTGGTTCTGCCGGAGCCCGAATCCAGGGACATCCATGCACGTCTGCCTGGGTGAAAACCCTAAAGGGTTGGCTCTTAAACTGACAAAGCCAGGCAGTGCCAGGCTTTTTTTAAAAGGGCTTCCTGCCCTTTTAACTGCCTGGAAGGAGGGTGGAGATGGGAGGGTTGGGCTCTTCTCCTCGGAGAAAAAGTGACAGGATGAGATCAAACAGCTTCAAGCTGCACCACGGGAGGTTTAGGTTGGATATTAGGGAAAACTTCTTCACTGAAAGACTGGTCAGGTGATGGAGTCACCATCTCTGGAAGTGTTCAGAAAACCTGTGGGTGGGGCACTTGAGGACGTGGTTTAATGGTGGTGGTGTTTGACATTTGGACTTGATGATCTTAAAGGTCTTTTTCATCCTTAACAACTCAGTGGTTCAGTGAATCCACCGGGCAGCTGAGCTGCTTCTTCCTCCCTTGGGAAGTGTCCCGAGTTCCCGCTGGGGGTTCTCCCAGGAGAGCAGCACCCTGCCCTGCATCCCTCCTCCCCTGCAAGGTACTCTGCAGGGGCCACGGGCTCCTGTGGCTGCCATGTTTTGCCAGGTGGAGGAACAGTTGTCTCCTTGGCTGCTTTTGCTGCGAGTCCTCCTGCCTGGCTGGGAGCCACGGGGACGGCTCTGAGCCGTGCGTGTCTGACCCTGCTGGCCTCCTCTGAGCCAGAGCTCTCCGGAAGAATTTTATAGCTGCCTTTTTATTAGATGCACCGCTCTCTCTGATAACTCTCTCCCTCTTTATTTTTTCCCTTTCAGTTTACGATTAAGCCATTGGACAAAAAGATTGATGTTTTTAAATTCAATTCATCAAAGCTGCGTGTGAATAAGCTGGTAAGTGTGCAGACAGTCATTTTTACTGCCTGCAGCACTGGGCTCTGCAGAGAGCGTGAGACAACGAGCTTTTGGGGCTTTTCCTTCGAGAGGGAGCTGCTGGAGCTGGGGTGGGGTGTAGCAGTTACTGCTCCCTCTAGGAAATAAGAGTGAGGCTCAAGTCAAGCTCCTTCACAGAACCTTCCCCCTACCCTGTTTTTGTGCTCCCTTTCTGAGCTCTTGGGTTACAGCTGACTTAGTACAATGTAGTCATCACCCCCAGCTTTGCTCAGATCCTCTTTCTTCCCCGTGGATCTTTTCCATCCTCCCTGTGTTGTAGCTCTCCCTGTTTCGGGAGGCACCGTTGCCAGAGTCCTGGCTTTTCGCAGGCTGGTCCCCTCTGAGGACACTCTCCCTGTACAGGGATGGAGGGGGCTACTTTGGGTTCAGCATCCCTGTTGGAGACCAGCTCTGGCTGCTGTTCTGGGTGTGCATCCATTAAGTCCCCCAGGGATCTTTGCTGTCCTGCTTGTAAGTTGTCCTGGGCTTCATGTGGGGCTTCCTCCCAGAGGCCTCATCAGCTTCGCTGTGCTGAAACTCCTCTCACTCCAGAGAAGTCATTTGAGGCTTGGGAAATGTCATTTATCACTTGGGTTGTGGTTGCCCCTGGGTGCCTGGAAGTGTCCAAGGCCAGGTTGGACAGGGCTTGGAGCAGCCTGGGCTGGTGGAAGGTGTCCCTACCCGTAGCAGGAGAGTGGAATGGGAAATGATCTTTAAGGTCCCTTCCAACCCAAACCATTTTAGGATTCTATGAAATGGAAGAAGGGTGTGTGAATCAGTCCTTTAGAAAAGAATCTGAGTTTAGAACTCTATTTTTATTGCCAAAATAAGCTTTTACTCCTCTGCATATCCACCCTGTGCCAACCCTCCTCTGGCACTGCCACCTCCCTTGTCCTTACCAGAGGGAACTGCACTGGTGCTCAGAACCCCTCAGCAAAGGCATCTGAAGATGTCCAAGGAAGTTTTTGATAAGCCTTCTGTTTTTCCAAGATGAAAAGTGGTTTTCCTCCTTTTAATTTGTTTTTTAATCTCAGTGCTTTCAACGTGCAGCTGGGAGGAGGCACAAGTTCATCTTGAACCTAAAGAAGGGGCTTAGTGAGAACCAGGCAGAGCTGGAGAAGTTCTTATTTCATTACTTGGCTTCTTGCCTTTTTAGGGTGGGTATAAAACATGCCAGAGCTGTGCTGTGCTGGAGGCACAGAAAATTGGTCTCTGCAGAGAGTTGCTACCCAGGAGCTGGTGTTTGGTGTGGGACTTGGCTCCCTGCCCCTCCTGAGAGCTCGCAGTGGTTTGAGAGCAGTGGGTGGAAGCACTAACAAGCACCAAATCAGAGCAATTCTGGTGTTCCTGTGTGTCAAGAATACAAACCACCTCCTCGCCATCACGTGTGTACAGCTGTTTCTCTCCGCTCTTCACCCCTGACTGGAACAGATCCTTCAGCTGTGCATTGGGAACCACGACCTCTTCATGAGGAGGAGGAAGGCAGACTCTCTGGAGGTCCAGCAGATGAAAGCACAGGCCAGGGAGGAGAAGGCCAGGAAGCAGGTGAGCCACATCTCCCATAACGAGCGAGCCAAAATCAGGAATGCAAATGAACGACGTCAAAGCAGCTTCCAGGGAAGGCCCAGCTGAACCTTTCTTAGTAGCCTTCTCCCAGCTCAGCAGTCATTCTCAGCTTGCCTCTGCAGGTTGATGGCCCCCTGAGTCCATCCCCTAACCTGGGACCAAAGCCGGGAGGGAGAAGCTGCTCTGGGTGCCTACAAGTGTTTTCCTGCCGGAAAAACTTGGAGCAGGGGCTGTGAGGGGGAGCTGAGCTCTTTGGCTCGCTCGTTCCCTAATTGCAGGGTGATGGAATGCACGCCCCGTGCCGGGCTGTGCAGCCTGCATGTTAATTTGGGGCCGGGCTCCTCTCGGAGCCGCAGGTCGCGGCGGAGGCAGCGGCGTGTGGCCGGCGAGCAGAGATCAGCAAATTGAATTGTATGAATCATTGTTTTCTGCTCGTGGACCTTTTCTACTCACTGAAACCCACACAGCTAATCTGGGCACTGGTGCTCGGAATATAAATGGCCCTTTAGGCAGTGAAGCCAATAACACCGGAGCAGGAGAAGCCGGAGCAGGAGAAACCAGGAGGGTCTGGTGCTCACAGAGCTGATGCATTGTTGGGTGTGAGTGTGTCCACAGAGGTGCTTGTGTGGTGTTGAGGTGCTCAGCTGGCCTGGAGATGGGATGTGGCTTGTCCTTCAGGCACTTCCCAAAGCAGTTCTCCCTCCTGTGACTTGTGGGGTGGCAGGGGGGACAGGAGGTGAGTCCCAGCAAGGTAACATGGCCAGCTCCTCTGGGGAGGGGGAGCTTCTTGCTTCCCACAGGGATTCCTCTGGTCAGTGAGAACTTGGCTTTATAGAATCATTCAGGTTGGAAAAGCCATCTAAGACCACTAAGTCAGACCATTAGTGGTGGAGTCACCATCCCTGGCAGCGTTCAGAGATGGATGTGCCACCTGGGGTTTTATGGGCACACAGCAGTTCTGGGTTATGGTTGGACTTGATCTTATGGGGCTTTTCCAGCCTTAATGATTCCAAGAGTCTTTAGGTTTTCCAGTCTTGTGAGTTTTTGGTGTATTTGGGTAACTGCAGCAAGACCTGAGATCCTGTGCTTAACTGGGCTCCTGGGAGAGTTGGGGAAGCAGCAACTTAACACCTCACATGAGCTCCCAGACCCAGAGCACTTGGGCTCCGTGAAAAAGTCAGGCTCCTGCTTGGGCTGGCCATCCTCTCCCGAGCCAGCCACTATCTCCCATCTCCCCTGCTTCCTCCTCCCTCCCACAGTTGCTAACTGGCTCCCGATAATCCTTTTATACCAGGAATTCTTGTTAATGGAAGTCCCGAGCGGGACGCAGATTATAATGATAATTAACGAGGGGAACCGTTAATAGAGGGAAGCAGAACGGCTGGAGCAGTGGGCGTCCCGCTCTCAGGGCTCAGCTGGGCTCCAAGGAGCAGAGAAATGTGGCTTGTCACTCCTCCTTCCCTTATTAAACCCAGCAGGTCTCCTGTCCTGGCTGCGGCGTGGATATTTATAATGCCCGTCCCCGTGGGATCGGAGGGATTAAACTCGGCGTGTTAATGAGCCCGATGGCTCCCTTGGGCGCTGGGCTGGTGCAGGGGCAGTGCTTGGGCACAGCAGCACTTCTGGGAAGAGCTGGCAGACTCTGGTGGCTTGGATCTTCCCCTCGTGGAGAAGAGCTGCTGATTCCTGGAAGCTGAGCTGCAGGGAGAGGGTTTATTGTGTCGAGGAATTGCCAGGGGTGGTGTCCCTCTGTGTGACCTCCCTCTGAAGGAATGGAAATGAAGTTTCCAGCGTGCTGGGTTAGATGGCTGAGCAGAAGGTCCTTCAGCCTCCTGCCACGGGCAGGGCCTGTATTGGATGTGTGGAAGATGCCCTCGGACTGCCCTTAAAATCCAGTAGCTTCTCCTGCTTCAGGCAAACCCAAACCTTTGAGCCCAGCCCTGCAGCAAGAAAGTCCAGACACATCTTGGACCCCTCTTGTCCAGGTCTGCCCTGGGACTCGGCCCAGGACACTGTCAGGGGACATCGTCACCTGCAAGGTGTGGGTGACAGCCTGGTCAGAGGATGAGAATTGTGTCCGGAATGGCACTTTTCAGGGGAGCAGGGGTCATCAAACAGCCTGCCCAGGGCAGTGGTGGAATCACTATCCCTGGAAATGTTCAGAAAACGTGTGGATGTGGCATCTGGGGATGTGGTGGCCTTGGCTGTGCTCGGGGAGTGGTTTGTTTCCATGATTCTATTCCATGGGTCAGGTCACCCCAACCCAGGGACATGCCCCATGTCCATACGCAGAGAGGAGGCAGCAGCACAGCCCTGTGCTCCTTCCCCCACCTGTGACCCTTCCTCATCCATGGAAAGCCTTCCTAACGTGTGTTTTTCTCCTCCCTTTCCCCAATCCCTTTTTCCCAGATGGAAAGGCAGCGCCTGGCACGGGAGAAGCAAATGAGAGAAGAGGCTGAGAGGACCAGGGATGAGCTGGAGAGGAGGCTGATGCAGTTAAAGGAGGAGGCAACAATGGCCAACGAGGCTCTGGTAGGTCCCTGGGAGGCTGTTTCCCGAGGCACTGCAGCTGCTCCTCGCTCTCTCCACTGTGGAAGTGTTTTTGGAAGTGCACTGTGACCGTGGCTGCTCCCAGACTGCTGCCAGTGCACAGTGAGCAGGAGGCTGGATGGAGCTATTCCATCCTGCTGGGCTGCTTGGGAGGAGCACAAAGAGGATGATTTGGGACAGAGCCTGGCCACATGCAGGCCCTGGCAGCAGGCTTTCCTGGAAGGGAGGGATTCCATGGACCGTGCTGGCAGCTCCCGGCCCTGCCCCGGGGGCTGAGAGCGCATTTGGGGGGACGTGGAGTGCAATAAAAGGCTTCATGTGCCTGCATTGCCAGATGAGGTCCGAGGAGACAGCAGACCTGCTGGCAGAGAAGGCCCAGATCACGGAGGAGGAGGCCAAGCTCCTGGCCCAGAAGGCGGCGGAGGCCGAGCAGGAGATGCAGCGGATCAAAGCCACGGCCATCCGGACCGAGGAGGAGAAGCGGCTGATGGAGCAGAAGGTGCTGGAGGCTGAGATGTTGGCTCTGAAAATGGCCGAGGAGTCGGAGAGGAGGTCAGAGGGTACAACCTTCCAGCTGCCTCTGCTTGGCTTCCCACCCCCTTCTACCTTAGCTGGGAGGAGCTCCTGCCTGCAGTTATCCCTCTGACAATGTGCAGGGAGCCCTCGGTCTCCCACACAGCAAATAGCCCTGTGGCCCAGCTGATTCCCCTCTCCAAAAGCCACCTCTGCTTTTGGGTGCTTTCTGCAACACACCCCCCACACCCTTCATTCCCCAAAGTCTTTGACACCGTTAATGGCACCTGGGTTTGTTTTTCCCCTGGATGGTAGATCCTTATTCTCTCTTTATTCCCCTACTTGTCTCTCAGTTGTTGGGTTCCCCTTCCCAGCCCTGAACTCTGTTCTAGGTTAGCCTTGAGCTCTCCCCAGCTCCTGGAGTCTTTGCTCCCTGTTAAAAGCTGAGCCCAGGTCCCAGGGTGCATTTGGTAGCGAGCAAGTAAAAGATCAGTCTTGTTTCCTTCCAACTGATTACTCCTTTCCCTGTGAGAGCCTGCCTGGTGCCAGCCCTTCTGCTTGGATGGGCACTGCCCTTTTCCTTCTCTTCCTGCCTTGGTCTCTGTCGCGTGAAGTCTCCACTCAAATCTCAATCCAGCAGAGAAAACGTCCTTCCCTCCTTTGGCTTTCTCCTTCTGGGGGTCCTTAGGCCTCGAGGGTAAATACTGTTTCTAGAATTGCTGTCTTAGCACCCTTCCCAGCCCTCAGCCTCGCTCACTGATGCTCACACAGAGCCCGTTTCAGAGCTGCCCTTCCATGGCCTGGATTTGGGAGCTAATCAATGTCCCACAAGGCAGAGGTTCTGCCATTTCCCCTCCTCGAGTGGTTTCTTTGTTCAGGTCTTGCTGTGGGACAAATCCCAGCCGATTCCGCACCTCCACTGGGATCCTGCTTCTCCATCTGCTCGTTCCTCTCAGCCCCAGTGTGATATTTGCTGTTTGCTGCTTGTCTTTGCAGGGCAAAGGAGGCTGATCAGCTCAAGCAGGACCTTCAGGAGGCTCGTGAGTCGGAGCGGAGAGCAAAGCAGAAGCTCCTGGAGATCACCAGCAAGTCATCCTACACAGTAAGAGAGATCTAGATTGTATTCCCCAGTTCCCAGCCCCTAAATGTGCCCTCCTCCATAGCCTGGAGGCTGTGGAATTCTCCAGAGATCCATCTCCAGATCTAAGGATTCTCCATCCCATCCGTGGAGGGGCTGAGCTGTCTCACTGCTGCTCAGAAACCCTGAGCAGTCCTTGCCCTTTTCATCCCGGCACCTCACCCAGCACATCTCTTTGCTCTTTTTTCATTTCCCACCCACCTCTTGCTGCAAGAGCAAAGGAGCTGCTGCTGAAATTAAAGCAGCAAATTTTAAACCAATTTAACAGCCGTGTCAGAGCTGTGCTTTGCCTGCACGTGTGGAGAGCACCAGCTCAGCACTAGCCTTTAAAATAGAGTTAAGTATGTCCTTATTCTTGTTAGGTGGGATAAACATTGTTCAGAGCCTGTTAAATTCATTCTTTGGGCATAAACTGGACCTTTATGTGCTGGGCAAAAACTTCCTTGAAGAGAGATTATTCCATAATTGCCCATTAAGAGGATTTCACACCTTCCTCCAAAGCATCTGGTCCCGGTTCCTGCCAGGGCCAAAACGCCAGACTAAGTGACCATTGTTCTGATCTGTCTGGCACTTCCTTTCCTCTGCTTCGCTGATTGTACCTGCAGACCCCATCAGGCACCCCCTCCCTGCAGCTCACACCTGCCAGAGCTGCTGCCTGGCTGGCTTGGGGAAAGGGAATTGCTCGGGATTGCAGCATCAGGGATAGGCTCCACAGATGGACGTGGGAGTTACGGAGCCGCCAGCACTGAGGTTTGTGGTTGTACCTGCAGGCTCCTGCCCCCTGCCCTGGAAGCTTTAGGGGAGCAGATTGCAGAGGGATTGAGATGAAGCATCTTTTCATCCCAATTCTCTGGAGTTCCCTGCAGGAATATTTGGAGCTGGTAAAAATATCGGTGATGGGAAATAATGAGGTGCTCTCAGCTATGGGACACTCACTCAAGTGAGTGCTGGATAAAGCCCAGCTTTGGAGTGCTGCGTATTTAACGATTCACTGGGAATCTGGGAGGCACCAGCTCTTTAATTCTGGGTTTAACTTTGCACAGGAGGGGTGGAATTGGGCTGTGTGGCTGCACCAACCCAGCATGGAGTTTGGGCAGCTCTTTCACATCCACGTTCCCTGGTGTTTCCATGTCCATCCTTAGTCAAACCAGTCAGCCCCTGCCGAAATCCCAGTGCTGGGGAGCAGCTGGGTGTCTCTGTTCCTGCCTCATTAGTGGGAATGTTGTGGGATTGCTTGGAACTCAGCTCCACCCCTCCAGCTGCATCTGCCTGGAGGCAGCTCAGGCAGAACTGTCACTTCCAGACACATGGGGCTGTGTCCTCTCCCTTCCCTAAAGAGCCTTGGCCTCCCAGACACGGCTGCCAGGGCCAGCAGGGAAGGGATGTGTTTTTTCCTCTCCCCACGTGGGTGTCAGGGTCCCCTTGTGCAGCTCTGCTCCTCCTGCCCCTCTCCCCATGCCGTGGTTGCTCTGACTCCATGCCTGTTGTTTTCCAAGGTCAGGAGGAGGCTGGTGTGACCAGCATGTCCTTATCCAGGTAACAACACCTTGCTGGGCTCTTCTATCCCCTGTTACACCTCCCTGGATCGGGGTGAGCCTCCTCCCCTGCCAGAACATGGAGGGAACCCGTTTTGAAAGCTGTTTTTGGGAAGTTGTGTCCCTCGGGTAAATGGCATCTCTGCCACATGGTGCAGGATTCCAGCTCCTGCATCCCTTAAAGAGGGTGTAATGTTGGGCTTGTTCTTTTCCATGGTCCCAGACTTCTGCTGGGTCGTCCCCTGGCACTGGGAGCTAAGCAGGACTTCCTTTGGGGGAACAAGAGCAGGGAAGGAAAGGGGGAGTGGATGGATGTAGAATCATTTGGGTTGGAAAAGACCCTTAAGGGATCCACAGAGTCCATCCATTAACTCTGTGCTGCAGTAAAAGCCCTGGTTCTTTAAATCTTGTTTCAGTGTCTTTTTAGTCCTTGGAGGCCAGGCTACTTTTATGATGTCACTGGGGGGTGATGCATGAGAGGTAAGACGTGGAGCTGAGTCTCAGGACATCAGGGCTTGGAGAACAATTCATTCCTGATGGACTTGGTGGCGGCTCTTCGGCTCCTTCACTGCCCTTCGGGTGCCACTCCTGGCCAGAGGAAGGCAGTCATCCCTCTTCTGATCCCCTGGGAGCAGTGAGGGGCTGTTCTGGGCTTTCCCAAACTCTGGAGCGGTGCAGTGGCAGCAACAGGAGGAGCTCTCCCTGCAGGGGAAACCTCCTGCCTCGCTCTGTGCCTCCCCCGGATCCACTGCCTCGCTCTGTATTCCAGAGGGAGCAGAGGGATGACCGCTGTCAGCACGGTGCTTGCCTCTATTAACAGCAGGAAATTGCTGTAATGCAGTAACAGGGTTATGCAGTTTGTTCCAGGTGAGGAAACACATACGGGAAAGGATCCGTGTCCCCTTTATCACCCCAGGGCTCCTTGGATTAAAAATCCCTGGCACCTGCTGCAAGGCCTGCCCAGGGGAACTGCAGATGGCAGGGAATGTGCAGCAGGGACCTGCCCCTCTGCCCCCTCAGCTGAGACCCCCCTGCAGAGCTGCTTCCAGCCCTGGGGAACAGCACAGGGAGCATGTGGAGCTGCTGGAGAGAGTCCAGAGGAGGCCACGGAGATGCTGCCAGGGCTGGAGCCCTCTGCTCTGGAGCCAGGCTGGGACAGCCTGGAGGGTTCACCTGGAGAAAGGAAGGCTCCAGGGAGACCTCCAGGAGGCCCAGGCCCAGGTTGCCCAGAGAAGCTGTGGCTGCCCCTGGATCCCTGGAAGTGTCCAAGGCCAGGCTGGACGGGGCTTGGAGCAACCTGGGCTAGTGGGAGGTGTCCCTGCCCATGGCAGGGGGTGGGACTGGATGGGCTTTGAGGTCCCTTCCCACCCAACCCGTTCCATGATTTTATGAAATGCTTTGCTCCACATATCAAGCCTGTGCCTTTGAGAGCCCTCAACCTGCTCTTTCTTTGCTTTTTCCTTGTTCTCCCTCACTCCTGCTGCTCTTGGACTCCTCCACCATTTTTCCCTTGCTCTGTGACAGAGCAAGGAGGGAAGGGAAGGAAGCGCCTGTAGCAACCCTGACAAATTGTCTCCAAACTTAATGGCTGCAGCAGCTGAATTCATGCTCAACCCTTACTGCTGCCGTTTGTGGGGGTTTAAAAACAAAACTCAACGAGCTTGTGCTGAAACAAAACCAGGCTAAAGGTTGTTTGAAGGCCAGCAGGCTGGGATGGTCCTGGCTCCCTGTACAGTGGGGATGGGAGAACCTCACGTGGGAAGGGCTTTGGGAACACCTGTGTGCCTTACAGGGAAGGGACTTGAATGTCAATGGGATGCAAGTATTTAAATCAGTTAAGTGCTTTGGCAGACCTGTCCCCTTCCCTCTGAGACTGGAATTTAGGGACTGTGCCATCCCTTCCAGCACCTGCTCCAGAATTAATGTGTTTGTGTTCCGTTCTAGCAGGGGAGGAAGGAATTGAGTTTCCTTGTCATCTGGAATGCTCCAGCCAGGCCAAGTGCAGCTTTAGGTGCTGCCTTGTTTATGTTTGTACCAGGTGTTTGTGTTCCAGCTCTGCAGGTGGATGAAATGTTGTCCCTTTAAGGTTTGTCCAGGGAAAGCAACCTGGGATTGAGCCCTGGCTGTTTGTGAATTCCAGGCTGGTGGTGAGGGAAGAGCCAGGTTCTTGTGCAGAGTAAATCTGTCACCCCAGTGCTAGCAGGTCTTGTTGAAGCACACCTAGCTGCAAACAGTGCCTGGAGGATCCCAGAGAGGAGAAAGGAGGGAAGGAAAGAAGCAGCTGCAGCTGCAGCTCGGGGGGGTCACTTGTTGGGGCAGGTACCCAGCAGTGCCATTCCAATGGCCATTCCAATGCCTTAAAGCAAGAAGGAGCATCCAGCAGGGAGGTGTGGGACCTTTTGGGTGCTGGATTTCTCACATGCCAAGAGGAGGGCCAGGCAGGCTGGCAGCAGCTGTGACTCAGCCCCACCTGATGCCGCCGTGCCACCCTTGACGTGTGCCCTGTTTGCCACCTCATCCGACCTTCCGAGTGATGACTCCATCGGGCTTCTCCTCTCCTGTCCTCCTAATGAGCCCATTTGTTAGAGGTGTGACAGAGTTTTTGACTGAGAGGAAGAAGGGTCATTTTTGTTTCATGGGAAGATAAAATCGGCGTTTGTATCGGCGGGGGTGTCACAGCATTCTGCAGGAGGAAGAAAGTCCCAGGTCCTTGCTCAGGTGGGATAGGAGTGATTCCCTGTGTTATTTCAGCATTTCCAACTGGATCTAGCAGTTCCTAAACACCTGGAACTGTAAATTACTGAGAAGGTAAAAATGTGCTGGTGCATCTCCACGGACCTTGCTGGAATGGCATCCCTGGGGTCACGTTGGCCTTTGCTTTGGGGAGCAGTGGAGTGCAGGACTCTGCTGTCACATGGGGTCCTGCATTGCCCCTGTTCACAGCTTGAACTTTAACAGCCTGATTTAGTGGTAAATAACTGTCAGATGACTCCCAAGTGGCACAGCGGTGATAAAACCTCGATTTTAGCAAGTTTTGTCAATAGGTTTTGAAGGCAGGTGGTGTTTTGTCTCCTCTTTATTACTGCAAAGAATGAAGGTCCCAGAGGATCAATAGCTCTGAACTGAGGAGCAAATTGGGAACGGAGCAAGGGGATCTCCAGGCTGATCTGGTGCTTGGGACACGGGGCTTGTGTTGCTGTGATTTGACCTCTGCTGTAGCCCCATTTGTGTGGCCTGAGGTGATTCATTTGTGCTCTCTCTTTAGCAGTCCATGAACTCGAGTACAACAGCGCTGCCCACAGACCTGCCAAGCTTCAACCTCATCAGTGAGAGCCTGTCCTTCGACTTCAAGGACACGGACATGAAGAGGCTGTCCATGGAAATCGAGAAGGAGAAGTACGTGGAGCGCGTCCCGGCCAGCCCCGGGGTGGGGTTTGTGCTGGGCATGACCTCAGGTGTGCCCAGGGGGGCAGGAGGCCAATGGGCCCTGGGCTGTGCCAGCCCTGGTGTGTCCCAGCCCCAGGGCAGTGCCCTCCCTGTGCTGCCACTGCTGGGGCACCTCCAGCCCTGGGGGCACTTCTGGACCCCTCAGACAGGAGAGACACTGAGGGGCTGGAGCGTGTGCAGGGAAGGGAACGGAGCTGGGAAGGGGCTGGAGCAGCAGGAGCGGCTGAGGGAGCTGGGGGGGCTCAGCCTGGAGAAAAGGAGGCTCAGGGGGGACCTTCTGGCTCTGCAACTCCCTGACAGGAGGGGGGAGCTGGGGAGGACTCGGGCTCTGCTCCCAGGGAACAGGGACAGGAGGAGAGGGAACGGCCTCCAGCTGTGCCAGGGGAGGGTCAGGTTGGATATTGGGAAAATTTCTTCACCCAAAGGGTTGCCCATCCCTGGCACAGCTGCCCAGGGATGTGGAGTCTCCATCCCTGAGGGGATTTAAAAATCCGTGTGGATGTGGCACCTGGGGACAGGGGTCCGTGGTGGCCTTGGCAGTGCTGGGGAACGGTTGGATCTGATCTCAGAGGGCTTTTCCAACCTTAAGGACTCTGTGATTCTCCTGGTTGATCATTTCCCTGGTGGGGACCTGGTGTCACAGGTGTGTCTCTGCCTCCTTCTCCCAGCTGAGTTCAGGCCCTGCTCCAGCCTCTTCCTCTCCTAAAGGTTGCCCTGGCTCCTGTTCAGGCTGGAATGGCCCACAGTGGTGGGAAGAGTTAACAGCAGGCTGGGTGCTGGAGCACTGCAGTGTGTCCAGAGAACGTGAGGTGTGTGCTAAGGTCCTGCATTAGGGCTTTAACCCCTTTTCCTTGGAATCCGTGTCATGTTTATATATAAAAAGTGTTCGCCAGCAAGTTTGGAAGTGATTATGAGCTTTGATCTTGTGTTTTCCTGAGGGTGTGAGTGTAGCCTTCAAAATTACCAATTGAGCAGAAATCAAAGCAGATCAGATTTTAATCTCTGTAGTAATAATGTGCTTTGTTCATCGATTGGGTCACAGATCAAAGCTGCGAGGGCTCTGCCATCCCACTCCGGCCACAACTTCCCAGGGCTGGAATGAAACACCCCTGGATCCCAGAGGGTGCTTTATTTTGCCTCTGCTCTGTGCCCTCTCCTGTCTGAAATCACAGACCTCTGTGCTGGAGACAGAGATTAAAAACTTTTCCTGAAGCCAGAAGGAAAGAGATAGAAGCTGAAAATAACAGGATAATTCCTGGTTCTGTACCCAGGTTCCTAACTAGGTCATCTGCTTCTCCTAAGCAGGGAGAGCTGGCTCTGCCAAGTGCTGAAAGCAATAGGATGCTTTTCCTGACTTCTCCGGGGCTGTTCCCTTTCCCTGGGTGCTGAGACAAACCTCACTACGAATTCTGGCACTGCCAAGGGTTCCTGTCACTCTGCTGTCCCTCAGACCTGGCTCAGGGGGTTCAATCACACTTACAAGGCTCCTGGTGGGATTTTTTTCCAGTTGCTGTTTCATCGTGGAAGGCAGTTCAGGCTGAGTCCTTGGGAATGGGTTGGGGTTTTTTCCCCTTTCTTTCTGTTTTTTGGGAGACTTTCTCTCTCCCAGGGATGCTGTGTGTCTACCAGATACCTGATATTTTGGGGACAGCACTTGCACCCACACACTTTACAAGCTGAATCCCTCTAAAACATGACAAGTCGGTACATCAGGGTCCTTCCTCACTGGAAAGATTGGTGGGCTTGAGTTGGGGAGCTGGTTTGGGAGAGGGTGCAGGGGAGTAGAGCTTTCCTGAGTAACTGCTTAAACACTCTGTGGTGTCAGCCTGTGTCGGGGGCAGCTTCACTTGGAAATTAGGAGGCTTAAAATACCACCCAGCAGCTCCAGCTTGGGTTTAATTTTGTATAATAATGCAGTTTACAGTTTTATTGTTGGGTTGGCTGTCTGGGACTTCTTTAATAAGGAACAAATAATTGCTTGCAGTAGTTCACCGTGTGCTATAAACTGATATTATCAGTTCCAGGGGCTGGAAATGACAAAGAAAGGGTGTTTCCGTTACAATTCTGTTATCAGGTGTCGTGGTCAGCACTGACCCAGGGCTGTTTGTGTGTGTTAGGGTGGAGTACATGGAGAAAAGCAAACACCTGCAGGAGCAGCTGAACGAGCTGAAGACAGAAATCGAGGCGCTGAAGCTCAAGGAGAGGGAGACAGCTCTGGATATCTTGCACAACGAGAACGCCAGCAGAGGCAACAGCAAGCACAACACTATTAAAAAGGTATCCGAGGGCTCCAGTTTGTATCTCCCCTGATGAAACCCCTTAAAAACAACCCCCCAAACCCCCCTGCCCTGTGGGTTAGCTTTGGTATACTTGTGGTAATAAAACTGTTGGATCTAGGTGTCCTTCCCCAGCCGTTCAGCTTCGGACAGAGAATTCCAGCTGCTGGTGGTCCTGACCCAGCCTGGTCTCTGCAGCGCTGTGGGGAGGGATGGGAAGGTCTCCAGGGCTGGAGGTCTTGCTGACCCTGTGCAGGGTTGTTGTTGGAAGGTTTCTGCTCCCCCAGTGAACAGGAAAAGCCCTCTGTGCCTGTTGCAGCCCATTCCCTACGAGCTTCGAGCTTGTAGGATAATGAGGGCAAACCCACTCCTGACCTGTGGGCTCTCTGGGGGAAAAGCCAAAAGCTCGGCCTCTCTTTTAGTGTCTCTTGAGGAACCTGCAGTGCAGCTTCAGTCACTAACACAAAGCCTGTGCTGGCAGGGCTGACACCTCTGCCCCCGTGCTGGGGACCTGCCTCCAGAAATGAGGCACTTCAGCCAAAAATTTAGGCTGGGCTGGGTCTGCTGGCCTGGGGCTCACACCTGAAGGCTCCCAGCAACCCCCCTCCTTTATTCCTACATCCCATCTTTTTCCTTTGGCTCTTCCAAGTGGGCTCTGTGGTGAGGGGCTGGGGTCACACCCCTGATGGGTTTGGTGGGATGTGGTGGTCAGCCCCACTCACCTGCAAAGGCTTTTCCCCTGCAAAGGCTTTTCCTGGCTGGCTTTCTGTCCTTGGGAAGGATTGGAAAATCCATGTGGCACGGGATGCAGGCTGTGGTAACGACTCCAGGCTGTAAAAACAAATCCTTCTCCCTTTACTACTCCCAACCAGGAGTTATGTCTGAAAGGATTTGGAGATACCAGTTCTTGCTGACTTTCATGGCTGAGAGTTTGTGATCACTGAATTGGGGCAGGAAAATGAATCTAGCAGGGCTCACTCTCCGTTTTCCTCGTGCTGGCCCGGAGCTATTCAGGTTCCTGTCACACCAGAGCAGAGAATATAAAAATCTTCACAGCCCCTTTTGTCATTTTAGAATCCGAAGGCGTTTCTGCTCCCAGTAGGTTTGGGTAGGATTTGTCTCTGTGTTCTGAGTCCTTGGTTTAAACAGAAGCTGCTAAATTTTCACTTCTGACAGAGAGCAGTTCATAGAGAGCTGATGGTTCCATTTGTCTCCCTTAAAGAGGGTGGCTGGGCAATCATTCCCGTGGCTGTCAGGGCTGTCATGGTGCTGTCACCCTGCCTTCCTTTTGAAGCTGGAGCCTCGTCCTGTCCCCTCCCTGCCGGGGGGAGCTCAGGCCGTGCCCGGCTGCTGCCTCTCGGCACAGGAGCAAAGGTTCCCAAATAACAGTCTATTAGTGGAGCACATCAGAGTGGAATTACAGCCTCCCTCTGTTCCTGGCCCCGGGGGGTCAGCGGGGCTTTTGTCTTTGCCGTTGTGAAGGGAAGGAAGACACGAGGCACAGGGAATGGGATGGCAGTTCAGCAACCCTTCCATAGCCCCAACCCTCACCTGGGAGCTGCTGAGCGGCTCCAGCACTCGGGGCAGGCACAGAGTGCTCAGCTGTGCCCTGGCTCCCACCACACAGGATCACTCTTTGTTGTTGTTGTTGTTCCTTTTATTTTGCTGGTTTAGCCTCAAGCCCAGGGCAGAAGACCTATCTGCATTTGAGAATTCCAAGTAGGTTATTCCAAGGTACTCTCTGTGGGGGTGATGGGGCCTGGCTGTGACACTAACCCGTGCATGAGCTTGCCTGCCCTCCCCTGCGGTGGCACCAGCATGTCCAGGCAGCCCTGCCCGGCTCTCCCTCCCTCGGGAGCATTCCCAGCCTCCCTGCCTTTCTTCTTACACCTGATCCTCCATGCTGGGAAGTGTCTTTCCTGGCAGAAGTTGAGTTGGCAACCCTGATGGGGGGGGAGTGCAGGTAGAGACACTTAAATAATTCAGCATTCCTGTTTTTGCGCTGCTGCCAGGGGTTGGGAATCTGTCGGAGGTGCAGAGCAGCCTTTGAAGATTCCTTTAATGAAGTAAATCAGCACCTTCCCCCTTGTTTGCTGCAGAAAGAAATTCAGGACATAGGAAAAAAAACAAACAAACCCAAACCCAAACAACCAACCAAACCCCATCAGCTCTGCTGCCAAAACTGTCACAACAGGCTAAAAATGCACAGCTCCGTCTCAGAGCGGAGCAGCACGTGGATGCTCTGCCTGTTGGAGAAGTATCCCAGGAAGATAAAGCAGAGGATTGAGGACAAGTGATGTCTGCAGGTGGCTCTGGGGCCAGGCTGTGCCTGAGGATGATCCAGGGGGGCTGTGCTGGAGGTGTCACCACCACACTTAGGGACATGTCTGGTCCTCCAGCCCGGGGGCTTCTGCTCCATTAATTCTTTGTCTCTTCCTCCCGGAGCCTGCTTTCCTCCAAGGGTTTGCCCTCAATCCACAGGCAGTGTCTGTGCACAGCATCCACTCCCTCCTTTGGGAGGATGAGTTGGGGAAGCTTTTAAGCTTTTCCTCTTCCCTCCGGTGTGGTTCTGGCACACCCCGGCTTTGGACATGGGGTGGAGGGACAGGACACGAAGAATGGCTTCCCACTGCCAGAGGGAAGGGTTAGATGGGAGATGGGGAAGGAATTGTTGGCTGTGAGGGTGGTAAGACCCTGGCACAAGTTGCCCAGAGAAGCTGTGGCTGCCCCTGGATCCCTGGAAGTGCCCAAGGGCAGGTTTGGAGTTGGTGGCACTAAGGGGAGAGGCATCGTGGGTCCTGGGATAGAGGCACTCACAATGACAGGTGGCAGAGCTGGTGGGAAGTGCTTTTGGAAATGGCAGAGCAAATTCCCAGCACCTCTGGAGCCTGGGAGCAGAGGCAGGGGGATGCTTTGCCCAGCACAGGTTTGGGCTGTTCCCGCACAACCAGCCCTTCCAGGGGCTGTAAATCCCTATTTGTGCCTGCTCTGGGAGCTGCAGCTGCTCCCAAGGGGCTGAAACAAGAGCTGATCCTGCAGGTCTGGACCCCCTTGGGGGACGTGTTGGACATCTCAGGGAAGGCTGGCCATGGATGGAACCCACTGTCCCGTCCTGTCTGGTGTGAGGAACTCCAGGGCAGGTGGATTTGGAGTGAAATCCACTTGTGGGCTCAACAGGAGGCGGGGAAATGAAGCCCTGGCAGTTTGTGGGAGGCCGATTCCAGCAGCTGGGAGCAGTGCAGTGCCTGGGAGGAGCCCTCCCGACGAGAGCAGCTGCGCAGCGAGGCTGCAGTGTGACCTCTGGGGTTTGTTGCCTGCCTTTGAAGACGCCCGCGAAGTTTTTCATGTTTAATTACGTGGTTAACATGCTAATCCCTTTTTATGAGCTCTGTGGGCACAGCACAAGCACCTCATTGGGAAGCTGCTCTCCCTTCTCCCAGCGCTCCCCGCCGTGGGCTGGAGCTGTGGCTCCGGCTGGCTCCGATTCAGGAGGGTTTGTCACTGAGGCTGTGGCAGAGGGTGAAAAACCCACTTCTCCCTCGTCTCCTCTGCTGTAGGAAAGCTCCCAGGACAGGCTGCTAGAGCACAATCAGGTCTTTGATTCCAGTTGCTTTCTTCTTGCACAGTCATGCTTATTTACTGGGATTTAAGCCCTTTGAAGTATCCAGGCAAGGAGCAAATCTCCACGCCTGTTCCCAGACAAGCGGCTTTGTCGTTGAGCCTCTGGTCCTGCCACAGCCAGGCTCGGCCTCTCCTGCCAGGCTCTCACGTGGCTCCTGCTCTGCCCAGGCACAGCAGCTCTGGGACTGGAGCTCCCTCCTGGGGCAGCATTTTGGGGCCCATGGGGATCGTGTGGATCCTGCTGGCTCCTGTCCTGGCTCTGATCCTGGTTGTGCTGCCCTCGGATAGGCTGATGGTCATCCTGGAGATGCTCCCAGGGCTGGAGCCCCTCTGCTCTGGAGCCAGGCTGGGACAGCTGGGGGGGTTCACCTGGAGAAGAGAAGGCTCCAGGGAGACCTGAGAGCCCCTTGCAGGGCCTAAAGGGGCTCCAGGAGAGCTGGAGAGGGACTGGGGACAAGGCATGGAGTGACAGGACACAGGGAATGGCTTCCCACTGCCAGAGGGCAGGGATAGATGGGAGATTGGGAAGGAATTCCTGGCTGTGAGGGTGGGGAGGCCCTGGCCCAGGTTGCCCAGAGAAGCTGTGGCTGCCTCTGGATCCCTGGAAGTGTCCAAGGCCAGGTTGGACGGGGCTTGGAGCAACCTGGGCTGGTGGAAGGTGTCCCTGCCCATGGCAGGGGGTGGGACTGGATGATCTTAAAGGTCCCTTCCAACCCAGCCCATTCCAGGATTCTGTGATTCTGTGGATGCAGGATTTTCTCCTGTCACCGAGGCACTTGGGGTTGGATGAGCTGCCCCAAATCTGCTCCGTTACCACCAGTAGCTCAGTCTGGGGTTCCTCCATCACGAACAGTCCCGTTCTACCACCTTCCTACAGGCACAGCATCGTCCTCCTTAGGTTTAGGGGATGAGCAGCTCCCAGCTGGAAGCACAGAGGGATGAGCAAGGCAGAGCCCAGGGGATTTGTCTTCCCTCCCACCCTGGAGCTGTGCTCTGTCCCTGTAAGGACCCTGGTGAGTTAATGATGGCACTGCTGGCCGAGTCTGTGTCACACAGACAGGATGTGCCACCCCCAAATGTCATGAGGCTCCTTCATCATCTGGACAGGCAGAAGGTTTCTGGGAGGCTGCTGCTGGGGCAGACACCTTCCCTCTCCGTCTTTTCCTGGGAGCTGTGTGCTAAGGATCATTGACACCTGGCCCTCGAGGACTTTCACAGGTCTTGGGGGGTCTCTGTCATCTCCTGGGGACTCCTTTCCTCTGGAACTGCACATTTCCCTGTGTGAAATGGGTCTGGTTTGCTCCAGTGTTTGGTGGGGAGAAGGAGGATGTTGTTGTGCCTCTGGAGCCTCATCCAGCACAGGGAAGGGACCAGCACAGGGAATGTTCTGGGAAGGGCAAAAGAAGGAAGCCTGGGTGGGACAGAGCAGGCTGAGCTGCCCACTGGTGGGTCCATCCCTCCCTGCAGATCCCAGGACAGGGATGAGGTGCTGTTTGGTCTCCTGCAGAGCTGTGTAATCCCATCCCACCAGGAACGGGAAGGCTGTGTGTGCTGCAGGGAGGACACAGCACCAGCAAGGGGCTCCCCAGGGAGCTGTGAGGCTGGAGAAGATGAGTGAGGATTCCATCTTCTCACCCTGCCTGGCACCTGTCTGGGGTGCAGGTGAGAGCCAGGACACACCTGCTGAGCAGAGCAGCTCCGGGAACGCATTTTCCACGTGCAGGAGGAGGTGGAGGCCCATCTCACGTGGGTCTTGCCCACACACCCCCCTGCGTGAGAGGCCACGTCCCTTCCAAGTTCGCTTTCCTTCGTGTTCTCCTCGGAGCCGGGAAGTGAAACTCCCAGGCAGTTAAAACTGGGACACACAGGCAGCCTCCTTTTCCTTGTTTACAGGGAACGGGAGGAAAGTAGGAAACGTCAGGGCTATCAGCTATTTCTGTGGCTGCCTTTGAAAAAAGCGTTTCCTTCACATGGAGCGTCATCCTCTCCTTTCAGACGGGGCTCATCAAAGCGCCGGGGGCTGGGGGACAGTTGTGCTCGGCAGCGTGGGAGGGAGGCGGGAGCCGGGAGGGGAAAACGGGAAGAGTCGGGTTCCAAAGTAAATGTGGGAATTGAAAAGTCCACCGGGCCGGTGGGACTGGGGACTGGGCAGGGAGGGAGAAAGCACCAGGGCGGCGAATGGGGAATAAATCAGCAGCGCTGGGTGACGGCGTAGCAGGGAATGTAGATCTCCTTCCCATCAGCAGGAAGATATCCCACATCCCGGCGTGGCGTGGCACCCCTGGAGGTGTTATGCCCCTCCTCCAGCCCGGCCAGGCTGCAGCATAAACAAGGAGACAGCAAGGAAATGGGCCATTTTAAACCTTTATCTGTGGGGGAGGCTTGGGGGCAGGTTGATGCGATTTGCAGCCCCTTCCCCTGCCCCCTGGGAGGGTCCCAGCTCCGGGGGGCTCACGGGAGCCCCGGGGGGGGTCCCTCTATCGGGTTTTCCCAGCCCCCAGAGGTTCTGTGCCTGCAGTTATTGGGTTACCTGCCCCAAACCGCCTTTCCCTGCCAGGCACTTATTGGCTTGCTTTGCTTTGTTTGTTTTTCCTAAATCAAATCAGTCCAGCAGCGCTGGGTAACAGCAGGCTCGGAGGAGCCCCGGCACAGGAATGCAGGGAGCGGGACTCTTCCCTTCCTCACATCTTGATTCATTCCAGCTCTGGCCGCTTAATTGCGCTGCCTCCTCTCTCCCTCTAAATTTTCCTTGATGGCTCTGGTAGAGCATCGGGAGCCCACCCTCCCTCCTGCAGGAAGGAGATTATCATAATACTGCTTGTAAATCAATTTTTTTCTTCCTTTTCTCCGCACTGACGAGAATATAACTCCCTCTTAATCACCCTGCGCAGCACCACGCTACGGGGAGGGAGATTTATTTCCCCTCGCCTGGCCAGCAGAAGGGGATGCAGAGGCTGTGGAGAGTTTTTGGAGGTGCTGGAGAAGCCTCTTCCCCCCGTGGATTGTGGAGAGGGCAGCACAGGGTGATGCTCTCCTAACTTGCTTTCATGTCCTTAAAAAAAACAAAACAAAACCAAAAATTGGAGGAAAAGCGGCTGTTCTGTGCTGAGGGAGTGGGATTTCCCTGCAGAGAGCTCCCCTCGCCCACCGGCTCCACAGCACCGGCTGGGATGAGTCAGGCTGCCCCAGGAGCTCCCCTGGGCTCTTCCCATCTTCCCCCAGCACATCCCTCGGGTCTGGATGGGAGCGAGGATAGCCCTGCCTGTGCTCCACAGCCAGGAAAACAACAATGAAAGAAAGAAAAAAAATGGAGGGTTTTCCCTCCAGGCACAGCAGAGCATCTCCGGTGCAGAGTCAGGAGCAGTCCTGATTCCCTGTCTGCTGATGTCGGTGCCTGGATGCAGCTGGATGTGAGGAGGCAGCTGCCTGGAGCTGCTGGGCTGATCCTGGTCCCTTTTGGAAGGGACCTTAAAGCTCATCTCATCCCACCTCCCTGCCACGGGCAGGGACACCTTCCACTAGCCCAGTTTGCTCCAACCTGGCCTTGGACACTTCCAGGGATGGAGCAGCAACAACTTCTCGGGGGAACCTGTGCCAGGGCCTCCCCACCTTCCCAGGGATGAATCCCTGTGGTCTTTGCCTTTCTGGCCACTGCTGGGATACAGTGATCCACAGGGCATGGTCCTCTTGGGATGTCCCTGTAAGGATGTTTCTTCCCACAGAACCCCATCGCATCAAGATCCATCCTTGCTCCCATTCCCTGTGTGCCCAGAGCTGGGCTGCTCTTCCCATGCCTCGGTGTCCCTGGATAGGTAAAATACCACTGAGCATCTCGGGAGCCTTGGAATGTCAGGATGAAAGCACCAGGGCAAGGGGCAGGGCTGCATCTCTCCTTTCTCCTCGTGCCTGTGCTGGATGTCCCAGAGCTCTGCCTCCACCTGCTTCCCAAAGCTGGGAGCTGAGGCAGGCACAGCTTCGGGCTCAGGACCTCAAAAGCACGTGGGGGGTTAATGGAGAGCTGTAGCTACAGGCAGAGCAGTCTGATTCCTTGCTAAGCCTGAGGGGAACATCTTCCCTCTGCTCCGTAAGCAGGTGGAGCTGGCTCTGTTCTTTCCTCCAGCTGGGTTTGCTGGGGGGGATCTGGGGGGCATCTCCTCTCACTGGGATTTTTAATGGGGTGAACTCCTGTGGGCTGGGGGAGCGTGGGAGGCTCTGCTCCCCTAGCCAGGCTAAAGAAGGGATGGATGTGGTGGCAGGGCCTTGGGAAAGAGGTGGATGGCAGGTGGATCATAGAATTGTGGGATGGTTTGGGTGCATTGGGACCTTAAAGCTCATCCCATCCCACCCCCTGCCATGGGCAGGGACACCTTCCACCAGCCCAGGTTGCTCCAAGCCCTGTCCAACCTGGCCTTGGACACTTCCAGGGATCCAGGGGCAGCCACAGCTTCTCTGGGCAACCTGGGCCAGGGTCTCACCACCCTCACAGCCAGCAATTCCTTCCCAATCTCCCATCTATCCCTGCCCTCTGTCAGTGGGAAGCCACTCCCTGTGTCCTGTCCCTCCATGCCTTGTCCCCAGTCCCTCTCCAGCTCTCCTGGAGCCTTTAGGCCCTGTAACACTTCCAGAGATGGGGCTTTCCTGTCAGGTGTCCCCATCAGAGGGTCTGGGAGCAGCCTGGGGCTCTCCACTCCACTTTTTTCCCTTTTCCAGACTTAGGCAAAGCGCTGCCCATGGCACAGAGCCCCTATCCCAGCTCTGGAGGGGACACTGGAGCAGCTGGGGGATGCAGAGGAGGAGGAGGAGGAGAACCAGCCCTGGTCTGGGAGCTGCTGCCAGCAGAGATTCTTAAGCCCCTGCAGAAATTTCCTCTGCAATACAGACTTTTTTTTTTTTCTAAGTGGCATCAGAGCTGTGAAGGAATTACTGAGGAAAGGCCGTGGGGGAGAAGCAGGGAGGGGGGAAGCGCCTGACGGCTCCATTGAGGGGCTTAACTCACTGGAAGGTGATCCCAGGATTCCTGTTTCAGCAAAACCGGCATTCCCAGCGGAAGCACCGTGCTTAATCCAGCTGAAAGGAAGCCTTGGCAATTAGCCTGCTGCTTTGGCAAAGTGCTGGGGATCCAGCAGCTGGCTGGGAGGTGGCACTTCCCCCGGCGCGCTCCGTTGGGTGGGTGTCTGTAAATCCCGGGATTTCGTTCTCTTTCATCTCCTTTGGCCCGTTAGCAAGTGGGCTCCCGGCTCCTCCGCGGGGTGTTATCTTTGGGGTCGCCTTGCTATCGCTGCAGGAAAGCTTTCCAAGGGTCTCCAGGTCCTGCAGGGCCTTGGCTGCAAGGACAGCCCTGCGAGCAGGGGCTCTGCGGCTCTGTCCTCCAGCAGGATGGATGGAGCAGGACCAGGACGAGATCCCGGGATGCTGGAGTGGCTGCACACGTGGTGGGATGGGCCTGGACATGAGCAGGGACAGAGGATGGTCCCTGTTTGGTGACAGGGACACGAGTCCAGGGGCTGTTGGAGCAGTGGGTTCGGAGACGAGCGTGGTTCTCCCTCAGCTCGTGGATGTTTCTCCTCCAGCTCCCCAAGATCCCTGTGTGCTCCCCTCCACCAGGAGCCCCAGGACTGGCTCCTTTGATCCACCTCCCGTGTATCCCACATCCTGGAAGCCTCAGCCACGCTAATGATCTTGATTTAGCCTTTGTTCCCCCACCCCGCCCCGCTTTGCCCTCGGGCTGTGCTTGCTGTGGTGGGGGCTGCACGACCTCTGCTCCCGCGGCCCCCCCGGCTCCGCCTTCCCTGCTGTTCCCGGAGGGATACAGAGACAGCGGCTCCGTCCTGCCCAGCCCGGGGACTCCCCCTCACCTGGCTCTGCTCTCTTCCAGCTCACCCTGCAGAGCACCAAGTCCCGCGTGGCCTTCTTCGAGGAGCTCTAGGAAGGGTCCTGCCGCTCCGCACCGCTGCTGCTTCCCGAGGGCCCCCGGAGCCTGGCCCGGGCCGGGGGTGCCCGCGGGGCCAGGGAGCCGGGCACCACCCCGGCCCCCCCGGCTGCTCCAGCCCCCGCACCCCGCCGGCCCCGGGGCTGCCCACGGACTGTGTGACGTTCTCTAGCTTAGTGTCCCTTCACCCTCCTCCCTCACGCTCTGTTTTCCTGGGGTTTTCCAGCTTTTCTCTATATTTTTTTCTAGCACAGCTTCTAGGCTCGGCCCTCCAGGCTTTTCCCTGGTGCCAGGGTAGGGGCTGTGGTTGTGCCCCCCCCAAACTGGCAGCCAGCAAGAGGAGTGTGCCCAAGGCTCTCCCTGGCAGGGACCACATCCCTCGGGGTTGCCTCCTCCTGCTGTCCCTGGAGCTCCGGGTCTCAGCCTGGAGCCCTGTGTGCCTGCTCTGAAGCCCCTTGTGCCAGCCCAGAGCTCCGTGTGCCAGCCCTGGAGCCTCATGTGCCAGCCCTGGGGTCCCATGTGCCGGTCCCAAGAGCCCTGACCCAGCCCTGGAGCCCCGCGTGCCTGTTCCACAGCCCCGTGTGCCTGTTCCACAGCCCCGCGTGCCCTCCCGTGCCGGGAGCTCCATTAGGACGCAGAGCATGTTCCAGTGGAGTGCTGTAAATCAGGGCCGGCTCTCCTAGCGCCCGCCGTGGATGGGAGGCGGGAGCGGGATGACAGGGACCTGGGCCTGTGGGAATCCTGGCGGCTGCTTCCCGGGGGAGAGGAGGGGGGAGGAAGGTCTCCTCCTCCTCTCCTCCTCCTTTTCCTCCTCCCCCTCGCTGCCGGGAATGCGGAGCGGGAGAACAACTAGTGCCAACCAAATGAAACCTTATTTTTCCTGCAAACTGTGACAAACCTGGACAGCTTCAGGCTGGGGGGCTGCGGGCTGGGCTTTCCCTGGGCGCCTGCATCCAGCCCCTCCGCTCCCCGCCCCGGGAATGCCGCTCTCCCGGGCTGAGCCCGGGGCTGCTCCTGCCTGTCCCACAGCGGGTGCCTTCGCTCTGACCCCCCCGCGGGGGGAACAGGGATGCCCTGCCCTTCCCTTCCTGTCTCCGTCCCAAATCCCGCCCGGGTGCAATCCTCCTTCCAGCCGCGATTTCCCCTCCAGCAGAGCCGGTGCTGCCCCGGGGATCCCCCACACCCCCTGGGGACCCCCCAACTCCTCCCTCCCACAGCCCCCCCGGAGGCTCAGCCCGGGGCTTGGCGTGGCGTAACTCCCATCCCAACCCCTTTTTATTTAAAACGTGGGATGGATTCCTTGCCCGTGCCTGCAGTTTGGGATGGCTGTGGCCCGGCACAGCCGCATTCCCACTCCCTGGACTGTCGTACTCCCAAGGAATAACTGTTTTCTCCTGTTTTAATAAAAATTCACAGCACTAGGAGGGGAGCTGGGGTTTCTTTGCTCTTTTTTATTTCGGGAAAAAACTCTTGAGTCCTTGGGAGGGGTTAATGGGAAGCACAGCCGAGGTCCTTCCGGCAGCTCCCACGGGATCGGGATGGATTCTCCCTCCCCATCATTCCAGGGGTCCCAACTGTTCCTGGTCATTCCCTCCCCTCCCTCCTTGAGGGAAAAGAGATTTGGGGGCCGGCGGGGCCGAGCCCTGTGTTTGCCATTCCTGCCGATGCTTCCTGATCCCGTCCTGCCTGGAATAAAGGATGCACTGCACTGACCTCCATTCTGTCATTAATCACGGCTGAAACCGGCCCTGCCCAACACTCCGAGCCCAGCAAGGCCGGACCCCAGACCGGGATCGGCGATGGATGTGCTTTCTATCCGCTCTCCTGCGGCAAATCCCAGGAGATTCACGGGAGCTTCTGGCCGGGGCTCGTCCCCAGCGTCACGGGGGCTGGGGAGATTTTCCCCATCTCCTTGTTTTTAGGAGGGCTGAGGGAGCTGGGGTGGGATTTGGGCGTGCTGGTGGGCTACCCGCGGGATTTCGGGATGGCTGGAGGCAGCGGAGGAGGGACACGGAGGGTGACCTGAAATCTCTCATGGCCACTGATGAAAGGAATGCAACTGGTGCTTCCTGCCCTGCCTGCATCCCAAAATGAGCCAAGAGGCTTTTCCCAGCCCAGACCGGGACAGGAGCACAGGGGATGTGCTGGGAATGTGCAGGGATGGAAGTGCAGGGTTGGATGTACAGGGATGGATGAACTGGGAATGAATGGACTGGGGATGGATGGACTGGGGATGGATGTACAGGTGGATGTGCAGGGATGGATGGACTGGGATGGATGTGCAGGGGATGGAAGTGCAGGGATGGATATGCAGGGATGTACGCACTGGGTTGGATGTGCAGGGATGGATGTGCAGATGGATGCGAAGAGGATGGATGCACTGGGTTGGATGTGCAGGGATGGATGTACCAGGATGGATGTGCAGGGATGGATGTGCAGATGGATGTACTGGGATGGATGCACTGGGGACGCACTGGGCGCAGCTGGGAATGGATCCAGTGTGGGGGGGTCTCCTCCTGCCCTCTGGCACAGGGATCCACAGGGATCCCCACTGCTCCAAGAAGCTCTGCACGCTCAGCCTTGCACACCCACGGCCTTGCACACTCACAGCTTTGCACACCTGCAGCCTTTAGTTCAGTCTGGCACACCCACAGCATCACACACCTGCACACTCAGCTCTGCACACCCACAGCCTCACACTCCCAGCCTTGCACACTCACACGCTCACAGCTTCCTGCTCACACTGCACACCCACAGCCTCACACACCTGCACACTCAGCTCTGCACACCCACAGCCTCACACACTCCCTACCTTGCACACTCACGGCATTGCCCCTCCACCCGCAGCCCAGTGCCCGCTGCCCCCCTGCCCTCCCTGGCGTATCCCAGGCTGTTCCTCTACTTCCAAAGGAAATTCCATCCTGTTTTTTTCCCTTTTCCCCGGTGAGCCCTCCAGGAGCTGTGGCAGCGGGTATGGGTTGGTGGGAGCTGACTTTGCTCGAGAAAAAGAAAACCACCAGCCAACTTTCCCACCTGCCTCTCCCAGTGCCTTCCCCTGCCACGGCTTCCTGGGGAAGGAAATTGGGGATTTGGCCAATCCCAGGTGACACCCAAGGGCTTTGGCAGTGGTTCTCCACTTTGGGGTCCCCAAACCTCCTCCACTCACATTTGTTTCACTTCCCAACCATTAAATTCCCTCAAAAACAGAATAAACCACCAAGAGCTGGGGCAGAAGCGTTGCCCATGGGAGGGGGGCACTGCTGGCGCCAGGACAGAGGGGACAAAGGGTGACCTGGGGGTGGCCAGGCCAGGCCCAGCAGCCCTGCAGGGGGGTCACGGTGCTGGTGCAGAGTCCACCCAAAATGTGCATGGCTTTGGTTGGCAACTCTGCAGGAAAAGAGCTTGGAAGGGGCAGAGTGGATGGATGGGGGGGAAACCGAGGCAGGGATGGCACTGGCATAACTGTCCAGCTCCAGCTGGTGTCCCCCCACCCATGGGTGCTGCTCCACAGCCCCCTGCACCCTGGGGGCTGCCCGGGGGAGGTGAGATGGGGGTTAGTGGGGAGAGGGAGACCCTGGCAAAGCCCCAGAGAGGGCTGGGGGGCTCCTGCACATGTGGGGAGTGTGTGTGCCCGAAGGGAGGGCGTTTGCACCTGGCACAGGCTGGAACCAGGAGGACTGGGGCACCCCCGGGGCAGAGGTGGCTCTGTGGGTTCACCTCTGCCCACCAGCGATACAGTGGGAGTTGGGGGAGCAGCCCAGGGACCCCCCACCCCTGCCCTCAGGACTCCCCTTGCAGGTGTCAGGTAAAACGCTGCTCCCGGTGACTGGAACCAGACGGATCCTGCTCTTTTCCGATGGTGTCTTGAGGACGTGGGGACCTGATTCCTTCCTCTCTGACAGCTGCCAGCCTGGCGCTGTCCCCGCCATCCCCATCCATCCTCATCCATCCTCATCCATCCCCATCCATCCCCATCCATCCTCATCCATCCTCACCCATCCCTGCTGGCTCGGGCTGACGGCTGGCACAGCACAGCCGGCTGCATCCCTCCACCTCTGCCTTCCAGGGAGGAAAAGGGGGAAGAAAATGACTTTAGGAAGGAGGAGGGAGGGGAGGGGCAGCCCTGGCAGGGGATGGCACCCAGGGCCACCTGCTCCCTGCTGAGACCTGGCAAACTCGGTGCTCTCTGTGGGTGAACTGGGGACCTATCACACAGGGAAACCAGAGCTGCAGAGCCCTGGCTGGGCCCAGAGGTGCCCGTTCAGCCCCAGGAGGGGATAAAATATGGATGCTGTGGGATCAAAAACACGTGGAGTGGAGGGGGAATTGCTGGAGCCCAGTAGGGGGTGTTGGGTGAGGTGTGATGGGGTGTGGGACCTTGGTGGGGTGCAGGACACTGTGGGGGGGTGCAAGACCACCCCATGGGGTGTAGGAGCACACGTGGGGTGCAGGACCTTGTAACGGGGTGCAGGACCTTATGAAGGGGTGCAGGACCTTGTGAAGGGGTACAGGACCTTGTGTTGGGGTGCGGGATCACCCCAGGGCTGCAGGAGCACATGGGGGAGCACAGGACCATGGGATGGGGTGCAGGACCTCAAAGGGGGGGTGTAGGATGCTGTGGTTTGGTGTGGGACCATGGGATGGGGTACAGAACCATGGGATGGGGTGTAGGACCACTGGATGGGGTGCAGCACTGCCTTGGGGCCGGATCCAGAGTGGGAATGCTGGAGTCCCACTCCCATTGTAATAGAAGGGTTAACTTTGCTCATAAAATCTTATGTGTAGGGGAATAAGAAACTTTTATTATAATTCAACAAGATAAGTTTCACAGACATCCTATTAATCAAGTAAGTGTCAGTAAAATTAATTACAGACATCTTGCTAAACAAACAAATATCAGTATCGGTAGAATTTACAACTGGTAAGAAGTACAGCTTTCATCTCTGACGAATTCCAGATGACCACCTAACAATGAGCCATACACTCACAACCACAAAGCAGGTTTACACTCAAAACCTGGGACTTGAAAATGTATAAAAAGGAACATTTGCTACATTTTGGTGTGTGCCTCGGGCAGGGCACTTGCCCCCCAGACCACCCAGCTCTGTCTTCGCTTTATTATCGCTTGCTTAATAAATTTATCAATGTTTAATTGGAATTGAGTTGTCTAAATTCTTACACTAATTTATAACACCATCACCTTCTCCTGCTCAGCCATGGGAACACAGGGCACTGTCACAGCCCTGCTGGGATGTGCCTGCTGCCAGCCTGATGTCACCTGGCCTGGGCATCCTGGCACCAGGTGCCTTTGGGACCTGCCGTCCTGGCACTGGGCACCACCAGATCTCGGCACCACTGGATCCCGGGGCCTCCCACTGCAACAGGCCACAGCACCTGGGAAGGTGGAGCTGATGTCACCACCTGTCACTGTGCACCAGCAGCGGGGTGGGAGCAGAGCCTGGACTGGCACAGCCGTGTCCTGGAGGCAAAACTCCTTGCAGGAGCCATCCCCTTTCCCTTTGGAAACCTTATTTCCCCTAGGCAGAATTCCTGCCTCCTCCCACGGAGGGGATATTCCCCCTGCCCCTTCAGAACCCAAATTAAACCTCCGAGCCTTCCCCATTCTCCCTTCCCGCCCCTCCCGCCTGGAGCCTGGCCCGGCCTTTCCCCTGAACTTACGGAATGTGGGAACGGTCCTGGCCACGCTGGGATGCGGCTCCCGGACCCTTCCCGAGGGTTATCTCCTCTGCCCTTCCCAGGTTTCCAGCGGGCACTGGGAGCTGGCAGCCGGCGCGGCCGCTGGGATAACCTTGTGGCTCGGAACGTTGCAGCCATCCCTCTTCTCCTATCAAGCGTTCATTTAGGAAACATTCCACTAAATACCCGCCTGACAGCGCCGGCCCCGGGAGATTGATGCCTCTGGTGCCTCCAGGGCTCGGTGCCAGCGGTGACTTTAAAATGACACCACGACACCCCGAGCCCCTCTCGGCCCCTCCCGGTGCCCGGTGAGCCAAGGGACAGTCTGGAGGACGCTGTGGTGCTGCCCACCCCCATTCCAGCGTCCTCACACTGCCCGGGAGAGTTATCCATGGGGCTGTCCTGGGGGATTTGAGGGCACTCGGCACAGGTTTGCATCGTCACCAGCTGGAGATGGACATTTGCTCTGCCACTTTCCCCCCATCCCTGTCAGCTTTTCCATGGCTTTGGAGCATCCCCTTCCCATCTCCAATTCCATCCCCATCCCACCCCCATCCTATCTCCATCCATATCCCATCCCATCCTGTCCCCATCCCTTCCCATCCCCATGCCTGTGAGGGATCCCTGTACCCATCCTCATCCACAACTCATCCCATCCCATTTCCAGCCCTGGCCCCATTCTCAGCCCATCTCTGTCCCTATCCCAGTGCCACTGTCATCCCCTCCCACCTCATCCCAATCCCATCCCCATCCCAATCCTCAGCCCTCACGGCAGGAGAGAGCCCAGGAGTCTCCACTGGGCAGAGGAGGATGTGGAGCCAGGGCAGGAATAAACAAGGAGCAGATTAATGAAGGCTCCATCAGCCCCATCCCTGTGCCAGCACCACTTCAGTCCTTTTCCTTTCCATTCCTCCCAGAATTCCTGAAAACAATAAGGCCATCGATGTCGGGATGTGAACCCGGAGTGAGGGACTCCTGAGAGGGAGATCCTCCCATATCTGCGGACGGGACACGAAATTCCAGGCCTGGATCGTGCCCCTCCCACCTCGTCAGTGGGATCAGTTAATTAGGGAAGAAGCCGGGAGTGCCGGGAAGGTGCCACTGTCACTGAAGGGACGAAGGGACAGCAGGGAGAGGTGGCACCGACCTGCTGGCAAGGTCTGAGCCCCGGCTGGGATAAAGGGGGAATTGTGAAAAGGATCCACAAATAATGGAGGAATTATGAAGAGGAACGTTCCCAACATCCCAGCGGTGCAGGAAAGGGGTAAATCCCCCAGCTGTGGCTGGGATTTTAAGCTGAAATCCCTGGGATTTGGGGATGCCGCTGCCTCAACCCCACCATCTCAGGACCGAGGTGTGAGATTCTCCCCCCAAAATCAGCGAGGGAATTCAGCACAGCCTTCATCCCACGAGGATTGTCCCAGCCTTCATCCCACGAGGAAGAGGGTGATGTGGCCGAGCTGGCCTCCGGAAAAGCACGGAGAGCGCTCCGACGGTGATCCCTAATGAACAAAAACCTCATCAAGCATTCAGATGCAATTAAGCCACTTAATTCTCACTTCCCCCTCCCCGTGCCGCCTGCTCCCGCTCCATCCCCGGGGAGCAGGAGCCGGGATGACCGGCTGTCCCCCATCCTTAGGGAATGCTGCTCCCACAGGTCCCTGTCGCTGCACAGAGAGCTCCGCTGGGGATTTGAGGGGAAAAGCCCAGAAATTGGCCGTGTTATTCCTGCTGGGATTTGGGCGGTGAGAAATTAATGAGTTTCCACCCCGGGGCCTCCAGAGAATTAACTGGGAGGGAACTTCGTTAACATCGAGGAGCAAATTAAAAAAAAAAAAAAAATAAGGAGGAGATTTTTAATCAGGCTTTGCCTTTTTGGGTTTCTTTCTCCCCAAAAGCCACTTGTTATTCTCAGCATTCCCCTCTCAAGTGCTGGGAGCTCAGGCACGGTATCAGACACCGGGGACTCCCCGTGGGACACAGATCCATGTGCCCCGACACCATCCCGAGCTCCGGGAGAGGATGGAATTGTGGCAGAGCTGGAAAAATCCACCCCGCGGGAGGAAGGACCCTGCCCTGGGCGCTGAGACCCCGCAGCGCCGGGAATTGCTGATCCCTGAAATCCCCCTCTCCGGAGCGCGGCCGGGCTGCTCTTTCCGCTGCCGGAGAGGGAAATTTCTCCCAACTAAAAAACAGCTTAAAGGGGACCCCAGCTGGTTAAATCCAGCGGCGGCTGCAGCGGCAGAGCTGCCGGGAGGCACAGGTGGGATTTGGGGAGCCCCGGAGAAGGGTCCCGACCGCTGCTCCGGCCGGAGCTGGAAGGAGCAGCGCAGGGAGGTTGGAGCTGCCCGAAAATTCCCGGTAGCGTTGGCTGGGATGAGGCTGAGCACGTGTGCGGGGCGGCTGCGGGAGGCAGGGGGCGTCTAGTGAAGGACTTGGTTGGAGCGACAGGAGCCCCATTCCAGGATTCTGGGCGTTCTTGTGGCAGTGCCAGCACGAGCAGCGCATCGGCAACCTGCCCAGCCGTGCCTCAGTTTCCCCGTCCCCTTTGGAGCATCCCTGGTGTCCGATGAGCTCCTGGGAGCTGCCGGCTGCCCTCCTTTTCTCATTCCCTCATTCCCTTTGGGCTCTGGGGACAGTGTCCCTCCTGCCCCCAGCCCCTTCCCTCCCACCTCCGAAGGGGCCCTGCAGCCTCCCCGTGCCACTGTCCCCACTTCCAGAGGTGCCACCAAGGCGCGGGGGACACTGTGACCCACAATGTCCCAGCGGGTTGGACACTCCCACCCAGGGAAGGTGAACAGCAGGATTTGGGAGGGGAGATGTGCCAGGCCCTGGGAGCATCCCTTCCCACTGACTGGAGCACGGGTGGGTGTCACAGGGACACAGACACCAGTGGGGACCTGCCCTGGTGCATCAGCCCAACTGGGATTAATCACTGTCAAAGTGAGAAATGAGGTGAAAACCGGGATCAAGGCTGGGGGGAAGTGGGGCAACTGGAAAAGGGGACAAGGACAGAGGGCTTTGCTCCTGGTCCCCCTTCCCGCCCCTTCCATGGTTCATTTTTCCCGTGGTGTGAGAGCAGCAGGTCCGGCTGGGGGGGTCACTGTCACCACACAGCACCCTGGGGACCTTGGCTTGTGGTGGTACATGTAGGGACTTTGTGGTGGTGACAGCCTGCAGTGCCAAGTGTGGGGACACTGGGGTGACAACTGTCTGGGCATGGGGTGCCACATGCAGGGACCTAAGGGTGGTGACAGCCTGGGATGGTGACATTCCCCAGGAACAGGGTGCCGTGTGTGGGGACCGTGGGGTGACGGCTGCCTGGGTGTGGGGTGCCACAGTGCAGGTGACGGCACCTTGGGATGGTGACAGCCCCGGGAACCTGTCGGGACTCTGGGATGGTGACTGCCCCAGGAAGAGGGTGCCATGTGCAGGGACCTCGGGGTGGTGACAGTCGGGGCACCTTGGGATGACAAGCGCCTGAGGTGGCATGTGCAGGGACCTGGGGTAGTGACAGCCTGGGGTGCCGTGTGGGGACCCCGTGGGTTGACTGCCCGGGCATGGGGTGCCATGTGCAGGGACCTCAGGGTGACAACTGCCTGGGCATGGGCTGCTGCATGTGGGGACCCCGGGGTGACACCTGCGGGGACACGGGGTGCCACAGGGACTCCCCAGCCCTGCCTGCCGTCCCCCAGCATCCCCCGAGCCCCCACCCGGGGCACCAGCACCTCCCACTGCCCCTCCGGGCTGGCCTGCGGCCCGGGACGCTCCCGGGTGGCCGAGCCCCCCTCGCTGCCGCACTGCCCCCCCATCACCGCCCCCCCCTCCGGGGGAGGCCCCACCCTCCCCCGCCCCCAGCCCCATTTCCCGGGCGGGACCGTTCAAAACCCGCCCGGCGCCGCCGCTCCCGGATTCCGCCGCCGCTTCCCGGGGCCGGGGCCGAGGATGCTCCAGCTGCCGGCGGCGCGGGGGCGGCGGGGGCGCGGCGGGGCTGAGCCGCGGCGGCTGCGAACCCCGGCCTGCCCGGGACACTTGGCGGGGAGGAAGGAGAGGAGGAGGAGGGAGGAGGAAGACGAAGAGGCCGCCTTCATCCTCGGCCCCGCCATGCCGGGCCCCACTGGGAGCGTGGCCCGGTGGCAGCGGCCCTCGGGGCTGTGAGCGGCCCGGGCCGGCCGAGGGGGCCCCGGGCAGAAGGGGTGGGCCGGGCAGAGGGGGGCCCCGAGCAGCATGGCCAGCCCTGTCCCCCTGCCGCCGCCGCCGCCGCCGCCGCCGCCGCTTCCACCGGGATTTAACCGGGGCTTGGATGCTTTCACCTCCCGTCTCCACTTCGGGAGGGCATGTGCGCGGGGGCAGCGGGCCGCCCCCAGCGGAGCCCCCCCGCGCCCTGACTGCACGCTGAGGGGCTCCGCCGCCAGTCCCGTCCCGCCGCCGGCCCCCGAGGACGGGGAGCGGCCCCCCCTGGCCGGTGGGTACCGGGCGGGGGGCGGCGGGTACCGGCAACTTGTGTTTAGCGTCCGGCGCTACCGACCGGGGGGACCCCCCGCCGCTCTACCCGAGGAGATTTGGGTTTAAACTTTGGGTTTTGGGGAGCCCCGAAGATGCCTTTCCACCCGGTGACGGCGGCGTTGATGTACCGGGGGATCTACACCGTCCCCAACATCCTCGCCGAGCAGCGCCCCGTGGAGATCCCCGAGGATGAGCTGGAGGGTGAGCGGGTTTGGGGGACTGCGGGAGGGCTGGGGAGGGCTGGGGGGTTCGAGGATGGGGCTGCAAGGGCTAGGGGGCCGGGGATGAGGGAGCCATCCCATGGGATTGTGGGGCGAGGGGGACTGGGAGAACTGGGAAGTCCATCCCGCGGGATGCGGCTGCGGAGGAGTCGGGGAGCGCGTCCCCCGGCGCCGTGGGGAGGCTGAGGGCGAGCGGGATGCGGATGGATGGATGGATGGAGGAGGAGGAGGGGAGGAAGGCAAGCTGGAAGGGGAGGCGTGCGGGGGTCCCGGGCCCCCGGTTGTGCCGATATGACACAGCAGGGACCGGCGGTGGTGGCGGGCGGCCGGACCCCCCCTCCGGCGTGGCGGGGTGACCCCCCTCCCCGCTGTCATAATATGACAGTGGCTGGTGGCGCGGGGGGCCCGAAGGGTGGCTGTCACCCGTGTCACCCTCCCGGGTCACGGCAGCCCCACGCAGCCCCGGTGTCAGCGGGCTCCGGCCAGGAGGAGCGGCCGGCGGGGTTCTGCCCACCCGTGCCATGAGCGGGGCCGGGCTCAGCTCGCCGCCACCAGAACGGCTTTTTCCATCCCAAAAGTTTGCCGGGGTGGCAGGACGGGCACTGGCGCTCCTCGGCTTCGGGGTGTCCCCGGGGAGCCCCCGGGAAAGGGGCTGCAGCATCCCCGGCCCCATTGCTGCCCCCAGACCCAGCACCACGGGGGAAACTGAGGCACGGGGGGTGACCCCACACGTGTCCCCAGTGAGGGCACCCCTGGGCCCAGCACCGAGTCAGGAACCCTGTGGGGAAACTGAGGCAGGAGCCACGGGACTGGGGGATGAGGAGAGCCCCAAAATCCATCCAGGACCAGCGTGTGTGTGTGACAGTGACTCTGTGTGTGTGTGTGTGTGTACAGCTCTGCAGGGGGGGTGTGCTGACGTGCCCGGCACAGCCTCACTGCAGGGGCTCTGTGTGTGTGTGTCAGTGTCTCAGTGTGTCTGTGTGTGTCACTGTGTGTGTGTCACTGTGTGTGTATCTCAGTGTGTCTGTGTGTGCACAAACATCTAACCCCCCCTTCCCACAGCCCCGTCACACGCCGTGCGTGTGCTCACACGTGTGTGAATGTGTGAATGCACAGGCACGGCCTCACCGCAGGGTGGCTGTGCCAGAGTGTGTGAGAGTGTGTGAGTGTGTCAGAATGTGTGTGTTTGTGTCACTCTGTGTGCGTGTCACTCTGTGTGTGTCACTGTGTGTGTGTGTGAGAGTGTGTGAGAGTGTGTGCGTGTGTTAGAACATGTGTGCATCTGTGTGCGTGCACATACAGCGTCACAGCAGGACGAGTTTGTGCTCACAGCCCTGCTGCAGAGAGGGGGTGTCTGTGTGTCTGTCTGTGTGTCTGTGTGTGTGTCTGTCTGTGTGTCTGTCTGTGTGTCTATCTGTGTGTCTGTGTGTGCGTGCACAAGTCCAGCATCTCTGCAGCGCAGCTCTGTGTGCGTGTGCGTGTGCGCTCACAAGCACATCTGTGCAAGTTGTTTTTGGGGGGTGCACACCAGTCCAGCAGCGCTGCAAGGGGGGTGTGTCCAGTGCAGGTCCATGCACAAGCACATCCCTGCAGGGTGTGGGGGGTTGTGTGTGTGTGTGTGCGTGTGTGTGTGTGTGTGTGTGCACCCCTGTGGGGTGCACACACACACACACACACCCGCACACACACACTCTGAGGTGGTTCTGCTCTGCATCCGTGTGTGTGCACACACAGGCACACCCCTGCAGGGTGTGCACACACACACACACATCTCCAGCATCACCCCACGGGCTGTGTCCGTGTGTCCGTGCGTGCACACGCAGGTCCGCGTCCCCGCGGGCGGTGTCCCAGCCCCGCTGCAGCGCTGTCACCGTGTGTGCACACCGCGCAATCTGCGTGTGCGGGCTCTGGGGTTTGGGTGTTCACACTGAGCTGTCTGGGTGTTCACACTCCCCTCGTGCCCCAGGTTGTCGTGGTGGCTCACCCAGCCCCGTGTGACACGCGTGGGTGCTGCTGTGCCCGGGGTGTCCCTGTGGGGTGTCCCCCAACACCCACCCCCCGTGCCATTTGAGCCCCAAGGTGACCCCACAAGGTGCCAGACGCCCAGGTTGGTGTGGGGGGACACGCTGCCACCTGGTCCCCCCTCCTCCACGGGTTGGGGGACACTGGGGACACCCAGACACCCCCCATGGCTCCCCGCTGGGGCAGGAGGGGCAGGGGCTGCCGGCTCAGTGGGGAGGATTGGGGTGTCCCAGCTGGGGCCACGGTTTGGCCACTGCTGGGACATGTCCTTGCCTGTCCCCCAACACCCTGAGGGAGCCTCCCTGGAGCTCTTTGGGATGAGCATCGTTGAAGGATGAATTTGGGGGCTGCTGGAGCAGAGCAGGGCTCCCCAGGAGTACAGGGAACATCGCCCTGCCTGGGCCACGGAGATCAGCCATCACACTGGCAGGCCAAAAAAACCCTAAAACTCCCCCAAACCCCTCAGAAGATGTCACTGATGTGCCACTGTCCGGGCAGGGACGTCCCCAAGTGCTGGTGGTTGATAACATGACATGATGTTGGTTTTTCTCCCCAAACACAAAGTTGTTCTCAGCCCATTTCTCCCACCAGGATCCCTCTACATAAACCCCTCTGGCAGCCGGCACAGAGAAGGAATAGACACCAACACCTCGACCCAGCTTCCCACTGTTCCCAGTACAAATTCCCAGCACAAATTCCCTGGTCCTTCTTTTCTGTAAGCTTTGTTCCAGCTCCACGTATCCCTCAAAACAGAGCAAAGCCCAGACAACAGCAGGAGCTGGGATGGAGCCTCAGTGTCCCCACTGCCCTCTGAGCCCATCACAGCAGGGATCCCCCTCCACATCCCCAGGGCTTGTTTGGAGGCAGAACCCCCAGATCCTCCCAGTTTCTCCCCACTTCTATCCCATCCTCCTGTGCACAGGAAAGGGCTGAGCCCTGCGGCAGCTCCGGCAAGATTTGGGATATTTTTGGGGTGAAGTGCAGCACAGCTCCAGCACCAACCCCTGGATGCTGGGATTGGGGCAAAGTCCCACCCTGGGCCTGTGGGGTGGGGCACAATTCCAACCCATGATCCCAAGTATGGGGCCACAGTCCCACTCCGTGATCCTGGAATGGGGACAGCCCCCAACCCCCCCGAGTGCTGGCACAGCCGGGCCCAGGATCCTCAGGGATGCTCCCAGCTGGATGCTGCAGCACTGTGGGGTTCCCCCCACCTGCAGCCCCCACCCGGTGCCACCCCGAGCTCAGGCACATCCCAGGAATGTGTTTTGGGGGCAGGATGCTGCATTTTTGGCTGCGGAGGGCCTGGCAGTGATGAGGGCAGGGTGGGTGATGCGAGTGGGTGACCAGAGCTGGAGCAAATCCGGGGTCTGTGGGGTCCCCCTGAGGGGGGATCAGACCCTTCTGAGGGTTGTGGGGGCTGCCCTGCCTCAGTTTCCCCTATGTGGGGACACCCAGGATTGCTGAGGGGGTGGGTGGGATGCTCAGGGGGGATCTGTGGGTGCTGGGGGGGTGGGGAATTGCAGCCGGACTCATCCCTGCTCCCCCCGCAGAAATCCGGGAAGCCTTCAAGGTGTTCGACCGGGATGGCAACGGGTTCATCTCCAAGCAGGAGCTGGGCACGGCCATGCGCTCCCTGGGCTACATGCCCAACGAGGTGGAGCTGGAGGTCATCATCCAGCGCCTCGACATGGACGGTAGGACCGGGGTGGGCACAGGGTGGGCACAGGGTGGGCACAGGGACGGGACCCCCCGGCCCCCGCTCTGCCGGAACACCCAGTTCTCCCCATTCCCACCCCACCGGCTGCTGCTGGACCCCACACGGGATGTGGGATGAGGTGGGATCCTCATTCCGGAGCCTCTCGCTCATCCATCGGCACCGTCCTCACCACGCAGCTTCGTCGGGGGGTGGGATTTAACGATCCTGGGCTGCTTGTGGGGTCACTGATCCTGCTGGGATCGTGGTGCCGAGGCTGGATCCTGCTCCCTGGGCTGGATCCTGCTCCCTGGGCTGGATCCTGCACCCTGGGCTGGATCCTGCACTCTGGGCTGGATCCTGCACCCCGGGCTGGATCCTGCTCCCTGGGCTGGATCCTGCACTCTGGGCTGGATCCTGCACCCCGGGCTGGATCCTGCTCCCTGGGCTGGATCCTGCACCCTGGGCTGGATCCTGCTCCCTGACCTGGATCCTGTACCCTGGGGTGGATCCTGCTCCCTGGGCTGTGTCCTCAGCACTGGCCGTGCCCCTCGAGCACTCGCTGCCACCATCACCCTGTCCCTGTCCGTGTCCCTGTCCGTGTCCCTGTCCATGTCCCTCCCGAGCCCATCAGGACCTCAAAGAGCTCCTTAATTTATTGGTTTTCCTTCTCCCCCCGTTTAAAAGCCTTTCTGGCAGCGCTGCCAGGGCTCTGCTCCCCTCGTTACTCATCGGCAGTGCTGCCCTGACAGCCCCACACCAGAGTCCCCACGGCCACAGGACACGGCCAGCACGGCCCCCCTGCACCCCCTGGGGACACGGCCACCACCGGGGGCACAGCTGGAACTGAAATCCCAGCTGGTGTTTGCAGTCCTGGATGGTGTTGATCTTCCCAGGCAGTCCTGGAGGGCTCCAGTCGACGCTGGGTGTCCCCACGTCACACTGGGGGCAGGTGGTATTAGGGGGTCCTCAGATGGCACTGGGGGTCCCAGCTGACACTGGGGACCCCAGCCAGCGTTGGGCATCCTGGATGAAGTTGGGGACCAGCTTTACTGGAGGTTCCCAGCTGCTCTTGGGAGTCCCTGCCGTGGGGTCCTGGTAGGTACTGGGGGTCCCCAGCCAGTCTGGGGGTCCTGGCTGGTGAAGTCCAAGGTTCCTCCATACCAACTGCTGCTCCAGGGGACATTTGTGACCCCTGGTGGGATGGGGGTCTGGGTGCTGCCTGAGTCCCCCAAGGCTGCCCCAGAGAGGGTGTCCCCAGGCAGTGCCAAGCCCTGGCGTGGGCTCTTCCCAAAAACCACCATGGCTTGGAGCAGGAGCCCCATGGGCTGTGCAGGGTTGGGGTGGGGAGGGTAAATCTGAGCATCACTGAGGTTGACGCTGGGTGTCCCCACGTCACACTGGAGAGGACCCAGGTGGCACTGGGGGACCCCAGATGGTATTGGGGGGGTTCCCACCCAGCACTGGGCACTCCAACCGGTTTTGGCAATCCCAGCTGGTGTTGGGGACCCCGAACTTTGTTGGAGGTCCCCACCCAGTTTTGGGGGTCCTCAGACAGCAGTGACAGTCCCCAGCTACCACTGGGAGGTCTCCAGATGGCATTGGGGTCCCACCTGGAACTGGGGTCCTGGATGATGTTGGGTTTCCCCAGCCAGCACTGGGAGGGGGGCAGTCGACACTGGGGGTCCCCAGCTCACACTGGGGGGGCAGGTGGTATTAGGGGGTCCTCAGATGGCACTGGGGGTCCCAGCTGACACTGGGGACCCCAGCCAGCGTTGGGCATCCTGGATGAAGTTGGGGACCAGCTTTACTGGAGGTTCCCAGCTGCTCTTGGGAGTCCCTGCCGTGGGGTCCTGGTAGGTACTGGGGGTCCCCAGCCAGTCTGGGGGTCCTGGCTGGTGAAGTCCAAGGTTCCTCCATACCAACTGCTGCTCCAGGGGGACATTTGTGACCCCTGGTGGGATGGGGGGTCTGGGTGCTGCCTGAGTCCCCCAAGGCTGCCCCAGAGAGGGTGTCCCCAGGCAGTGCCAAGCCCTGGCGTGGGCTCTTCCCAAAAACCACCATGGCTTGGAGCAGGAGCCCCATGGGCTGTGCAGGGTTGGGGTGGGGAGGGGGTAAATCTGAGCATCACTGAGTCCAGGTAGGGTGTCCCCCCCATGCAACCCCCCTTTGGGAGGTGTCACATGTGCCCCTGTGTCCCACAGGCGACGGGCAGGTGGACTTTGAGGAGTTTGTGACGTTACTGGGGCCCAAACTGTCCACCTCGGGCATCCCGGAGAAGTTCCACGGCACCGACTTCGACACCGTGTTCTGGAAGGTACAGACACCCCCCTCCCCCGGGGGCAGCACCCCAGAACCTGAACCCAGAGCTTGGGGGGGGGTCTGGGAAAGGGACAGGGCTGGGGCTGGGGTTGGGCTCAAGGCGGGATGGGGGTTGGGGTCAGGGTTAGGATGAGGGTCAAGGTTTGGAATTAGGGTGAGGGTGAAGGTCAGGATCAGGCTCTGGGCTCAGGGTCAAGTTTAGTGTCAGTTTAAGAGTCAGGATTAGGTTTAGGGTCAAGCTCAGGCTCCAGGTTAGGGTTAGTGTGTTAAGTGTCAGGGTCAGGGGCAGTGCTGGTTTAAGGGGTCAGTTGTTAGGGTTGGGGTCAGATTTGGGGTCAGGGTTAGGTTTAGGATGAGGGTTAGGGTTGGAACCAGGGTTAGGATCAGGTTGAGGGTCAGAGTCAGGGTTAGGATGAGGGTTAAGGTCAAGTTTAGAGTTGGAGTCAGGATTAGGGCCAGGTTTAAGATCGATATCATGGTTAGGGTCAGGCTTAGGGTTGGGGTTAGGCTGAGGGTCACACTCAGGCTCAGACTCCAGTTTAGGGTTGGTGTTAGCATTAGGATCAGGGCCAGGCTCAGGCTCAGACTCCAGTTTAGGGTTAGTGTTAGCATTAGGATCAGGGCCAGGCTCAGGGTGCACCAGCCCGAGCTCTCCTGCCCTGCCCACACGGGTTGGTGTTTGGTGCCAACACCACCGGGGGTCACCGGGACACCAGACCTTCCCCTGCCAAGGCCGGGGGGGCGGATCCACCCAAAATGCCACCCCCAGGAGTGGCGGGGGAGGCCCCGAGCCCCGGCCCCCCCGCCGTGGGGTGACCCCCGTGCCCCACAGTGTGACATGCAGAAGCTGACGGTGGACGAGCTGAAGCGGCTGCTGTACGAGACCTTCTGCGAGCACCTGTCCATGAAGGACATCGAGAACATCATCATGACGGAGGAGGAGAGTCACATGGGCACGGCCGAGGAGTGCCCCGTGGACGTGGAGAGTGAGTGCCCGGCACGGGGGATGCCGAACGGCCCCGGCCCCGACGCCGCGGGGCGGCACCACTGCCGTGTGGGGAGGGTGTTCTGGAGTAACCTCCTGTTCTTCCCCCCACTCCCAGCCTGCTCCAGCCAGCAGATCCGCCAGACCTGCGTGCGGAAGAGCCTCATCTGCGCCTTCGCCATCGCCTTCATCATCAGCGTGATGCTCATCGCCGCCAACCAGGTGCTGCGCAGCGGCATGAAATAGTGGGGTCACCCCGCGGCCCCGGGGCGAGGAGGAGAGAGCTATAAATATATATAAATATATGTCCGTCCATCCATCCGTGGCCCAGAGACTCGCCTTGTCCCCCACCCGGGGAGGGGGGCGGCGAGGGGACCGGGGGGTGTCCCCGCCGTGCCGGGGCGGTGCCATCGCATGGACACTTCGGTAACGGCACCGCCGCCCACCGACCCCCCCTCGCCGGGCAAAAACCAACCTGTAAGTGCATGGAACGTGCATGGAGCCCCGTGTGCCCCCTCCCCCCCGCGGCGGCTCCCGCCGGGTACTCCGATCCAACGTTATAGCTCGTATTTATGATCAACCAAATCATCCCCTAAGCAATACACGCGCCTGAGATGGTTCCTAGAGCCGGGAGCGTTTGCATGGACTTGGCTGCCAAGGGCTGGATTTCACCCCCCCCCCTCAAAGCCCACCCCTGTCCCCCACTCCCTGTGCCGTGCCTCGGTTTCCCCACCTGCCCAGTGCGGGGACATTCCTGACCTCCTGCTTGATGCACTTTGAGCCGACCCCTCCCTGGGAAGAGCCGGAGCGACCCCAGGCCGGGGAGCCCCGAGCCCCCCGAGCCCCCCCAGCCTGTATGTAGCACCCACCTGGGCACTGGACTGGTTCGGATTTGGGGCGGTTTCTCATTCTTTGGTTTGTTTTTTTTTTGGGGGGGGGAGTTTGGGGTGGGTTGTTTTGGTTTTTTTTTTCGTTCTTCCTGGTTGGTTGTTTCCGATCTGAAATAAAACTGGGATTTCTGAAGCGCTCTGGGCTGTGGGGGCTCCTGGCGACACGGGGGTGGGGTGAATGGGGCAGGGTGGGGGTGGAGGGCCGTGGGAGCACCCATGGGTGCTGCTGGGTGGGGATGAGTCCTCCTGGGAAGGGAGGGGGCAGTGGGTGGGGGATCCGTGGCCTCCCGGCATCCCAAAGGGGCTGGAGCCTCCCCAAACCTGGGTTAGCCAGGACCTGGCTCCTTCCTGACAGCTCCCATGTCCTCCATCCCACTCCAGCTGTGGATCCTGCTGGGGGTCCTGCCTTTTCCCAGTGGACCTGGGTTGTTTTGTCCCTGATATTTTACCCTAGGTTTGATGAATGTTTCAAACCCATTTGCCTTGACAAGGAGGACAAGCTGAAGCCCCTTCCCAAAAACGCCCTCACCCAACCTCACAGTAATTCCAGAGGGAACCAGGATCTGGCTGGGGGGGCTCAGAGAGGCTCTGTGGGGTCACCATCCCTGGGCTGGGCTGGGGATCCCGCCCCAAGGCCGGCAGGGAGGGAACACCCCATCACTCCTGATTTCCACCACGGAGGGGCCCGGCCCCAGTGTGACCTCCCTGCACTGAGGGACACCGGGAACCAGCACGGCCTCCTCACATCTCCAGGTGCTGGGGGGGCCATTCCCACCTAATGGATCCCCCTCTTTGCATTTTTAATGGCAAAGAGATTAAAGGAATAAATAAATCCAGGGGAAGAGCTCGGGGCCATGGGAGAATCGGGCAAAGCTGCTGCCCCTTCCTCCCACGGGAAGGGGGTTGGAGGAGCCCATCCCAGGCCATCCCCACCCCTGGCTGATCCCGTGGGGAAAACACCTTTCCTTGCCCTGCCATGGGACTTTCCCCTTGCAGCACGGTGGGAGGACTCCCCATTTTTGGGATGCCAGGAGGAATCGGCAGCGTTTTCATTGATTTGGGGGTTGGGTGGGGGGTGGTTTTTTGGGGTTTTTTGATCTTATATAATTTATCAAACAAATTGAAGCCAACGTCCAAATGAGAAATGGAAATGGGAAATGCTCCACGGTAATGAAATCATTCCGGTTGCCTCACAAAGTGCGGGAGGCTCCGTGTCCGTAATGAAATTTCATCCATCTCCCTGCAGAAAGTTTGGGTTTTTTATGAACTGGCATTTCCAAAGGAGCCACGTGGCCTCAGAGACATATGTGTGTGTATATATATATATATTTAACCAGGTCTATTATAGACACTGTGAACAAACATAAGGGAAGCAAAAAAGGAAACGAGGACAATTTAATTTGCCAGAAAATACAATGACATAAAAGAAACAAATTAGATGAAAGGAACGAGGCGATTTCCCCCCCCCCTTCCCCACCAAACCCCCAGCTCAGCCTTTCAAAGCTGCCCAATTAATTTTAACGGGAATTGGGAGAGCGGATTTCTTGAGGCAGGATTGGGGATTGGCAGATCTGACTCCGGAGCAGGCGGGAATGCAGGAGGGTCCCGGCCCTGCTCCCGCTCTGCCGCAGCGGGGACGGATCATGCGGCTGCTCCGGGATAATTCAATTTAGGGAGCGCCAGGAAAGGGAGGAAAAAAAAAGGAGGATGTGCCGGGAGGTGGAGCTGCCGCGGGCGAGGGGAGGTGGGAGGGGGCAGGACCTGTGCAGGGTCCTCGGGCACGGGCATTGCCGGAGCAAAAGTGGCAGCAAACCAGCAGGAGTGGCAGGGTGTGATTCCGTAGCGCTGGGAAGTGTTTGGAACACGAAGGGAAGAAGTTGGTAGTGGTTGTTTCTCTCTCTGGTGCTGCAAGGAGTGTGAGAAGGGCTCAGCTCTGTCCATGTCTTGGTCTCATCTCCCCATCCCTGTCTCTGTCCCTTCCTCATCCCTGTCCCTATCTCCATCCCCAGTCCCACTCCCATTCTTATTTCCATTCTCCTCTCTGTCCCTTTCCCATCTCCCTATCCCAAGACACATCCTTATCCCTGTCGCCATCTCCATCACTATTCCTACCCCCATCCCTGAACTGCTCTCCATCCCCATTCCCATGCTTATTTCCATCCCTGTCCCCTGTCCCCTCCCCTAATTCCCATCCCTCACCTACATCTATCCCTATTCCCATTCTCATCCCTAGTCCCATCCCCATTCCCATTTCCATCCCTGCCCCTGTCCTGCCCTCACCCCTGTCCCCATTCCCACTCCCATTCCCGTCCCCATGCCCCCTCTCCCGGGAGGAGCTGCCAGAGGACACGGGCAGAGCCCAGCGGGGCTGTGCTTGGCCGGGGCCCAGCAGGGCCTCATTTCCCTAAAAGCTTCCTGATAAATTACTCCGGCTCTTGCTCCAGCAAAGGCACTTTGGCTCGTGCTCCACCATCGGGCAGCAGCTCCTCAGCCCCACGCCGGGGACGTGAGTCCATCCCTGCAGCATCCCTAGGGATCCAGTACCAGCCATCCCCCAGGAGCCCCGTCCTGCTCCTGTCCTCCTCCTGCAGCCTTTTTCCACGGATGAGCCCACGGGGGTCGTGTCCCATCCTGGTGGTGATCTTTGGCATCGTTACACCTCCTGACACCGCTCTAACACCCCCATAAACCTGTGATTTATGGCCCACTCCGAGCCCCCAGGATTTACATGGCTCCAGGGATCCATGACATCCTACAGGGAATGCCTGGCTCCGTGGATCCATGGCATCCTGCAGGGAATGAGGCCCATGGGCCACAGATCACACGAGCTTTTGTGGGAAAACCCCCATTTTAATTAACCCCCGTGACCAGCCCCTCTCACTCCCCAGACAGGCTGGAGCTCAGCAGGGAACGCTCCTGCTCTTGCCTTTCGGGTTTTATTGGGAATTTCGGCTCCAGGAGCAGCTCATCTCTTTGGGAGCGAGGCAGAGTGTGGAGAGGCTGCGGCTGTTGTGTTTTACACCGGAATTTTAATTTCCAGTCAGGCTCCACAGCTCACCCAGGGAGCTGCCGGGAGCTCCGGCCTCTCCACCAGAGATGTGTCTCTACCAAATCCAAGCTGGATCTGGGGAGCAGTTTTGGAGCCGTGAAGTTTTGGTATTGGGTAAAGTAGCACCTCCTGGGTCAGCTGGAAAACCCACCAGCACTGGAGCACACGGAACAGGGATGGGCCTGGGGGGCTGATGGAAGCACAGCTCCAAACTCAGGTGAGGAACAGGGAAGGATTTGGATGGTTGACTGGGGAACAAAAAAGTCTGGGAGAGACAGGAGTGGGAGTTCCTTGATCCATCAGTGCCGGTGGCCTCGTTGGGTGTCCGTGTGCCTGTCCCAGTTCCTGCTGCCAAAAGCAGAGAAGCCACTGTCCCCCTCCAGTCAGCAGGGCTTGAGGGGGACAGGCTGAGCCCCCCAGCATTCCCCAGCTCCTCGGGGTTCTCCCGAGCCAGGCTGGGGGTGCAGGGATGCACTTCCACACTTGGAGAGAGCAGGTACAGCTCATGTTCCCACTGTGGAGCACACTGGCATTCCACAGCCCCTGGGGTTCCTTTGTGGCCTCTGCTTTGGAGGTGGGGGCCCAGTGCTCCAAGGGACCCTGATTCACCCCAAATTCCCTCCCAAAGGAATGACTGTTACCCCACTGCACAGGCAAGTGAGGATGGGACACGGGGTTGATACCGCATCCTCGGAGCCCAAGCCCTGTGCTCCCGCTCCTGCCTGGAAAGATAAAAACACCTCTAGTTTGGCTCAGAGCTCACCCAGGCTCCGGCCAAGGCTGCTTCCAGGCTGCTGTCACATCCAGTCCCCGCTCCTGTCAGAGCTGGGGCTCAGGGGTTGACGCTCCCGTGACAATTTGCCATCACATCCCAAGGCAGGAGCTCTCCCTGTCCCGGTGTCAGCGTGATCCGGGCGGGATTTGGCCACGGGCAGTTGGCTGCTGCCCCTGCTCTTCATGAATCTGGACCCACCACCTCCGTGCCTGGCCAAACCTGGAATGCACTGGCAGCGGGCACAGCCCTCCTGGACAGCCCTGCTGCATCCCGGGATGCTGCTGGACAGGATCCCCCCTCACCCAGGGAAGATGGAGCACCCACTTCCCTTGCTGAGAAAGCCAAGGGCCTCCCTCATCCCTCCCTTTCTGGTGAGGAGAGATAAGTCTGTGAAACTCTCCCTGCGGAGAAACCTTGGGATATTTTTCCTCCCTGCCCCTCACCTCCAGCACAGCAGGAGCAGGAGCAGGAGCTCCCCAGGCCCTTCATTAGGAGCTCCTGGACACAGGCAGGTTCACACCCAGAATTTATCAGGAACAAACATAAATCATAAACACCTGAGGAGATTAAACATCAATTCCAAAAGCCTGGCTGCAGCTCCCTTCTCCAGCCTGGATCACAAAGCCCAGCATGGAGCTCCACTGAGAGCAGGCAGTGCAGACAGCAGTGCTCTGAGGGGACCAAGTCTGCCCTGGGAAACAGGGAATGTCTGCTCCAGGTGACAGCAGACAGCCCCTGAGCAGGGCTGGAGCTCTGCTGAGCACAGATCCACTTTCCAGAGGCAGGGAGACAAACCTCGGAGCAGCTGAGCCCAGGGGAGGCTGCCGGGAGAGCAGGAACACGACACACACCACGGGCTGCGAGGGAGGGGGGAGGGCTTTATTGATAGAAAAGTGCAGATAAATAACTCCATAATTCCATCCCTTTGCCAGGGCAGAGGCAGGACTCCACCCCCATCAGCCCCACTGCAGGGTGGGGGGCACTGGCCACCCCCCAGGCGGGGGGGCCTGCAGGGACGGGGGCAGCTCCTGCACTGGGGGCCAGCCCGGGGGGTACTGGAACGGCGCCGGTTTCTCGGGAAGAGCACTGTGAGGGGGACATGGAAAGGGATGGGGTGAGCTGGGCTGTCTCAGTCGGGCAGCAAGGCCATGCTTGGGCTGGGCTTCCCTGTGCCCCCCGCAGTAGAGGAGGGGTTTGGTTATCATCAAGTAGGGATAATCCCAACCCCCATCCCAAATCCATCCCAAATCCATCCCCAGCCCATCCGAGCAGCCAGTGCTCCCAGAAGCAGTGCCTGCCAGCGGGAACTCAGGTGGGAGCACTGAGGGGGGTCAGCAGGCACAGCCCCCCAGGGCACAGCCCGGTGCTGGGAACAGGGTTGGCCCATCCCCTCCGCTCCCCACTCCTCCCACAGCTGAGCTGGGAGAACAACAAACAGGATCAGCAGATGTTTCTCCCCAAGCAGCCCAAATCCCAGCTGCGCACTTCCCAAAGGACAAGGGCCCCTCGGAAATGGAGGAGCTGCCAAACCAATGGGGTGTTTTCACCCAAGGACCCTTCAGCAGAGGGAACAGGCCTCCTCCTCCGACCCTCAGCCTGGGAATCACTTTGTCCCTGCCTCTCTCCCTCAGGTTTACTGGTTGAAGCCCCTGCAAACACCACACTGGGCTGAAGTGCAAGAGCAAGAAGCATCACTTTGTCTCTAGCTTGACCTGGGCAGGTTTAAATTCATGGGAAACTGCATCTTTTCCATTAATTCCTGAGTGCAGGAAGCTCATTTGTTCTCTCCCCCAAGCCCTGACAGCAGCCTTGTGGCTTCTCAGGCCTCTACCTCGGATCCTGATGAATCTTTTTAATTGTTATGCCAGGAGAAACCTAATCAAAGTGTTTTACATAACCCCAGGGAGCAGCAGCACCCTCCCCTCCCTGCGGGGCCGCTGCCGTGGCCCAGAGCCAGCTCCAGGAGCTGAGTGTGTTCCAGCCAACCAACACAGGGCAAAGTCACTTGGCTTAGGGTTTATCTCTGGGATGGGGATTGTCCAGAGAATGCCCAAGATGAGACAGGACTGAGGACAGGCAGCAGCACCTTGGAGAAGGGGTATTTGGTGTCACAGCCCAGCACTGTGGCTCGGGAAGAGGGAATGCTGCAGGGTGGAACAGCACAGCCATCACCTCACGAGCTGCTCCGTGAGCAGCAGGACTAATCAATAGGGAAGATGCCGCCTGGGTACTCAATTCCCTGGGGTCTCATAAGCTACAAGTGCTATCAAAGGTTTGCCTACAGTTGGAGCTGTTGTCCCACGTGGATTTTCCAGGGTTGGGCAAGGTCAAGAGTATTTTCTTCAGAAGGTGTTAATGGGATCCCTCCCCTTTGCCCTCTCCCAGGCTCATGAAACCTGTGGTACCTCGGAGGCTTTGAGGCCTCAGACCCTCTTCTGATGGGAATCAGCAAGTTTTGTTTCTGATGGAAATCAACACCCTCTGTTTCCTTTGGAAACCAGGGTAAAAATCAATCCCACCCTGGCAGAGCTCCACTGCCAAGAGAATCATGGAATCACAGGCTGGTTTGGGTGGGAAGGGATATTAAAGCTCTTAAAGCTCCTCTCCTTCCACCCCTGTCAAGGGCAGGAACACCTTCCACCAGCCCAGGGTGCTCCGAGCCCCAGGAACTCCCCACAGCTCCACCCCAGCTCTCCAGAAAACAAAGGCACAGCCTGACCTCAGAAACAGGCACCAGGTGGAGGATTCCAAACAGAGGGCTGGGACAGGGAAGGGTGGAAGGCAGTGGGGCAGCTCCCCATCCGTGGACATGGACTTCTAGTCCAGTGTGGTGCCAAGGATCCTCACATTTCAGGAACCTCAAGGGCTGCAGGGGGGAGAGGGAGCCCCTTGTCCTTAAAAGTGCTTTCAGGAGGGCCACAATGGGCTCCCCAGGCACCAGGAGCACAGGGACCTGCTGAAAACAGGCCCTGGCAACACAGAACAGCTTCTGTGGCAGACAAAGCAAAGCCCACAGGGGCTCAGAAGGAGAATGTGGGGCTGCAGAGCACGAGGGGGGAAGAGAGGTGACAGGGACAGGCACTGGAGAGGCTGGATAGAGGAAGGGAAGTTTAAATAGTTGGTGTTTAGCTTCTGTAGCAGACGGTTTCTGAGCCTGCAGGGACGGGGAGGCTGAGGAAAAGGCAACAACCCTGGAAATTCTGTGTATCTATGGGGGCAGCAGGGACCAAGTTCTGAAGGTCTGGAAATTCCTCTGAGCATAACCCTCTGAGGAAATCCCTCTGGGAATAGGGATGGCTATCTTCTGTAAGAACTGACCCACCCCAAAATCCAGGGATTCAGGACAAGCAGAGTGGGGCAAGTGAAGTGTTGGGGCTGGAATGTGGGCACCACTGCAGGGCCAAGGGCAGCTGAGCTGAGGCACAGAACAGGCACAGAGGGACAGAACAGTCACGGAGCAACAAGCCCAGACAAGCAGCAGAAGGAAGATCCTGCCCAGGCCAAACAGGGAGAGGACAGGAGCAAACAGAGAAAGAACAAAGAGAGATCTGGCACGTGCCCAAATGTCATTCCATTAAGCCTGCGGCACAGTCAGGTGAGCCAGGAAACAGCCGGCACGGAATCCGAGTGGATACTGTGAGGAGGAGCCAGTTCCAGCCTCCCCCTGGCAGGGAGGGCAGGCAGGGCTGGGGGAGCTGTCAACAGATGAGACCAGGTCCCTGCCACCAAACTCTGGGCATGGATAACTTGCCACCACGCTGGCACTGTCCTTGCAGGTGTGTCTGTGCACCCTGCAGACAGCACGGAGCAGCCTGCTGGTGTGCCTTGTTCCCAAGGCCTGGATTGTCCCCTGGCACACAGGGGGACACACAGGGACAGGTGTGGACACACCTCTGGCAGGGCAGGCAGGGCTGGATCCACACAGGTGCCCCTCACATGTGCTGGGAGTGTGTTAAATGATCACTCCCATGGAGCTGGGATCTCTGACAACCTGCACCTTCCCCCATCCCACCCCTGTTGGGGGATCCTCCCCTGCACCCTGAGGGACGGTGGCAGCAGCCAGAGCACACCTGGGTGATCCCAGACACCTGTACCTGTTACTCTGAGCCACCCTCAGTCTCTGGGCTCTCTTCTCCAGCCAGTCCTCGATGGTGCCAGGTGGGATATCTGCTCCCTCCTGCCGCAGCTCCCTCAGCCTCTTCTCCCCTGGTGAGAGAGGGAGACATCAGGGAGGGCTGGATCAGAGGGAGGGCCGTGAGGCCACCAGGCCCTGGTGCTGCAGTCCTTCCACTCCATTAAACCCGCTGCTCATTACCCTGCACAGTTTCCTATGGTGGAGAGAGTGTGGCAGCCCCTCCTCCTCCTCTGCCCTCCTGCCATCTGATGCTTGGAGTCATCCCTGGTGACAGCTCCAGCCAGGCAGAGCTGGGGACAAGGGCTAAGCCAGCACGGTGGCACTGAGTGACATCTCCCCCGGGGCAGATCATCCTCATCCTCACCTCAAACAGCCTGGGCTGGCCCTGAGCCTGGAGCTGCTCCCAGAGAGGGGTCCCTCCACCTGGCAGGAGGGACTGTGCCACCTCTGCCTGATTAGGTGGGAGTGACAGGGCCATGTGTCCGAGTCGGTGCAGCCCTGGCAGGCCAGGAGAGTCTGGGAGGTTCTGGGAGCAGTTACAGCCGGCCCAGGGATGTCAGAGCTGCTGTCAGGGCTGGTTACGGTGCCCACTGTGACACGTCCCCAGCCCTGCAGAGCCTGGGCAGGAGCTGTCACCAGCATGGGGGCACAGCCAGGGCAGAGGGAGCCAGGGGACCAGCTCCTGCTTTTGGAGCACAGAATGATGTGGGTGGGAAGGGACCATAAAGCCTATCTCATTCCACCCTCTGCCATGGGCAGGGACACCTTCCACTAGCCCAGGCTGCTCCAAGCCCTGTCCAGCCTGGCCTTGGACACTTCCAGGGATCCAGGGGCAGCCACAGTTTCTCTGGGCAACCTGGGCCAGGGCCTCCCCACCCTCCCAGGGAACAATTCCTTCCTGATATCTAACCTAAATTCCCCCCTCTCAGTCTGAACCCATTACTCCTTGTCTTATATTTCTCATGCAAGTTAAGAATGAGGAAGGAAACCAGCAGGAAACCTCTGCTGTCCAGTGAGGGCCCTTCCAACACTTCAGCCCCTCCAGCAGCCCGGGGGGTGTGTGGGGCAGATACCTGCAGACAACCCTGTCCTGCAGACACTCTGTCCTCTCCGGGCAGGAGGGCACGGAGCCAGCGGGGCAGCCCAGTGCTCACCAGTCCCTCCCACTGGGCACAGCTCCACAGGTGCCCAGTTAGCAGAGCTGCCCGGTGTCCCCAGCAGCAGGGAGGGAGCTGGCAGAGAACAGGGTCTAGCAGGAGCCCTTGCCTCTGTGACTGCCACAGCCACAGTGCTGCCAGCATGACAGGCGCAGCGGGACAAGGAGCTGCTCCCAGCGATCACATCTCCAGCCTGCTGGAAACTTCCCACCTAACGTGACGAGGGAACGTGACCCTCGGGAAACCAACCCGAAACCAACCACCGCTGACAGCAAGAAGGGAGCAGAGGCAGCTGTGTGTCATTGCCCTCTGCCCTGCTCATCCAGCCCTGCAGGGGATCCCTGATCCCATTTAGGGATCAGCCAGCCCGGCAGAGCCACCTGCAGCCGTGCCCCCCAGGAGCCCCCTCCGCCCCCACCCACTGTATGTCACACGTTTAAGGAAAATATTACACGTTTCCAGACAGGGTGTGAAATTAATACTGCTTGGGCAGAGTGAAGGATCACTTCATCCTCGTGCTGGCAACCAATTATTCATCTGCCTGTTGAATATTAATAAGGATGGCAGGAATGTGCTACACAATGAGCAGCCGGAGATGGATAATTTGTCATCCAGCCTTTTCATCTGGTGCTGCTGGGAGGGTGACGATGTACTTGGTGCCACCACAGGCAGCCCGCTGTGGGCCTGATGTCCAGGTGCTGCTCTGCAACCTGCTGATAAGGCTGGAGATGGGGCTATTCCAGGCTCCTACAGCTGTTCCCCAGGATCAAAGCCCCTGCAGAACTACCTGGGGTCAGCCCAGCCACCTGGCCAGGTGGGGAAGGGGCAGCCAAGAAGCTCAGTCTGCAGAGCTGGGCACTGCTCAGACTCAGAGCACGCAGGTCCAGCTCCCAGGTTAGACTTCCCTGGCAGCCTTGACCACCTTACTTCCCTTTGTTCCAGGTGTCTCCATCTGCTGAGCACCTGGGCACATCCCACCTTGGCGAGGGGACCAGCAGTGGTTGTGACGAGTCAGGGAAGAAAATCGCAGAGAAACCTCTCCCAGTTCTTCCCACCACCCAGATTTCCTCTTCATCCAGCTCAAAGCCCAACACAGAACACACCATTAACAGATGAAGCCTCTCTGTTCAGAGCAGGGAGCCTGAGCACCACACCAGGAACTGGTGGGAGTCCAGGGACTTGAGCAGCCCCAACTTCAGTCCCATCCAGAAAAGTTCCCTGCTTGCAGTGGGATCAGTTCAGGCTCACACTGGGCTAAATGAGGCCCCAGGTGTCCCCCTGAGAAAGATATCCCTGTTCTCACTACTGCCTGAGTTACTGCTCCAGAGCATCCCAACCCTCAGGCTCAGAAATGGGCAGCAGGGACAGGCAACCCTCCTGCCTCGATGCCATCAGAAAGGTGATTCTTTCATCTCATCTTCCTCTGGAGCACACACATCCCATCTAGGGACCACTAAACCTCCCCTGAGATTGGCAACACCTCCTGAATGCCAACAGGTATTCCAAGAAGTAGCTGAAAGGCCTTTACCAGCCCTTCCTCCCCACCCGTGGCCAGGCTGCAGTGGGTGTGAAAGTGCTTGCCCTCCTCCTCCTCCTCACTGTGGTGTTTGTTTCAAAGTCTATTTACAGCCAATTAACAGAGTGTCTGTAGTGGTGAAGCACCTCTAATGATGCCAGAGTGGGAGCCCACATTATCTTCCCTACCCATGCAACTTTTACCAGGGGGTCTCTTCCTGAGCGAGGCATCTCTGTCCCAGAGATGGAGCCCCCAGGACGGGAGGGTCACCCAGCAAGGGGATGCACAAGAAGTCCTTCAGCTGCCTCCCTGGGGGGGGAGGTGATGTGGGACCCCAAACTCCTCCAGAGCACATGAACAGTGTCAAACCATGGCTGAGATGATGCTGATGAATCCCCGTGCCAGGAGCAGCAGAACAAGCCGACTGTGAGCTCTCCTCCCGCTCAGCGCCCAGTTAAACCAGTTGGCTGCAGCCACCCCAGCAGAGTCCCTCGTGTCCTTCCAATCTCATGGATACACCACAGACACTCCACCAGCTGTGCCCTCGCCCTCCCCTCGCAGCCCTGCCTGGCTGGAGCTCACCAGAGCCCGGGCTGGGTTGATTCCCCTTGCACCGGGGACACGGATTACAGGGAGCCAATAACTCTGAGCAAGAGGATGGCAATTTGACAGTGACTTTTTCTGACACGACTGTACTTAAAATGACAGCCTGGAAGTGTCTGGCTGATGAATGATGCAGCAGATGCAGAAGGCTAATGCTTTGATGCAGGAGCAGCTGGGAATATCTCTCCCTCCCTGCCGAAGGTGTAAACTGTTGCTTCTTGATGAGGCTATTCTACAGGGTGCAGAGATGCTGAAGCCAAAGTAGGCCACGCTCCAAGCTGTTCTAGAACAGGGAACTGTCCAGAAATTTTCCTACCTAACCCACAAGACTTACACAAACAACAGGGTGAACTCCCTGCATTAAAAAGGCCAAATGTTAAGGACAATGTAATGTTTCCTTTGGCTGAGATAAAAATGCCTTGTTAGCGAGCTACACTCAGCGGAGACTCAGGCGCAGGTTCAATATTTACATGACAAAAAGAGTGCCCTCACGGTTTAGCAGTGCTTAAAAAAGTCAGGCGAGGCTTTGCCTGCACCAGAGCTGAGGAAAGGGGGGTTAAGCAGCACTGTGGACCCACCAGGAGACTGTCCCTTTATCTCACCAGCCTGGTCACCTCCGGCACGGTCCCACCAGGCTCTGCACAAGGTGGGGAGGCTCTGGAGGTTCCAGCCTCTCTGCTCCTCTCAAATCACCACCCACTGCCGGCTCCAAGCCTGTCCGAACCTCCCAGCCGGGAAATCTCCGTGGACACCGGCAGGCTGCTCCAGCCCGCTGCTCCAGCCCACGCTGTCCATCCCGCTGGCTGTGGCCTGGGATGGCCCGTGGCACAGAACCCCCAGGGGTGGCTGGGAATGCAAATGGGACGGTACTGATGGAGGACCGGGTCTCCTGTGTGTGTAACACAGCCTGCCACACACGAGCTTGCCTTCAGCCCAGCCCCTGAGACACGGATGCCTCACTGCAGTGTCCCCCTGGCTCTACCTCTCCCCCACCACGTCCTGCTGAGCCCTTCCCTCCACCAAACCCCTCCAGGCTCTCTGATCCCAGTGAGGGTCTGTGCGAGGCTCCTCTCACACAGGATTCTCACAGAGCCACGCACACCAGAGGTGAGGACTGAGCTCCCCAACCGGCACCCTCCCCAGCCAGCGCTGCTTCAGGGCTAATTGGTGAATTAAGCGTTTCACTCCTAACACAAATACAAGGTTTCCAAGGAATCCCCCGGGCGCGGCTCTCAGCAGCCAATGCTTCACTCCGAGCCGACCCGTTTGACTGCAGTCAATATTCAATAAGCAGGGTAATTGGCGAGGGAAGCTGCCCGAGCGCAGAGGAGCTGCCAGCCCTCCCCGGCAGCTCCGCTCCGCTCCAAGGAGCTCTCACTTCCCCCGCAGGAACAGCCGGCACCGACTGGAAACGCCACAGGTTCCTGACACCCTGTGCCACCCCCGGGGCCCGGCAGGGAGAGGTTTTGGGCTGGGCTGGAGGCTCTGCCCTCTGGGGAGGGCTGCAGCACTCGGTCCCCGCGGAGGTTTATTGACTTCCAGCATAGATCAGAGATCGATGCGGAGTCACCCCGGGCAGGCACGCACACTGACTCAGCACGGAGAGTGCGGGAACAGCTCCCCGGAGCCTTCCCCGAGCTCGGCCTCCCCCAGTCGGGCCCTTCAGGGGGCCGGGACAGGCTCTGCCCCACACCCCCCCAACATCTCACATCCCACACACACGCTTCCAAGTTCAGCCGGGTTTTCCCAGACTACTGGCAAACCAAGAGCTGGCTCCAGGCAGCAGGGTGGGCACCAGGGCTGCTCCAAGCTGGGCTGCACTGGGAGCAGGTCGAGGAGGGCTCTGAGGCCATGTCTGGGTGCTGTGCCCAGTGCTGGGCTCCCTGTACTGGACATACTGGAGGGAGTCCAACAAAGGCAAGAGACAATGGGCACAACCCAAAACACAGGAATTTCCATAAGGAATTTCCATGTAAATATTTAAAAAAATATACATTTTAATTGTGAATGTAGTCAAACACAGGCTCAGGTTGCCCCCGGGGCTGCAGAGTTTCCAGCCTGGGAGATACTCAAAACACAACTGGAAGTGCTGCTGAGCACCCTGCTTGAGTTCACCCTGCTTGGAGCAAGGGCAGGTTGGGACCAGATGATCTCCAGTGGAGATCTCAAGCATTCCACAGGTTCTCACCAACACCTCACTCACACTCCCTGGAAGTGTCCAGGGCCAGGTTGGACGGGGCTTGGAGCAGCCTGAGATAGTGGGAGGTGTCCCTGCCCGTGGCAGGGGGTGGATGAGATGAGCTTTAAGGTCCCTTCCCACCCAAACCATCCCACGATTCTGTGATTTTCTCCAACCACTATGGAGAAAACAGAGCTGTCACCCCTTTTAGGGAAAAGAGGTGGGAGTCCCAGAATGAGAAAGCTCAGAAGTTCTCTGGAGGCTCCCAGCAGGGAGCAGGTGACACCGACCCTCTGCCCACACCTCAGTTCCACCAAAGCCCCATGAGCAGAGGCCATTCCTGGATCCAAGCCCCCCTGTCCTCTCCTCAGCACAGCCCCACAGCAGGCCAGCTCTTCCCACAGGTGGAAGCAGCAGCTCCCTGGTAATGGCAGAGAGGAGGGGGAAATCCAATCCATAAATTTAAGGGGAAGTGATGTACCAGTGCCCTCTGCTGCTGACAGTTTTTATTCCCTGACTGAGCAAAACCCCGTGGGCTCACAAAGCCCACTCCAGGCTCCTGCTGCCAAGTGGTAACAGCACAGCCCAGCTCCAGGTTTGTGTCCATGCCAGCAGCTCCAGAGCAGGACAAACTGCAGCATTCCCGGGCTCCAGGCTCTCCCAGCACTGGGAGGCAAGGAGGGAGCACAGCCTGCACAACTTCCCCCTGCAGCAACTGCCCCTGCAAGGAGACCCCTGGACATTTCCTCGCTGGAGGACTCACCTTGAACCTGAGCACTGAGCTTCTCCAGGTCCTGCTCTGTCATGTGGGAAAATCTGCAGTTGGACCCAAAATCACACTGTCCTGGAACAAATGGGGAGATTTGGAAATTCAGTTTCAGTTTCAAAATCCACTAGGTTAGATATCATGGGAAGGGTTGTAAAGCACTGGAATGGAGGAGTCACCAGCCTGGAAGTGTTTAAAAACACACTTGTGGATGTGACACTTGAAGACATGGTTTAATGGTGAACACGGTTGTGCTGGGTTGATGGGTGGATTTGGTGATGCCAAAGCTCTTTCCCAAACTTGGAAAAGCCATGGAGCTCCGTGAGAGGCGCCCACAGGAGATCCTGCCTTGTGCAGGCAAACCCAAGCTCCACTTCCATCATCCCTCCAAGCTGCATGCTGGACACACAGGCCCGAGCCCCTCGGGCTGGCTCTCCATGGAGCTGCTGGAGCTCAGGGATTTACTTCCACCTCAGAACTCCTCACCTGTCTGCAGGAACTTCCGACAAGGTTTCTTGGTTTGCTCCTCCTGCAGGATGGCGGCGGCATCTGGGGAGACAGCGGGAGAGAGCAGCTACAGCCCCCGTGCCCAGCAACGCCCCACCCTGTCCCACACAGCCCAGGAAGCAGAGGGAGGCACAGAACACACAGGCAACGGTCTCACAGCCAGCTGAACCTAAACTCAGTCCTTGCTGCAGCCAGAATGCACTGCCCTGCTCTCCTCTGAGACCCTGGATGCACATTCCCACCGCATTCCTCAGGTGGCACTGACAAGTGAGACAAGTCAGAGCCTGTCTCCGTTTTGCCTCTGAGACTGCTTGATGCAACAGCGCCAGGGCACACAGAGTCATCAGTGTGGATGAACCACACCTGCTGATTTATTTTCTAATCCCACTGCCCCACCTCCTCCATGCCCTCCCCAGTCCCAGGAAGGGAGTGGCAGCCAGCTGGGAGCACCCACCTCGGAATAAGTCGTACCAGGCTCTCTTAGCCCGGAGGTGCTGCACTCCATTGAGGTGTTTCTTCCTGTTGTGCAGGTTGTCCTGAAAGGACCTGTCACAGTAGTCACAGAAGTACCTTTTCCCCATGTCTTGTCCTGGCAGAGCAGCCTCAGCACGGCCTGGGAACCATCAGGCAGCTCCTCGGCACCCAGCCATGGGAACGGAGGATCCAGGATTTACAGCGCCTGCTTCCGAAGGAGGACAACTCCAATCACTCGGGGTTGGCAGACAGAGAGAGAGGTGAGACCCAACAGTTTATATCCTTGTCCATCACAGACTGCTGGGGCAGGATCTGCTGCCTGCACATGAGAGGAAGGGCTTGGATCTGCATTTATCTCTGTCACTCTGCTGGAAGAATTCTCCTTTCACACAAAATAGAGATCCAGAGAGCCAAAGGCTCCAGGGGAGGTGCACCAGAAACCATCCAGAGTGCAAACAGAGGAGCTGGAGGTCCTGGGGACCTTGAACCACAACCTCCACGAGCTGCCATGTAGGAGGAAGGAAATTCCCCCGTGTCCACCTCTGCAGGGAAAGGAAGGAACTCAGCAAAGATACTTGTTTTATCCTCAGAGATAGAACAAAAGGTGATCTCACCTGCCCTGCAGGTGGGAAACTGCCCTGCAAACACTACAGGCCATGACACTTCCTTCAGCCCACCCAGACAGCCCTTTTCTCCTGTACACCATGGCCTGCTCCCCTCGCCCTCCCCAGCCTGTGGCACCGAGGAGTGTCTGCCCCGAGCACAGCACGGACATCACACCAGCCCTACAGCCAGGAGAAAACAACCCCAACTCCACAGCCACTGAGAACAACCTGGACATTCCTGGTCCTTCTCCCCCAGGGAAGAGGGAAACATATCCCACAGGTAGCCTGGAGACTCTGATGAGGAGAACTGAGGAGAGACAGGACAGAATTTGGGAGCTCCCATCCATGCTGGGCCTGGAGCCACTGGCTCCAGGTGAGATCAGCCTGTATTTTACCTTTGAGGCACCCATCCCATGGGATGTCCCTGCTGGAGGTGCCCCAGACACCCTGAAGGAGCTGCAAGTTCCCTCCTGAGGGATGTGAAGGCACCTGATGAAAGCTAAAGATGGATGGACTGGGAGATAAACTCCAAAAGCAACTCTCCACGTTTTGACACCTTGACAGCTGAATGCATTTAAAAAATGGCATGGAGAGCAGCAGCAGAAATAAAGATTTCCTAAATAAAACAGGACCAGAATCAATCACAGCCTCCCAGATGATTCCTCAGGCTCAGCAGGAAGAGCAGAGCTCCAGGCAATCCCTCGGAGCCTGGTGTGCCGAGCACAGGGGGGGCTGCCAAACCTCCTGCCATCCATCCATCCATCCATCCATCCATCCATCCATCCATCCATCCATCCATCCATCCATCCATCCATCCATCCCCTGCTCCCCAGAACTGCAGCTTCAAAGTCAAATTGCTGGAAATCCCTGAGGCCTCAGACACAGGTTGAGGTGAAGCCTCCCCAGCTGCATTTGATGGAATAACTTTCGGATTGTTTTGAATCGCCTTGAAAACCTCCACACCAAAGGTGAAACACTCAGAGGTTCCAACAGGATTGGAAACCAGCTGTGGCTGCCCCTGGATGCCTGGAAGTGTCTAAGGCCAGGTTGGATGGGTTGGAGCAACCTGGTCTAGTGGGAGAGGGTGGGACTGAATGAGCTTTAGGGTCCCTTCCAAGCCAAACCATTCCATGATTCTCCTTGTTGGAGGTGGTCAAACTCCTTGATCCACAAACCCAATCAGACCTGGCTCCTGCCTGGAATTTGTAACAGCTGACATTGTCCTGCTGCAGCCCAAGAAACCAAACCCAAGTGCTGTTTAATGAACAGGGATCCATAAATTCCCTCATCCCTCACTAGATCATCCCAGAGTTTTCCAGCCCGCTTTGCTGCACTGTGGTGGGGCTGCTGGAATCCAAAGGGAACACGTCTGGCCCACTGGCAGACTCTGCTTTTGAGTGCTGAGAACTCCCCCTTTCACACCTCATTCCACAGTCTCCCAAAGTTCCTGGTGACATAAAAAGCTCCCTGTCTCAGCCCTGGCTCCTGCACTCCATCTCTGCAGAAGCAGAGATGCTGCAAACAGGGAAAACAAATGAGATTCTGCAGTGGTCCCACACAAGTTTGCAGAGCTCTCCCGGGGAATTGTGCCTGCGGAAGCCCAGCAGCAGCCAGCCTTTGAAATCGGGTTTCAAACTTTCCCTTTCATCACCCCGACAGCAATAATTGCAGAAGCTCCTTCCCCCTCCTTCCCCTCCAAAAAAAAAAACAAGGCAGAAAGCTCCTACAGATTCCAGGCAGATCCCACAGCTGCTCCGGAATTCTCTGAGCAATTCCCATTGCAGGGGACGAAGGAATGAAGCAATTAGAGGAGCATGGGATTCTCACTGAGATTGCCCCTCCAGTGATCACACCCAACACTCGCTCCCATCTTTTTAAGGATTCCACTGCATGGATATCTGGCTGGATTGTGCCAGCTCTCTGCAGCACCAGCGCTCGGCGAGTCCGGAGCAATCAAAGCTGCTTTCTGAGCAGCCCCAACCTATTTCCATCTCCCCAAACGGCTCCAGCAATAAACAAAGAGCATTATTCAGCTGCAAACAGAGATGGCTCCTAATTAAATCCATCTTGGCCACGATGAAATCAAGGAAACGTGGCTGCCCTGTAAAGAACAGCCCATCTCCTCCCAACAGCTCCACACCCTGATTTGCAACTGAATCGAGGAGCTGAGACCCCCCAGACCCTCCACAGCCACGGACGCTCCCAGACAGGCTCTGTGCCAGCTTGGAAGAGCTCCTGGAGAAATGCAAACACACAAAAAAACAACCACGGGGGCTTTGTCTTGTACAGAAGTGTAACACAACTCCTCTGCTGTGCCTCCCGGAGCACTGAGGCACCTCCCAGGCGTGGCACAGCCAGTGAGGGGCCTGGGACCGCTCCACCCGAGCTCTTCTGTCCATCATTCCACGTTTTCCCTGCTCCAGCCGCTGCCCAAACACTCTACGTTGCTCTGTGCCGGCTACAGATTTTAGCTGGGACTCTTGGGGGGTGTTTCACGGGGCAGGGGGGGAAGGTGACCCTGAAATGGGCACACACAGACTGTCTGTGTCTGGGTGGAGCCCCAAGAGCTGCTGCTGGGCCCTGACCTCAATTTCCTGCCTTCTCCCAGCCCAGGCCTGGGGCCATTCCAGCCACTTTGGATATCCAGGCAGATGTGAAGTTAATTAAATCCAAGTGTCAAGCTTATGACACTCAGCTGCCAATTTAAATGGGCTCAGATCTGCAGGGAGACTTGGGCTGGCAGAGTCTGCTGGCACCTTCCTGTGACAGGTCCTGCTTTCCATTTACCTGCTGTAAATCATGGAATCGTGGGATGGTTTGGGTGGGAAGGGACCTTACAGCCCATCCAGTTCCACCCCCAGCCATGGGCAGGGACACCTCCCACTATCCCAGGCTGCTCCAAGCCCTGTCCAGCCTGGCCTTGGACACTTCCAGGGATCCAGGGGCAGCCACAGCTTCTCTGGGAATTCAATCCCAGCCTTTCCCCACCTCACAGCCAGGAATTCCTTCCCAATATCCCATCTATGCCTGCCCTCTGGCAGCAGGAAGCCACTCCCCCTTGTCCTGTCACGGAATCATCACGGAATGAGTTGGGTTGGGAGGCACCTCAAAGCCCATCTCCCTCCACCCCCTTCCCAGGGGCATGGACACCTTCCACTGGAAATCCAGGGCATGATTTGGGATTAACACCAGCCTGACCATACACAAACCTGCCTGGTGGCAGCAGTTCCTGGACTGTTGGGGACATTTGTCTTAGATAATCCTGAGCAGTTCAATTTGAAAAATAATAACTGAGCTTTTCCAACCTCTGCTCTGTGGGAGCAGGGACAGCCCCCAGGGAATGGCTGGAGCTGTGCCAGGGCAGGTTCTTCCCCCAGAGGGTGGTTGGCACTGAACAGGCTCCCCAGGGCAGTGGGCACAGCCCCAAGGCTGCCAGAGCTGCAGGAGGGTTTGGACAACGCTCTCAGGGATTGTTGGGGTGTCTGGGCCAAGGGTTGGACTGATGATCCTGGTGGGTTCCTCCCAGCTCAGGATATTCTGTGATTCCAAAGGTATAACATCATACACAGGGCACAGGAATGTGTCAGGCATATTCCAGGCTTCCAGCACGAGCAGAGGCTTTTCCCTAACCCAGAAAAAAATCCCACAGATCCCCCCAGTCGCTGTATGAGAGAACCAAACATAAATAAATCAGGAGAAGTGACTCTGCAGCCAGACCTTGTGCTATTTCTGAGTGGGTGAGACAAACAAAACGACAGAGCAGAGTCACTTGAGGGTCTGCTCTGGAATTTCATGTAGATGCTCATTTAACAACAACCCTGCGGGGGAACAGCTTCAGTTTTAGGATTCCTGAGTCCCCAGTGTCTGTCCTGCTTTCCTAACCCCAAATTTGTCTCTCTGTCCTGGGCCACCCTGGGACCCCTCTGCCCTTACTGAGGTTAAACAGAGAAAAACACAAGGAGAAGGTGGCAAAAGGGAATGTTCCCACTTCTGTTCTACCACATGGGGCCACATCTCACTGCTCCCGAGGCCTCTGGAGCCTGAGGGTCCTCTGGCCCAGGTTGCCCAGAGCAGCTGTGGCTGCCCCTGGATCCCTGGAAGTGTCCAGGGCCAGGTTGGACGGGGCTTGGAGATACCTGGGATAGTGGCCATGGCAGAGGGTGGGAATGAGATGAGCCTTAAGATCCCTTCCAACCCAAACCATCCCACGATTCCATGATTTATGAGCTCCACACCACTCTCCCTCTCACCCCACACTGTCACCGACCACCCTCCACACCCCCAGAAAACACTCAAACTGCCCCCGCTCCGCCAGGGGCGAGCAGAGGGCAGCGACCACAGCCCCTTCGTGTCCCCGTCACCCCTGAGGGCAGGGCAGGGCAGGGGGGACTCTGCCTCCTCTGCCCCTCAGCCTCCCGGCCCCAGCCCGCTCTGGGTGCCCGCACAACCGTGGCCGGGCTGGTTTCACGGCACAAAGCCCGACCTAAACCCTCGGGCTGCCCGGCGGGGCCGCTCAGGGGAAGCGGGGCGGGACGGGGCCGAGCGGGAGCCCCCTCACTGCGACCCCTCACGGAGCCCTTACAGGGAGCCTTTACAGGGACCCTTCAGAGGGAGTCCTCACACGGAGCCCTCACGGACCCCTCACAGAGACCCCTCACAGAGATCCCTCACACGGAGCCCTCACGGACCCCTCACAGGGATCCCCCTCAGAGGGATCCCCTCACAGAGCCCCCCCCGTCCCGCTCCCCCCGGCCCCGCTCACGCACCTCCAGCCAGGCCCGCGCCGCGCCGCCTACAACTCCCACAATGCCCCGCACACCGCCCGGCACTCCCGGCACCGCCTACAACTCCCAGCACGCCCCGCGCACACAGCGGGCACAGCGCGCCGCTCTCCCGGCACCGCCTACACCCCCCATGGTCCCCCGCGGGGCCGCGCAGGCGCGGTGCGCGCGGCCAAGATGGCGCTGCTGCGGCAGGTGTACGGGGCGCTGTTCCGCCGCACCTCCACCTTCGCGCTGTCCGTCGTGCTGGGCGCCGTGCTCTTCGAGCGCGCCTTCGACCAGGGCGCCGACGCGCTCTTCGAGCACCTCAACGAGGGGGTAAGGCGCGGGGAGAGGCCGGCAGCGGCACCAGGGGCGCGGGCCCGCGCTGAAGGTCAGGCCGGCCCCGCTGGGCCACGCCCCGGGGGCCGGTCCTGAACTGTTCCCGACGTGTCCCCGGGCCGGTCCTGAACTGTTCCCGACGTGTCCCCGGGCCCGCAGTGTGGCTTCACGGCTCTCGTGGCGCTCGGTGGTCGCGGCTCCAGGCTGCCCTTGGGCTGCGGAGCCGCTGGAAGGGCCGTGGGAGGCGGTGGGAGCAGGAGGGGGGAGAAAGAGCTGATTCTGTGCTCTGTCCTCCTCCCCCCCGGCTCGGCCGGGCGGGCCCTGGCACGGGGAGGGCGTGGGCGCTGCCGGGTCGTGCTGGGACGCAGCGCCAGAGCCCCGGGGTGAGCGGGATCAGGTCGTTCTCGTGTTCCCAAGCACGGCTGTAACGGGATGGTGACTGCCCAGGGTCACCTGCAGGGGACAAACAGCGGCTTCCTCTTCACTTGGGGAAGGCCTGAGAGCCCCTTCCAGGGCCTAAAGGGGCTCCAGGAGAGCTGGAGAGGGACTGAGGACAAGGCATGGAGGGACAGGACACAGGGAATGGCTTCCCACTGCCAGAGGGCAGAGAGAGATGGAGTATTGGGAAGAATTTTTCCCTGTGAGGGTGGGGAGGCCCTGGCCCAGGTTGCCCAGAGAAGCTGTGGCTGCCCCTGGATCCCTGCAAGTGTTCAGGGCCAGGTTGGATGGGGCTTGGAGCAACCTGGGCTCGTGGAAGGTGTCCCTGCCCATGGCAGGGGTTGGAACAGGATGGGCTTTAAGGTCCCTTCCAAACCATTCCAGGATTGTGTGACTGGGATTGTTCTGTTCCTGTATCTCCAGGAGCAGAACTGCCCTCTCTGGTCGGGGTGGGAATTCAAGGCAGGGTGACTGGGATACTCCAGTCCAGAGCAGGAGGGAGGGGATTTTCTGCAGCTTCCTCCCTGTCCAGACTAAAAGCCAGGAGCTCCCTCTGTCCCTCAGATCCAGCCCAGGGCTCCCTCCCCACCTCCCCAGGCAGGGTGACTGTAAAATATAAACTATAAAATAACATTTTAGAGCGAAATGTTATCCCAGCACCTCTGAAAAGCCTTTGCTTTGCTTTGCCCCCAGAAACTGTGGAAGCACATCAAGCACAAGTATGAGAACTGAGCAGCTCAGCAGCAGGAGCAGGGAAGGATTCGGCCTCCTGACACCGGGAATGGATTCCTGATGGAACAGCTCCGAGCCAGAGTGGATCAGCTGCCCACTGAGCTGGTGTGAGGCAGGATGGACTCCGGGGGTGCTGCTGTTCCTGACTCACAGTGTTCAAATAAAACTCTGTCCATGTCTCATGTGTGTGTGTGTCTGTGTGTGTGTTCACCTCACCCATCCTTTGGCTTCCTTGGGCCTCCCCCTCTCCAGAGGATGGAGAGTGGGTCAGTACAGCCCCATTCCTTAGTTCCAAGGCATTTTAAAATGCCTAAAATTTCAAATAAGCCTCCTAAAAATGGTTGGAAAGCCTTGAAAGCACTTCCAGAGCTGTGGTTTAGTGACAACCCTTGGCCTGTACCTGAGGAGAACTCGGAGAGGGAGGAGCAGCTCTTGTCTTTCTTCTGGCCTGTTCACAGAAAAGGGGTTCAAAATCATTCACATCATCTGTTGGTCCTGTGCAGGGCTGGGGGAGGTTCCTGGCCCCTCTCAGCACTGCAGGTGCTGCTGCAGCCCTGCCCCAGCACTGGTAAATCTGCCCAGCACTGCCCCTTGAGCTCTGAACAGGCTGAGTGTGCCCAGCACTGCTGGGCTGAAAATGGGGGTGGTGTGCCCAAAACCTCCTCAAAAGGGATGTGGATCCCCCCCCTAATTATTTCTGTGCCTTCTGGCTCTTCAGATGGCTCCAGGGGCAGGAGTCACCGTAGGTTTGTGTGGTAGCACCAGCATGCCCCCACCCTGGGATCCAAGGGGAGCTGCTGGGAAGGGAGAGGAATTGCTCAGTCACCCCCAGCAGCTGGATCAGGGGAGTCATGGAATGGTTGGGATGGGAAGGGACCTTAAAGATGATCCAGTTTCATCCCCCTTCCCTGGGCAGAGCCATTCCCTCCTCAGCAGCCTCACCGAGGAGCCCAGCCCTGGCTCTTTCCAACACCTGTGTATCCCCAGGAAGGGATGTTTGGGTACTGTTTGGGGTAATGATCCAGTTAATCACAGCTCTTTTGGGAGATCTGGCTCAGTGATTCCTGCTGTCCCCCAGCCCAGCAGCCACATCCCTTCCCTCTTCATTTTCCCTAATCAGGAGGAATTTCAGCCAGCGCTGGGGCAGCAGCTTCACTGCCTTTGCAAATGGGCACCAGGGGCGAAACATTTGCTCTAAAAACACAAGGAGGACTTAAAAAAACGTGGTGTTTTTAGAGCCAAACCCAACCCCAGCTGTGCCAGTCCCAGCTGTGCTCTGTGGAGACGTTCAAGGGGAAGGTTTCAGTGTTCCTGGGACGAGCCCAGCCCGGGAGTGCCAGCTGGCTCTGCAGTGCTGCTGCTCCACGCTGAGCAGCTCAGAGAGAGGTGCAGGAACCAAGGCTGAATGCAGGATGAGGGGGAGGCAGCACTGCAGTGGGCAGCAGGGAGGGACTGAGGGAGCCCAGGGAGCAGGAGCTGCAGGAGAGCAGAGTTACCCTAGCAGGGGATTGCCCTGGACACAGCATTTGGGGACAGTGGTGAATACAATTCCCTTTTTCCTCTGCCCGTCATCAGGAGGTTTGAAAGAAAAATCTTGGAGCCCTCAGGACTTCATCTCATTTTGTGGCAGTTCTGCTGCATTTCTACCACTCTGCCAACAGCCCCAGTCACACCCCAGCCCCCTCTGAGTTAAACCAGGCACCAAGGTGTGCCTACAGACCTTACTACCACCTTACTACCACCCTGCTCCTCCTGCAGCTCTGGGATTACCCTGGATCATCACCCACTGCTCGTTTTCTCAGCATGGGGGTGACAGCCACAGGCACCTTTGCAGCTCCAGGGTGGTGGGGAGGTGCCACTCAGGGCAGATTAACCAAGTAAATTAACAAAGCAAAGGCTAATTGATTGCAGGAAGTTCATCTCCATGACAGGGACAGAACTCCAAAACATCCTAACGCTCCATGACAACCGGGACAACTTTATCACCAGCTGTGGGTGGGTGAGTCCGGGATGCCCAGGTAGAGTGGCAGCCACTGCTGTGGCATCTGAGCACCCCACAAACAGGTCACTTGGTAATTTCTGTGTCTCCCTGCCTGGGAAACAACTCCCTGACAAAATGCAGCCCTCGGGAAGAGCCTCTCAGCAGGTCCCTCTCACCTCTCAGCCTTCCCACAGTAGAGGGTGGTTGGGGCAGTACTGCCTCATGGGGGTTACTGAGGAGGCAGCTCCAGGGTACTCTGACCTGCTGCCTTCAGCCCGGATTTCCACACCACTGGCATCTTACTTGGCATGCCTGGATCCTCATTTCCCAGCATGTTTAGTCTCAGTGGGTAAATCTCATTACACTGAACCAACACTGACCAGGGAGAGAATTTCCCCACCTGCAGATCCAGCACTGAGAGGCCTGTGGAGGTTCCTCTGAGTTACAGATCAATCCTGTCTGTGAGAGCCTGAAACACCAACTGAAACACCTCCATCATTTATTTGCCATGGTCTGTTTTCACAGGCCTCACTCAAGGGACAGAAATCCATGGCAAGGTCTTACCTCAACTCCTGGGGGTCTGTCGGCAGTGGGAACAGCCAGAGCAGTTCCCTGCCAGCATGGAGCTGTGCCAGGGCAGGCTCAGGTTGGATCTCAGGGCAAGGTTCTTCCCCCAGAGGGTGGTTGGCACTGAACAGGCTCCCCAGGGCAGTGGGCACAGCCCCAAGGCTGCCAGAGCTGCAGGAGGGTTTGGATGATCCTCTGGGGCACAGGGTGGGACTCTTGGGGATGGGGCTGTGCAGGGCCAGGAGTTGGACTGGATGATCCTCGTGGGTCCCTTCCTTGGGATATTCTATGACTCCAGTTCAGAATAAGGCATTTCAGTGGGGCAGAGAGCTGGGGGCTGTCCCAGAGTCCCAGGCAGGCCATGGAGCCCCCGGGAGCGGCAGGGAAGGCGCAGGGATCAGTATGAAAATAAAACTCTGTGGATTATAAATAGTACAAAAGGGAAGGAGGGGCTGGTACAGCCTGTCCCCTGTATTGGGTGCAGCCACCAGCACACACGAGTGAAGAGACTCAGGGCCTGCTCCTTCCCAGGAAAGGCAGAGCTCCCACAGGGAACGCCGTTCCACGCGAGCTGGAGCGCCAGGTGCTGAACCACGACATCCAGCCCCCTGAGCGCAGGGGATGCCGAGCAGGAGGCTGGGGATGGTGCCACGCCCGGCCAGGAGTCCCTCAGGAAGGGATCATGCCTTTGCTCCGCTTCCTGTCGGCCATGGCCCGCCGGTTGTGGTTGGCCCTGGTGCTCTTGTTGGCCTCCTTCTTCCTGCGCTCCTGCACCGTCTCCCGGTTCTGCCCGTGGCCCTTGGCGTTCCCAACAACGGCAGAGCTGTCGTGCTTGTACCTGCAGGACACAGGAAACAACATCATGGCACAGCCCACGGCACAGCTGGGGACACAATCCCACACCCCCAAAACACCCAGGGGGTGAGGAGTTCAGCCCTCGGGCCTTGGCTCATCCCAGGGATCCACAAGAGCCCAGGATCAGCATCAGCCACACAACAACTGTGCCCTTCGACACACTGAGCCCATCAACTGAAAACAGCCCTTAATCTGCCCCAAAACCCCTGCAGGAGCTGTTGGAACTCTGGAAGTTGTGCTTTCCAAGATCCTGCCCAGCAAAGGGTTCTGTTGCTTGTGATAAAGGGCCTGGAATGACAGGACACAGGGAATGGCTTCCCACTGCCAGAGGGCAGGGATAGATGGGATATTGGGATGGAATTGTTGGCTGTGAGGGTGGGGAGGCCCTGGCACAGGTTGCCCAGAGAAGCTGTGGCTGCCCCTGGAATTGTCCAAGGCCAAGTTGGAAAGGGCATGGAGCAACAAGATGAGCTTTAAGGTCCCTTTCCACCCAAACCACTCCACAGCTCCACGACAAGCCAACCCACTCAACGGGATAGAACCACCAGCAGTGAAGCAGAAGGCGGGTGGGGAAATTCACACCACGGTGGTGGTGACCCTGATGTAGAGGAATGTCAGGAGCAGCAACACCCTCAGCCATTGCAGTCAGCAGCAAAGCACCTCCCAGCTGCAGAGCCAGGGATTCATCCCCCCCTGAGGCTGATCCTTGCTCACCCCTTCCTGGCCAGGAACGCCTGGCGCCTGGCCTCGGCCCTCTCCCGCAGCACAGCCGGGTCCTGCACAAAGTGGTCCTGCAAAGAAGGGAGGGAAGAGGTCAGGAAACTCAGCAGCCCCCTGCAAATTCCTAGAGCAGGAGGGGATTCTGCTGGGAACAGTTAATGCTGGTCCATTATCCCTGCGGGAATCGGGACTCTGAACAAGGCCTGGCACAAGCGCTGGCTGAGGCCCCTCCACACACCCAGAGCCCCAGGGACCCTCAGAGGGCTCTGCTGGCACTGCCTGCCCGTGGGACAGAGCAGATTAAAGCTCTCCACGGAGCAAGTGTCACTGCCCCAGCCTGGTTATCCCGGGAAGCAGCTGAGCTGTCCGGGGGAGGTGTCACAGCCCGGCAGCTCCTCCTCTGCTGCTGCTGGAAGAGTCACTCCAAAATCTGCTCCCCATCACCCTGCAGGGAAGAAATAGGGTAAGTCAGGGTCACCTTCGTTCTTTCCTTTTCAGCTTCCTCCTCCTCCTCCTCTTCATCCTCTTCCTCCTCATCCTGTCCTTCCTCCTGTCCCTTAGGTCTCAAGACCTGAGGAATTGTGAATGGCCTGAGAACAAACACATAAACAGTCAGCAACAAACACAGTGCAGCCACCAGCACTTCCCTGAACCTTCCTGGTTTGCCTCACACCTTTAAATAATGAAACTCTACAAATTTCATGGACTTTTTCTGAAGAAAAGAAAAGAAAAAGGAAGGAAACTCATAGCTAATGACACAGTGCCAAGGGTAATTAATGAACACGTTCTTCACTGGGGAACGTTCACTATGAAGGTGTCACTGAAAATAATAATAGTTTAAAAAAAAAAAAAAGGGAGCAGGTCAGGGAAAACCTCAAAGCTCACAAGGAATTTCTCCAAGCAAACAACTGCTTCCTTTGGGAAAGGGGGCTTTAGGAATATCCTTTGTTAAGCTTTAGCTCCCCAGTCAGGAGCCCCCAAACCCAGACAGAAACATTAATGCTCAGCAAGTGTTGTGCTCCAAAGCCTCTAGGAGTGGTCAGGGGTTATCCATGGAGCCCGAATTTTATTCCTGTGCCCCTGTTTCACACGGGGAAATCCTTGCAGAAATCCAACAGGATTTATGAATCAGCCTGGACATGCAGAGTAAAGGCCTGGGGGTGAAGGCAGAATTTACCATATGCCTTTTATTCTTTAAAATATATTTATGTGTGTGTGTGTTTAAATTCTACTGGAATTCAGACCCACCATTCCACTGTCAAAGAAATAAATGTAAAACCAGAAAAGCCTTTGTTATTTCAAGCCCACAGATCCAGTTTTTAAGCAGAAACATCCACTAATTGTTCCTGGGGAGAGTGAGCATCTGAAACAGGGGAAAAGACCTGGGTGCCACACTAACAGGCAAACCACAAAAAGGATTTAAATGGAACCTTCACCACACTTTAGGAGGGAAGAAGAGGGACAAAGGAAGCCCAAAGCTCTATTTTGGTTTCAGGTTAAGAACAGTGACATCCTCCTAACACAGAATTCAAAAGGCTGCTTTCAGACAAGTGTTAAAGCAGCTTTTGAACCACGTGTTTTCTATCCCCAGCTCGCATTTCTAAACCAAATATTCTTCAGCCTCCACCCCAAACTAATCCTTTGCTTCCTAAAAGCTGATTGTCTGCAGCTGCCAGTCCTTTTGACAGTGCTGAGCAGCCCATGAGGGTCTGAATTCCACCTGTCAGCACTCTGAGATGTCACAGGGAAAAGTCCAGTTGTACAATTTCCCAAATTTTGAAGTTTTGCCTTGCTACCCAGCCATTTGATGTTGCCCAGCTACAATGACTATCCAAACTGGCCCATTTTACCCCTGTTGCAGGGGGGTTTCTATGGGCAGAAGTTTCACCACAGTGGCAAATTCTCCTTTTGGATTTGCTGCTGAGTTGAGGCAATGGCTGAGTGGAGGCCAGAGAACACCCTGGCACAGGCAAGACTCGGGAGAAGGGAGACCCAACTGTCACAGAGAAGGCAGCAGCAGCAGCCAAAGGGTGCTTTGAAGGGTGCTGTGAGGACACACGTGCTCGTGGAGGGACGGAACCAAAGGCTGCCCAGGTTTGTGGGATCCACACAAATCCACACAGTTCCCACCAAGCTCCCCTTCCCCACCCACCTCCTGCTGATCAGCTCATCATCCGAGTCAGCATCGTTGGCCCCCACTTGGTTGCCGTCGTAGGTGTCGTCGTACTCGTCCTCGTAGTCCCCGTAGGGCTGGGCCTGCCCCGGGCCCAGGGGCAGCTCCTCCACCACCACCCTGTACTGGCTGTACCTGTCCCTCTGCTCCTGCACCAGGCTCTTGTCGTTCACCAGGCTCCTGGTCGTGTCCTTCTCCCTCCTGCACCACAGCACAGAACAGGGACAGACAAAGGCAGGGTGTCACAACCTTCCCTGCAAGGTGGTTTTACCTCTTTTAGTGGAAGATGAAGCAGCACAAGTCTCTTCTCCAAGGCCACAGGAACTCCTTAAACCCCCCTGTTTCCCTGCTGACTTACAGAGTCATGGAATGAGCCATCCCATCCCACCCCCTGCCATGGGCAGGGACACCTTCCACCAGCCCAGGTTGCTCCAAGCCCCATCCAACCTGGCCTTGGACACTTCCAGGGATCCAGGGGCAGCCACAGCTTCTCTGGGCAACCTGGGCCAGGGCCTGCCCACCCTCCCAGGGAAGGATTCCTTCCCGATATCCCATCTACACCTACTCTGTCAGTTTGAACCCATTCCCATTTGTCTAGGCACTCCATGCTCCTGTAAATATTCCCTCTCCATCTTTCTTGTAGCTCCTTTCAGGTCCTGGAAGGCCACAATTAGGTCACCTTGGAGCCTTCTCTTCCCTAGACTAAACAACCCCAGTTCTCTCAGAGCTGCTCCATTCCTCCAATCAACCTCCTCTGGACTTGCTCCAACAGCTCCAGGTCCTTCCTGTACTGGGGGGCCCAAATCTGGAGGGAGTGGTCCCGGTGGGGTCATTTGTCTGAGGACTCTTTGGCCACTAAAACCATCCCCACCTGGCTTGGAACAAAGTCACCCTTAACCAGAAGCCTGGGGAGATCCCCCAGCAGATCAGGGCAGGAACTGGAGGCCACCACCACCCTTTGAGACAGACAGGAAGCTTTCCCAGGAGGCCAAATGCAATCCTACTCCAGCTGAAATGTGGCCAAGGAGCACCAGGAGAGCCACGAACCGTGAGTGAGGATGAGAGTCAACACAGCTAACGAGGCAAAGAGCAATCCAGTGACTGTGATTCAACCTCTCAGAGCACTGCAAGGACTTTGGGTTTTAAATTTAGAAGGCAAGTGAATTATAGTCATTTCAGAGAAGGGAAGAGCAGGAATCAGAGGTATTAAAGAGCAGGCTCTGAGTGTCTTGAGCTGCACAAGCATAAGCTCTGAGGTCCCGTTTTTCAGACCAGACAAGTACATATTTACAGAAGAACAACAAGGAATTCCAGCACTGTCCAGCACTCCCAGGACAACCTGCAGCCCTCAGAGTCCAGGAGGAACAGGCACCAGTGGATATAACCTGTCCAGGGCAGTGGCAGTGACTCAGGAGGGGACAGACTGAGGTGACACAGCTCCAGGCAGTGGGGGGGGTGATCCAAGCAGCCTGATTTCCATTCAGAATCTCCAAACAAAGGAAGTTTGCAGCTCCATGTGGTTCCCTCTCTCCCATGACTCACCGTTCCAGGCCTGCATTGAGCTGCACAATGCCCTGCCAAGCATGCAGTGAGTTCACACATCCCCAGGCTGGGATCCCTGGGATAACATCTCCCTGGGCATTCAGCACTGGGTAATTGCTTCCTGCCCAGCTGGTCTGGTGACTGCAGAGCTGTGTGAAATGGCACCAATCCCAGGAGAAACAGTGGGACAGCTCCTCTGGCCCCACTGGTGCTCAGGACACGCTCTGACTTAGGAGACAGACTCAGCTGAAACAACTAAGGCTGGACAGGCACAGACAAGTGGGATCCCTGTTCAGGATCAGCAGAGTCTGTGCTGGTACAGTCATCTCCTCAGGCTCCTTTCCCTCCTCACCCTGCCGGGGTTTCTCTTTCACAAGGACAGGCCCTGCCCCAAACTGCTCCCAGTGGCCAGTGCAGCAGCACCCAGCCTGCTCTGGCCCTTCCAGTGACAGCATGCTCAGCAACAGGCTGAACACGAGAGATTTGGTGAGCAAAAGGCATTAAGAAGGAGGAAAGAAAGAGAAAGAATTGAATATTGATACAATTCCAATCCAAAGCAGATCTCAAACTAAGCTTGGAGAGCCCTGATACTCCAACACTTGGATAAAACATCAGGCTTCTTGCTGGTGGAAGAAGCACTGAGGAAGGGGGATTTTTAGTGCTGAAAAGACACTCTTGGTATTTCTGGAGTGCTGAGTGTTAAATCCTGGAGAGCCAGGTACCACAGCTTATCCTTTGAGTTACACGTGGTCAGCTTTGGGTGGAGGGAGTACAGTGCTCATCACAGCTGGTTACATCCACATTTCAAACCACTCAGACCAGAAACAACGTGTCTGGGGTCCTGCAGAGAGTTCTCAGCATAAAAACTGTTCTGAAATGGAAGACACAGCCTGAGGGAGGCCAAAAGACACCAGAAGAGCAGCAGTGAGTGGGCAAACCCCAGAGGTCCCTTAACTACAGCAGGAGAGATGAGAACTTCTCAAGGAGTGATGGTGCCACTGCAGAGAGGGCTCAGCCTCCCACACAGCTGGAGGGCAGTGCTGTGGGAGCAGGGCCCCCCAGCCCAGCCCAGGGATCATTCACAGCTCCCAGAGCTCTCCAAGTGATCTGCAGAGGGAGCTCCGAGCAGGTTATTCCAGCCCCTGTGTGCTCTGTGCTGAACCCGGGGCTCTGGGGCCTTGTCCTGCTGCTGCAGCAGCTGCCCAGCTGTGCAAGGCTTTGGGAGACAGGGAGGACCCAGCCCAGGCTTTGAAAGACAGGAGGACCCAGCTCACCTGTGGAAGGCTTTGGGAGACAGGGATAAACCAACACAGCTGTGCACAGGGCACCTGCCTGCACTGGTAACACCAGCGGGAGAAAGGTGAGGTCTGGGAATTGTCACCTATGGCACATGTCAAAAGGCTTGGCCAGAGAGAACAGAAATGCCTTTCCTGCCCAGCCAAACCAGGATCAGCACAGTGGCACTGCCCTGAGAAGCTGGATTTGGGACAAAAGTGGTTTTCTCCTGAGAGGTTGGTGCAGCTTTGCAACCCAAACCTTAACTGGGAGCTCTCGTGGTCATGGGGCTCAAACTCCAGCCAGATTTTTAGTTGTTTTGTGTGTAAATACATCCCAGAGAGATCACACTTGGCTGGTTACAGATAGTGTCGAGAGTGTAGTGGAAGGTGGAACAAGATGGGCTTTGAGGTCCTTTCCAACCCAAACCATTCTGGGATTCTGTGATATGACCAAAAAGAATCTGAAACAAGGGAACCATCTTCCAGAGGCAGAGCTGACATCAAGGGGAGCCAGCACCTAAATCTGCATGGAGTGTGGCACAACACACCAAACTGGGCAGAGAACAAAGTAAAAACTGGTGGGGTTTTATAGAAATCCCTGCCCATTGCAGAGAGACTGGACTGAGTGACCTTTGAAGGTCCTTTCCAACCCAAACTATTCCATGACTCCAAACGCCCTTGTGCAGGGAGCTCACGGCAGCAGGAGCAACACAAGGTGTCTGAGGCACTCAGTGTTATCAGATTTTGAAGTAGATGGATATTGAAGCTTCTCTTGGCTCTAAACCAGATCATTATTTATTCTCAGCTCTGAGTCACAATCCCAGGCTCAGGGATGGTCCTTTTCAAGGTTTTGTTGTTCAGCACAAGTTCAACATTAAGCCGAAGGAGCAAGAGCCTGCCATTACAAATGAGCTTGGCAGAGCCACCTCCAGCAGCAGACACAGCAAAGCCAATTAGGAAAAGCACCACCTGAAACCAACCCCCTCCCTCATATTTCACTTTCCTTTCCCAGACAGACAGGTGGGAAACAGTTTTGATAGAGCCTCACCCCCTGCCAACACACTGCTGCAGGTGGTTTGTGGGAGATATAAATGTGCAGCTTCACAGGTATTTATTCCCCCTGACAGGCAGAGTTAATGAGCAGGGACAGGACACTCACCTCTTGCCTTTCTGTATCCGAGATACATCCACCGAGTCCCTGCTGAAAACATCAAACTCATCATTCTGGAAAACATTACAGCGAGAGGTGACCAGGGGAGTGGGGTCTGGCTTCAGCTGTCTGTTAGGAAAAACAAGGGGACAGAGGACAAAAACAAAGGTGAAGCGAGGACGACCAAATCCTCTCCTCCCTAAGCCCCTGGTTTCTCCTTTGCCAGTCCCAAAGTCATCCAGAGCCCACCAAGACCCTCCCCGTGGCTCTGGGCCACCCCTTCACCTCACAGCTCTACTCTGAGCTCCAAGGCAGCTTCCAAACCTTCCCTTGTGGGGAAACTAAAGCAACTCCCAGAAAGCCAAAAGGAAACTCTCCTGCTCCTTTCAGAGCCAGTCAAAGCCTGCAGCACCACGGAATATTCAACAGACTGCCTGCTCTCCACACTGACTCAGTAGAGACAAACACTAAGTATGATGAATTACATGCTGGAAAAATATTCCAATAATTTGCTGCTGCTGATTGCAAGGTATTTATCTCCCTGTGGTTCCTTCTTGAATCTTTCTTACGGCTCCAGGTTTACGTTTGTTCAACTTATGAGACAAAAGGCTGTTCTTTGCCATTGATTTTGGTGTGCAGTGAGCTCAGCTGGGCAGCTGCAAACGCTGCTGTGCTCACCTATAAATCAGCAGGGATCAGAATTGGACATTTCCTATTGAACCAACGGCTTTGTTTCAAGATGAAAAAGGCAGAGGGGGGAAAAAAAATCCAGCTCTATCTCATTTAACTGCTGGCTTTGCAGAAAAAACAACCCTTCCTTAAGCCCACCCAGCACCAGTTGTGCCAAAGTCAGCAGATCTGACTCGGGAGCACCAAGACTGTTGAAAAACTAGGATTTTTTGCCATAGTTTTTCTGATAAAGATGCTTCCCTTTAACGCAACAGCGAGACAGTCTGCCCACTCCTCCATGAAATGTGAACAAACAGCACATTCACATCCTGACACCCCGTCAGGAACTGCTGGTGCAGCACAAAAACACACTCACAGCTGCAGGCAGACTCCAGCAACTCAATCCTGCCACCAGCTCTAAACCCCTCATACAACACAGGCAAGCAGGACGAGCCTGGCAAGTCTGTCAGAGGACACATAAAAATGGGTCTGAATTCCCATGTCCAACCTCTGTCTGGTCCAGCTTCCCTCACAGACCAGCAGCCTGTTAGATAACCACATCTGACCCCACAGGGTGAACTGCAGCTGAATGAGCCCCTCTGAAGATGCCCTTTCCTGCAGGACACCTGGGATTTCCATACCTACGAACCCAAACTCTGCAGCTAAATGACTTTTGAAGGCAACACGTTCTGTTGCCCAGCCCAGTGTCCCAGGGATGGAATTTTAATGGTGCTCATTTGAGCATTTCACGTACGAGGCATTTTGTCCCTGTCACAAATCACAGCCCAGAACCTGCCCCACTCAAACACTGAGCAGAGAACGTTCTACTCCTTGGCAGGCGACAAGGAGAAGCTCTCAGTGCAGTTATACAGCCCAAAAATACACACCTGCACCCTCTCAGAGCTCTGCAAGTGCTGAGCCCTCAGTGAGAACAGTGGTAAATCCTGAACAACCAACCATGGGTTGGGCCACACCTTTGCATCCTTCGGTCCAGCTTGTCCAAGTGAGGCACCAGCTTATCTTCTAGGATGTTGTTGATCACCTGCTCTGTGCTGTATCCATACTCCTCCAGGCAGGCCAGAATGAACCCCTCCCCGAGGTCAGGCAGCAGGTCCTTCACTTGGGAGATGAGGGAGTCCAGCTCCACACCGGACACGCGGGCGACGGGCGCGGCTGCTGCCCCAGCGCACTGCGGGTACCAAACTGGGGGTTACTGGGCAGGGACAGCAGCTGAGGGCAGGCAGGAGAGCAAAGAAACAAAGGGAGAGCAGCAGTCTGGGCTATCAGAGCTTTAAACACAAAGAAGGCCAAGGCTGGAGTCAAAAGAAGAGAAATCAGCTGTTTGGATCTGAACACACAACGGCTTTTGTCAGTCCCCAAGCCAGCAAGGACGCTCTGGAGAATCCCTTCCTCAGAGCTGTGCATTTCAAAATATGCACATGAACTGCAGGGGTGAGGCACAGTATTTGAATAATCCCCAGCAAGGGAAAGCCCAAGCCACGGGAGTTCCAAGCAATTTGCTGAGAGATAAAGCAGGATTCAGGTGTGGATTCCATTCTCATTTCCCAAGGCATGTAGGGCTACTCTGATATCCAGGGAGGGTCAGAAATGACAGTAAATCTCATGTTGTCACCCAAAACCGAGCAAACCAAGCCTGTCCCCACAAAGAATGAAGGGCAGGCAGAGCAGAGCCCTGCCCCACCCCCAAGCTGTACCCACCTCATCCTCCAGGGCACAGGCAGCCCCTGCATCCTCCCCGTCCTCAGCACAGCTCTCCACTGTTGCTGATGCTCCATCAGATGCTGCTGGTGCTGCTGGATCTTTAACAGCTTGTCCTTTTCTCCTGTCCACCCCTTCCCAGGCACTTTCCACTGCCTGGAGGATATAGGCTGTCCTGGTCTCGTCTCTGAGAGCAGAGTTAAGGACATTCCTGGATGTGCCTGTTCACGCTGGAGTAACTGTGCTGGTCAGTGACTCCCAAGCCTGTCCCTCCATCAACACCCATGGAATGACTGGGGCTGGGAGGGACCTTAAAGCTCATCCCATCCCACCCCCTGCCACAGTTGCTCAGAACTGGCCTTGGACACTTCCAGGGATGGAGCAGCTTCTCTGGGAAACAACTGCCCCTCCTCTCCCCTTTTTTTTCTTAAGGGAAAACTTTCCAGCACCCACTGCAGCTTAACCACAGGTAGCAACAGAGGAAATATCCCTGGTGTGAAGGAATCCAACCCCCAAGGTGGGAGCAGAGGATACAGTGTGGAGGATGCCTGCTGGAGCAGACTGACATCGTCCTCAACGGGAAACAGCTCATCATAGTCACGGAGAAATCTGAAAACGCAAGTTTAATCAGCTGAACTCGATTAATTACCACTCCCACCCCTGCTGTGCCTCCCTGACTGCCTCAGCGCTCAGGTAGGAACGCACAGAACCTCTCACCCAGTCCTGGATTCCTGCCAGGCCTGATTCTGCTCCCACTACACTGCAGCAACACTCCCCCCAGGCCCTCCGAGCCAGCTGGAACACCCTTCAGAGTGAGGGGCTGTTAACCCAGCGCTGCATGACAGGGAAATGTGGTTTATGGTGTGAACGTGCTCAGAATGCCAGCACAGCCAGGAGGACGAGATGGAATTCCCAGTTCTGCCACTTGTTTTGCATGTCCAGCATCAGTGTTTAACATCCTTCTGGCGTGGTCACCCCAGCTGAAAGCACAGGTCACTAATAACAGCCTCACTTGTCAAGGGAGCTAATGGCTAAATTGCTACTCTCCTCTTGGAGAGCCTGGATTAAAGAGAGTGAAGAATAACATTCCTCAGTGTCATGCGGCATCACCTTTACCAGGAGGTCTGGCGCTGCAGGCTGAAACCCTCTCACTGCAGCTCTCCCAGCTACTTGGAATGATTTCTAACTCCCCAAAGCCTCATAACGCTGTCTCAGGCAATCCTGGGGTAAGGAATGGGAGAGGAAGGAGGTACCTCCCCCTCAGGCTCCTTCCCAGCCAGACTCACCTCCTCTCCTGAAGCACTGAGGTGAAGATCTGTAGAAACTCCTCAATAAATGGCTGAATATTCTCACAGCTGCAGGAAACACAGCAGGGTGAACACTCAGAGCTAAGGCTGCCCCACTGCACAAGCTCCACGTTCTGCCTCACCGGCCAAACGAGTCACACTCACACACCAAGGCAAAACCCCAGTTAAAAACAAATTCCAGGCCACTTTTTGGCTTTCACGGGAGCAAAGGGTCAAATGGAAACAAGTCCCTCTTATGACTTCAGCAAACACTTCAGGCAGCTACACCTAAAGCTGTATCCCAGTCAGAATTACAGGACAGGCTTTACAAATAGTTTGATGCCTCAGACTTGCAGTGAGCAGACAAGGGTGTGTAGTGCCTTTGTAATTGTGCCTTTATTACATGCCTTGGCATTACACCAGCGAGCCTCCCAGGAAGTGTGTGCTCCCCTGTGCCCAGCAAACTCCCACTGCACCCCTGGCCACAGTGCCCAAACCTCCCCAGTTCCACTCCCTGCCATGGGCAGGGACACCTCCCACCAGCCCAGGCTGCTCCAGCCTAGCCTTGGACACTTCCAGGGATCCAGGGGCAGCCACAGCTTCTCTGGACAACCTGTGCCAGGGCCTGCCCACCCTCCCAGGGAAGGATTCCTTCCCAGTATCCCATCTAACCCTGCCCTCCTTGAGCTTAGAGCCATTCCCCTTAATTCCTCTGAAGTATTTGTAGTCCTCACAGCTGAGGGGTCTGAACATGTTACTCTGGTTTGTTGATACTCTCAGTATTCCAGTGGGTACTGAAAGCCAATCCCAGGGAAGCAGGGGAAATGTAAGGCTGCTGCTGCTCCTTGAAGGATTGGATTTACAGCACAGACAGACTGAGGGATAAAGTCCAGGTCACAGAGGAAGTGCAGGAAGCAAATCCAATCCCATAAGGAATCGTGGTGTGATTCCTGGGGGTGTCCCGTGCAGGGCCAGGAGTTGGCCTCAGTGGGTCACTTCCAGCTCAGGATATTCTGTGATTCCATGAATTCCACAAAGAAACTGCTCATCTTGGGCAGTTCCACTGCTATCAAAGCAGGGGAAACATCCAAGCAGAGCAAGAGTCCCAGAGCCCAGAAACCTCCACCAGCTTCAGCAGCACAGGTGAAGAGAGGCCAGCCCAAGGGAGCACTGGCCTGGCAGTTGGGATCCAGGTTCTTGGCTCTGTCCCCAGTGTACAATTTGGGGTCATTTCATTTCTTTTCTCTGCTTTAAAATTGGGATAGTTTATACTTGCCTTCCTTTTGAGATTACTCAGGGCTATCAGTTCACAATTTTCCCAACAGGAGTGGGGAAGAACTAGATAAAGGCAGAACTAGATAAATATCCAGGTTTAAAATGAGTGTTTTCAGTGATCTCTAACTCTGCACCACTTCTGTGGGGTCTCAGCCAAGGTGTCTACACTCACAATTAGAATTTGCATAAACTGAGGTTGGAAAGCTCCTTGGCCCACAGCTCACCACAGAGATTCTGGACCAAACAGCTTCATCTGGAACATTCCTGATACACAGGACAAGAGAATTCTGATCTCAGCCAAGTCTTTGGCTGCAGCCCCGAGACAAACAGCAGTATCTGCTCATTTTCTCCAATAAACTTGTAAATGAGTTCTCCCCCCCCAGCAATCAAATACCTGGCGAGGAGCACAGAGCCAAGTGCCAGTACCTGCTCTCCAAGATGGGCTGCAGACAGACTTGGTTTATCAGGATGTGAAAAGCTTCTATCATCTTCTTCCTGGAATGCGAAATCCTCCTCCACAAATCAGCAAAAACGCTTCAGAGAGAGCAAAAGACACTGTTGGTGGCAGCACAAGAACCTGTAACACACCTGCATGCCAGAGTTAACCTTCTAAAAGAGGGATTTCATTAGCAGAATCATTTCCTGGCTGCAAAGACCAGAGACTGGAGCCAGTTCACAGCCATTAAGGAAAATCCACGCTCTAAACAAAGCTCCTCTCAACCCCCAGCTGTCCTGACAGCTCCACACAGGATACCCCCAGAGTACCAGCACAGCCTGTGCCTTCTCATGAGACCCAGCTGTACACAGACATATCATCCCTGTTCTCACACTTGGTTACAATCTGAATGCACCTCCCATCAAATTCCTCCTTACACAGCACTCAAAGAAACGATTAGTCACCCCACTGCCCAGGAAAATGTGGAATTACAAGTGTCATCTCTTCAGAGCTCTTCGAGGCAGCATAAAAAGGGACAGAAAGACTCCCCAGGGGTGGGTAAAGCAGCATGAAGTGAATTTTTAACTCAGCCCTGGGAAGCCTCTCTGAAAAGCCAAGGCCAACCCTTGCAGTCATTCTCACCTGTTATCCTCATAACGCCTCTTCTTGATTGCAGATTCCAGCTCAGGAATTGCCAGTTCATAAAAGGAAGCTAACCTGTGGAAAGGGGGAACAAACCAGTAACTAACTGTCAGCTGAGGTTCCAAAAACCATTTACCAAAAGACAAATCAAGTGGCTGGTTTCATTAAACCCTCCTCAGCAGCAGTACTCCTTAGCATCACCCATTTTGTTATTTTTTCCCCCAAAACACAGGAATATACACGAGAAAGAGCAGCACTGGAAGGAAATCACACTCAGGAAACCACTGAGGTGCCTTTGAAGAGGTAGGAAAGAAATGCATTTGAAAAGCACCCTAGTACTTATCAGAACCATCTGCCCAACCCCAAAACATCCCCAACACAGACACAGAACCACAGGATTGCTCAGGCTGGAAATGCCCTCTGAGACCATCGAGTCCAACCATCCCCCAGCACTGCCAAGGCCACCACTGACCCTGTCCCCAAGTGCCACATCCACAGGGCTTTTAAATCCCCCAGGGATGGGGACTCCACCCCTGCCCTGGGCAGCTGTGCCAGGGCTGGACAGACCTTTCCATGAAGGAATTATCCCTGATATCCAACCTGACCCTCTCCTGGTACAGCTGGAGACCGTTCCCTCTCCTCCTGTCCCTGTTCCATGGGAGCAGAGCCCAATCCCCCCCGGCTCCCCCCTCCTGTCAGGGAGTTGCAGAGCCAGAAGGTCCCCCCTGAGCCTCCTTTTCTCCAGGCTGAGCCCCCCCAGCTCCCTCAGCCGCTCCTGCTGCTCCAGCCCCTTCCCAGCTCCGTTCCCTTCCCTGCACACGCTCCAGCCCCTCAGTGTCGTGAGGGGCCCAAAACTTAACCCAGTTTGAGTCCACCCTGAAACACCCCCTCCAACATCCTCCTGGCCCTCGTGCTCTGTGCCAAGCACTGCACAAGAAGTGGGACATGATTTCCAACCAAGCTTCACTGGCCTTGCTGTTCAGCTCTGCTCCAGGTGGGCATTCAGCTGAAGGTGTCCCTCATCCCAAGAGGATGTTCCAGTGGGATGGGGCAGGGAGGAACCAGAGCAAGTTTGGCTCAGTTTCCGTTCCAAGCAGCGCACACAGACCCTTCCCTTCAGGGACAGGGCACCAAGAGACCTGGAGAGGTGCCCTCCCAGATCACAGCCAGCACTGCTGCACCAGCAGGGAGATGGTAACGCTTCCCAGCACTCTGCAGGAAGGGCTGGCTGGACTCCACCAGGAACATTCTGTCCACATCCCTCATTAAGAGCCAAGCATGCTAAATGAGTGTCCTTGAGGCAAATGTAGCAGAGCTGGTCGATACTTTTTCGTGGGGGAGAGGACTCAGCAAGTGCCAGCAGATTGGCTGAGCTCAGAGGTCCCAGAGGACACAGATCAGTCTTTCCTCTGCACATTCCCAAGTCCCAGCCATTTGGCCATACTGAGGATGAAAATGTTGTCTCACTGTACAGAGATGGAGACTCTGCACATCTCTGACATCAACAGGAGAATGAAAAGCCAAAGGTTTCCCCTCTGAGTGCCCAGGCATGGAAGCAGTGCTGTTTGCCAGCCCAAAGAGCCACCAGCAGCCCAGCATCCTGCTCTCCTTCCAAAATCCAACTTGGACACCAGACCCGAGGAGGACAGAGAGCAGGTCACTCAGCCTGTGCCCCCTAAAGGCTTCAGAGCTCTGCAACTCGACTGCAAGCAAAAGTGAGATGCAAACCTGTGTTTGCTCACACTGAGCAAACAAACCAGGGGAAATAAGGACAGTAAATTAACACTTCCCTCAGTCCTAAACAATGGGTGGTGAAGGCAAGACCCTACAAGGTGACGTGGGGGCTTAAACCACCTGGAGCACTGTGGGAAGGTGCCACTCAAGGAGCTGCAGCCTCTGTGGGGATAGGCTGTGCTGTCTGGACCTGGGGCCCATCCTGACTCATCCCCACTGTGCTCTAGAGCTGCCCAGGGAATCAGTGCCAGCCCTGCTGTGACAGGGCTGCTGCCTTGTCACCCTCTCCCAGGCACTCAGCTTTTGCCTGACCTCAGTAACACTCTCTACCATAAGACTTGGGCGTAATATCAAACAAACCCACTTGTTTTCAGCCCTATGAAACACTTCCTGCTTCCCTTGCTTGGATCCTCCAGCAGGAAGATCTTTACGTCCATAACTCGTCCCTCTGCACCCTTTGCAGAGCACACCAAGCGCTGTCCTGCTGGGTTTCGAAGCCGTCGTGGATGCCTGGCCCCAGGATCCCTCACAGTGCTGAAGGTGAATGCACAACAGCAAATGTAGACATCCTTACCCACTTATTTATTCTGCTGCATTCCTGTCTGTATGTAAAACCCAGCAGCCCCTGCATTAAATCTGTCTTTTTTTAACGAGGGAGGGACTGGGACAGGACACAGCAGCACATTCAGTGTTTTCACTCTGCCCGCAGAGCAGGACTTACCTGTAACAAAACTCGTGCTTTTGGAAGGTCTGGCAAGCCAAGGGGAACACATCAAGAAAGGCCCAGAGTGTTGTGCAGGTGTCACATAAATACAGCACGATGTCCTTCAGCTCCTGAGGGGGAAAGAACAATTGCTGAGGGAAGAGCCAGGCAAGTTCTCCCAGGAACACCAACAGGGATGCTGCATGTTCAGGCCAGCCCTTTTCCTGACTGCAGAGTCTAAACTATAAACTTGTTAAAGGGTCTGGGAGCAGAGAAAACATCTCTCCTTCAGCCTCCTAGACTCCTTCAAACTCCTAAACCCTTCAAAGATCCCTAATGCAATCCCATCTGCTTGCTTTCATTAAAGATCCTGTGAAATTACAGGGATTCTCATCAGATCCTGTTCTGGACAGTGGCTTTGTCCTCAAAATACCCTCCACACATGGAACCCTTCTCCATATAGCTGGAAGCACTGCATGGGAAACAGAGACACAGGAATCAAAGGGGTGATTTCAGCAGCCTGGTCCAGTGCAAGGTGCTTTTCCAGGGCAGCTGAAACAACCCCCCACACACACAAACTGAATGACTAAGATTTTGCAGACCACTCTCACTGACAGGGGCCCGTCCTTGTACAGCCCCCAGCACCCAAAACCCCTCTGAATTAACTACAGCTAAAGTACACTGTGGTTAAACACACATTCCTGAAGGAAAAAAACCCAGCTCTGACCCCTGCCAGGGTGAGGGGGACACTTCTGTCAGACATTCTGCTCCATCATTTATGAGCCAGTTAAGCAGAAAGGGTTCCAAAGTTTCAAACCCCCCCATCCTTTCCCAGGGATGTGGGTGACATGGACACGGGCAAAGCAACCAGCTCAGGGTGGGAAGGTTTGATCACCACGTCCCGTGACAGTGAAACAGCGACGGGGAACCACGTGCTGTGTGAGCCACCAGTTTTGGGGAACAGGATCTGGGAATCAAACAGAATTTGGGAACAGGTCTCCCTGTTGAGGCTGCAGGAGCACAGGGGCACAGCCCAGGCAGGGGTAGCCCTACCTGCAGGGGCATGTTCCCCGCAGTCACACTGACTTTCTCTTCCAACTTCTGGGGCTCAGCAGAGGCTCCTTCACACCGCAAACCACACTTGTGCAAGATGTTGTTAAACACCTAAACCAAGAGAACAGGGCAGTGTTAACACAAACAAGGCACGCTTTCCCCTGGGAACAGTCACTGCCCATCCCAAATGCAGCTTGGGACTGTTTCTGTGATCCCTCCTCTTTGTGAGCTATTCCCAAAGCCCCCCTGCCCTCCTCCCTGAGGCTGGCAGGGCAGATTTTGGGGTTCTTGGTGATAAACAGAGGTTCTGGGGAGGAGCTGCCAGCTGCAATGGTTACCAAAACCTCCCTTCTGCAAACTGTTCTGATATGGCAGAGCACAAAAGGCAAATGAAATCTCTGCTGCCCTCCCCAGTAATTCATTTGGAGGTTTGGTCTTGTTTCCCACGATATTTTTAAAGTGTGGTATCCCCTCTGAGATTTACCTCTAACAGTTTCTTAACACATGGAAAAAAAAGAACAGTGTGGGTTTCCAAAAAGTCAAGCGACATCATAGGTGTCTTGGGGTAAATGATACAGAATTGTGGAATCATGGAATAGTTTGAGTGGGAAGGCACCTCAAAAATCATGTGGTTCTGCTCCCTGCTGTGGGCAGGGACACCTTCCACCAGCCCAGGTTGCTCCAAGCCATGTCCAACCTGGCCTTGGACACTTCCAGGGATTCAGGGGCAGCCACAGCTTCTCTGGGCAACCTGGGTCAGGGCCTCTCCACCCTCACACCCAGGAATTCCTTCCCAGTATCCCATCTCTCCCTGCCCTCTGGCAGTGGGAAGCTATTCCTGTCAGCTTTTGCACGGCCACAGAGCATCCCTTGCACCAGATCCTCCCTTACTCCTGAACCTGTAGTGCTATCCCCATCCCTCTCCACTGTGTCCAACTACCTCTCATGGTTTCTATTGATTGAAGTTTAATTCTTCCCCTGAACTGCCCAGTGAAAACTCCTTGAGATTCACTGCAGGGAAGGCCAGAAGCTGAGGGAAAGTGATGGGAGAGTCACCCAGTAATGGTTTTAGACAAAGGCTCAAAACCTCCCTGAGACACATTAACATAAACCAGGGAAACGGAGCAATAGCAAAATCAAGGGAGGGGCAGGTTGGATCTCAGGGCAAGGTTCTTCCCCCAGAGGGTGGTTGGCACTGAACAGGCTCCCCAGGGCAGTGGGCACAGCCCCAAGGCTGCCAGAGCTGCAGGAGGGTTTGGACAACGCTCTGAGGGACAGGGTGGGATTGTTGGGGTGTCTGTGCAGGGCCAGGGGTTGGACTGGATGATCCTTGGGTGTCCCTTCCCACTCAGAGTATTCCAGGATTCTGTGAACTGCCTGCCTGCCTACAATTGTTCCCTTCCACTCTCCAAGCCTGGCCACAGTTCCAGAGGAAATCCCAGCAGGAAAGCAGTACCTGGAGGACAGTGGGCAGAGTCTCATCCAGGTCACCAAAGTAACTTGGCTGCTGAGTGAAGATATTTTCTGAAAAGGGAAAGGAGACCATTTCCATCAGGTCAGGCACTGACACCAACCAGCAAATTGACACCAGGAAGTTGTACCTGGGACACTGGACCTGGGACATTACTGACACCCCCAGACACAGCCCATGGCCACACAGGACATGGGTCCAGCTCAATCTCCAGCCCAAGCACAGGCCCTGCTCCCAAAGAGCTGCTCCATCAGCTCCCAGTGCCACTGGAGATGCAGCAGTGGGAATATGCTCCTGAGAGCAGAGCACACGAGGTGCCAGGTGATTCACGCTCCAGGGGCTGGATCGATGAATAATGCAAATACTATCACTGAACGTCCCCAGTTCCTTTATTTGACAACTGGAGTTGACTTTTAATTACTGATAACAGTTCAGCACACACTGGAAAATGTGCTGCAGAATATTTCTTAAAGGTAATGAGGCTTTAGTAACACCTGCTATTACATTACTAGGGCTCCATTATCTTTACAAAATACTCCACTGAGTAATGCCGTGCCATAAATCCTCACTAAGCACTGAGGCTCCTATTTTCCTGGGAATTACTGCTCAGACAATGAAAATTAAGAGTTCTCCAGCAAGGACAGAGCTTGGGCAAGAGTTATGAGTCGAGTTTCAGCAAAATTTAAACCCTGAGAAGAACCTGAAGTTTATGAAGGTGTGAATTACACCCCAGAACTGCTCGTGCCATCATTGTCACAACATAATGAAATAACCAGGTGGGCAAATCCTTGGCCACCTGTGTGCAGAATTATTGTGTGCCACTCCAGAGCATAATTCAAAGGAGGTTTCATACACTCAGGTCTTCTTTGGAATATTTTAAACCCCAGATAATCTAAGCTTCACATCTCAAAGAGATCCATCTATCTTGTCAAGCCTTTCTTCCCACCTCTGAGGCTCAAGAGAGGAATTTAGAGTAGAAGTTACTGAAAAAAAAAAAAAAAAAAGGATAAGGGGATTAAAAATGCAAAGGTTTATCTCAGCTTTTCTGGCTGGAAATCTGCCTGCATCACATGAGCTCTAACACTTGTCTTGTTAGTGAGCTTGGAAATGAGACAAAAATAGCTACCAAAGAAAGGGGAAAGTTTCATCCCATGAGCTTCATTCAAAGTGGGCGAGTGTTTGCTAAGAAGAGCTCACTTAATCCAAGCCTGGATACTCTTCCAGCTGTGCTCAGGTGATCTTAAAGATCACAGGCAGTTCCCTCGTGAAGGGAGCTCAGGATAAACACAGAAGTTAAGTCAATGTGCTCCATCTTCATCCCTCAGGTTCTGGCACCCTCGGCTGAGCCGTTCCTTGCTGTCCCTGCCACCCAGGCACGCAGAGAAACCCAGGGAGAAGCACAGCTTGAGCAACACTCTGAAGTGTCTGTGGTTTGGAGGCACTGAATACATCAATATCTGCTTTGAAGACTGGAGTCCTCCCCCTGCACAGAGCAGTGGTTGCCTCACGCTGAGCGTTTCGCTTGGCTCCCAGCTCTGGGAACAGAAGCACTCACAGGAGCAGTTGGACTGTGCCCCATCTCCCAACCTCCTCTCTCTTTGCCCAGGAGCTGTTTGCTCCTTCCCATCCCTTCCAGGATTTCTCAGAGCCCCCACATTCTGCTCACAATGGCATGGAAAGGACTGAGCCTTGGTTCGAGCCTAAGAGCAAGAGCCCAGCTCGGGGCAGCAAGGCATGACATGACATTTCCTTGGCATAAATGAAGTGCACAGGAATAAAGAAAAGCACGGTCTGATCTAGAAATGATACATTCTGGTTGCTGCTGAACAATTAATTTTCAGAGTATAAAACCCCACTTGTCATTCAAGTAAGGAAAAGCGTAAGTGCAACAAGTTGTTCCTTGGCTTTAACTGACCAATCATCTTCTGGAGCAGGAGGCCATTTCCTTTCCCAAAAAGCACACAGAGGTCCAGAATCTTAGGGATGTCAAACAGGAAGTTGTTGTAAATGATTTCTCCAAAGACAGAGGGAGTGATAAAATGATCCTACAAAATAAAAAAAAAAACAACACAGAATTTAAAGGATAATCCACACCTTGCTCTGAGGTAACTCCAGCACTACAATGACACCTGTAAAAACCTCTGCTTGAAACAGCTCCTGTGGAGACATCCACTCCCACATTCCCAGCTGCCTGCCACTGCCACTGATTTCTTCACCATGAAGTGAATCAATCCACCCAAAAGTTACACCAGAAATGCCCCTGCAGTTCATGAGTCCCCAGCCTGGGGACAAACAGCTGAGCTGGCACAGAACAGCTCAGGAGCAGCAATGAGTGACCAGGCACAGGCACAGCCTCACTGGCACTCACAGAACACACCCAGGTCACAGCCTGAGGTTTTTGGACCCTGAAAGAGCAGAATTTGAGCACCAGAGATCACAGGATCAGCAACAAGCTCGAAGAAAGGCCCAGGAGCTGCAGCTCTGTACCCTGACTGCTGAACACTGTGCCAAAAACTCGTCACACTGAGGGAATTTCTTCCAAAATTCTAGATGAAAGAAAGGTCTGACGCTGAGAAACAAACATCTGAAACGGGATTTTGGATTTCCAGAAGCCCAATTTGCCCCTGAGAGAGAATGTTTTCAGTTCTGGTGAAAGGCAGGGCACATTCTCCCTGCTGAAGCAGAGGGACAGGTCCAGTTTCCAGAACTCCTGTGAGACAACAGACCATTCATTCCCCTCAGATCACTCAGCTATAAAATGGTTTCAGATGCTTGCCTGCCTCTTGGAGAGGTGAGATTTAATCAGACCCTGGAATGAAAGACCCCACAGAGGTGTTGAGTGCCTCTGCTGAAGTGGTGCCAGTGGCTGGATCCAGCATTCCCTCTACCTGCTCCTGTCCCAGTCCTCCAGCTCCCACCACGAGCCCTTTCCTAAATAATGTATCCCCACATAACACATCCTGGAGCAATGAGGAGATCAGGGGAGTAGTTGCTGAAACACAAGGTGCCTCATCCGTCCTGCCCGAAGGCCTGGAGAAAATTCCACAGCTCCTGATGGGAGCTGCACTCACACCATTAGTGTTGAGTATGTCTTTAATGATAGAATCATGGAATGGTTTGGGTGGGAAGGGACCTTAAAGCTCATCCCATCCCATCCCCTGCCATGGGCAGGGACACCTTCTACCAGTCCAGGTTGCTCCAAGCCCCATCCAACCTGGCCTTGGACACTTCCAGGGATCCAGGGGCAGCCACAGCTTCTCTGGGCAACCTGGGCCAGGGCCTCCTCATCCTCACAGCCAGGAATTCCTTCCCAGTCTCCCATCTATCCCTGCCCTCTGGCAGTGGGAAGCCATTCCCTGTGTCCTGTCCCTCCATCCCTTGTCTCCAGTCCCTCTCCAGCTCTCCTGGAGCATTTTTAGGCCCTGCAAGGGGCTCTCAGGTCTCCCTGGAGCCTTCTCTTCTCCAGGCCAAATGCCTGATGATGCCAAGAAAACAGGAACTCAGAGTAATTTCACTGTGTGTCCAAAACTTGGGAAGGTTCAGGACAGACAGGTATGGGCACAGATGATGTGACACCCAGGGAGTGAACACGCAGGAACCTGTTCCATGTGGCCACACCGAGGCCAACTCGATGCTTCTCCTCTTACCACGACCTATCCCACCACCACACATGGATAACTACCACTCAGGAAGGAGATCCAGGCAATCAGCTAAGGAATCACTGCACAGTTTAGACACTTCAGCTCTGAGTGTTGCCACCTTCACACGGAAAATCAGACCGATAAAAACGCCACCGGCCACGCGAGGACGAAACAGGATTCCTTTCTCTGATTCCCTTTTTCCCCAAGCTACACAGCCCTGGGAGGCAAAGCAGCATTCACCTTGGACTCCTTGTGGGTGGACATCCTGAGGAAGGTGAGGAAGACGCTGCGATGGAGGGATTTCTGCACGTCTTCCACCTCTGGCTGGCAATGCCACACCCCATCGAACCTGCGGGGGGCACGGCACAGGTAGGAGTCCAAACACTTCTGCAGGGTCTCATCAAAGATCACCTGGCACAAGGAGAGACAAGGGAATCTCACACGTTCGTAGGTTGAGCTCACGAGCAGCTCAGTTAAGTTTAAAAACAATCCAAAAAAAACACTTTAAAAAGTGCTAAAAGGATTCCCATCAAATACAAGCAAACCCTTAAAATCCACGATGGAAAATCCACGGGGAAATACTTTCTTTGCACTCCAAGGCGCAGTAATTGAAATGAAGGCGCTTTCCAAGTGACACAACGAGCACAACCAAATCTCTATGGAAACGATTTCAAGCTCAAGGCTTTTACAACAGGCACCTTCACGTTCATGCTTTGCCTTCAGCGTCCACCAAACAACGATTACCTGGCACCAAAATTTGTCATGAGGCAACGCCAGAAGCCAGTTGAGGTCATCTGCAATGAACTTGGCTCGCTCCAGGAACTCCTCCAGCAGAGCAGGGTCCCTGATGGCAGGAGGGGGTTTGTACAGCACAAACGACCGATCTGCCTTGACTTCTGGGTGCTGCAGAAAGCAAAGACACGGAATTAAATCCCCAGAGCAGGCCACGGGAACACCCAGTTACCACCTGCACTGCTCGGGGAATCCCAGGAAACACAAAGCTACATTTTAATGCAGTTTGAGGTCATGGAATCATGGAATAGTGTGGCTGGGGAGGGACCTTAAAGCCCATCCAGTTCCACCTTCCACTAGCCCAGGTTGCTCCAAGCCCTGTCCAACCCAGCCTTGGACACTTCCAGGGATCCAGGGGCAGCCACAGCTTCTCTGGGCAACCTGTGCCAGGGCCTCCCCACCCTCACAGGGAAGGATTTCTCCCCAGTATCTGACCTAAGTCTTTCAGTTTGAGCCCATTACTCCTTGTGCCATCCCCACAGTTCCTGATGACAGGAACATTCAGTTCCCTGGTGACTTCCCATTTTTTAACCCTTCAAGGCAGTGGGGTTTGTATCTTGATTTACCAGCAGTATTTCCAGACCTTGATAATTTGTCTTGTTGCTCCCTGCTTTCTATTAACCAAAGCCTTGCAGAGCAATCCTCCCACACCTTCAGAACAAGCAGCAGGAGCTTAATGTCAAGCCTTTGAACTCTCTCTTTTTCCTCTGAACTGGTTCTTGCACAATATTTCATGAACTCAAACTGACACAACCACCAAATACAGAAAGAAACACTTTCCTTCCCAGGGTTACTGAGCAGGCTTTGCCCAGATCCTCCCATCTTAGAAGGACAATTACAGCGAGCAGCAGCTCCAAGCTCTGCCTCATCCCACGGGTGTGCTCAGGGTGGAGCAGCACCCATGGTCCCACTCCTGCAACACCCCCAGAAGGTTCTCTTCAGGCCTTATTTCTGGGAGAAATGGGTTACTGTGGGTTTAATGTTTTGATTTCATCCACCTGAAGGCAGAGGGTGGGAGATCATGAGTGGACTGATCCCAGAGCTGCAGCCCAGAGCTAAACTTGAGGCAGGGCTTTCAAAACCTCCTCGAGCATCTCTATTGCAGCAGAGGTCACATCACCAATCAGCTAACAATTCTGTCCCTCAAAAGAGCAGATCTGGGAAAACACAGTTTACCACAGGTGTTGAACAGAGTAAGTTTGGGTTTTGTGTTTTGTTTTGTTTGGTTGGTTTTTATGGTGGGTAAATGAAATTTCAGTTATCTGATTGCATTTAAAAAAAAAAAAAAAGATTTATTTAACAGACAAGCTGAGCAAATTTCATCCTACCCGAGACCAAGGGGTGGTTTTGCCGGAGTCTCAACACAAGGCAATTATTTATTCAAGTCCTTGTTTGCCTTTCAGGAAAAGCAGAGCTCACCAGTGCTGGTAAAGTTCTCAGCTTCCCTGTCTTGGGATCCCTTTCTGTCAGCTGGAGCTCATCCAGAGGCAGTGCTGGCATCCTGAGGGCTTGGTCCTGTCCCCAGCAAACAAAAGCAGCACAGGAGGCACAAGGTCAGTCAGGTAAAAGCACAACAAAAGAAGCTGCAGCCTGGCTCTAACACACACACACACACCCCCGTGGCTGGAAACAGAGTTCTGCAAAGCAATTTACACCCAGCAATTGATAGCCCACCAAAAGGCCAAGTCCTGAGGGAACACCCAGGACTCCTGAGGGAATCCCAGGAGAAACCTGGTGCTGTACTTTCATCCCTGTTCCTTACTGGGAGAGCACAGGGACCTTCCAGGACAACAAGAAGCATTTGGGGACACGGCTCAATATGGAAACTGCAGATTTAAATGTGGGTGCTGGAGGAACTCTCTGCCTTTGCAGCTTCTTTTAACACTTGCAGTCCATCTCCTGACAGCACAACCTGCAGAGGGAATCCAAACACAGCCTGCATGGGCTGTTCAAAGAGTATTTTTGGTGTTTGTGAGGCAGAGTCACTCAGCACTCACCCAGACAAGGCACCCAGGCTGAGCCTACACACAGCATTCCCTGCCCCTGCCAATTCCCACGTGCTCCCAAACCCGTGGCTTCATCTCCCACAGCCTTTGAGGGCTCAGAAATGTTTCAACTGGATTTTCAGAAATTAGCTGGAAGTCAAATATTAGAGTAACTCAAGAGAAGGTATGTTAAAAAAGTTCAGACATAACCTGCAACTTTCATATTTTGTGTTTAGTTTCTTGTGGGGGGGGGTTAGAACTGAGTTCTGCAAAATGATACTAAAAAGTTCTGCTCTTGTTAAGGCCTAAGGTCACACATCTCATATTGACAATTAATGCAGCCACACTGATTGGGCAGAATATCAATTAAAACAAGAGAAGGGTCCATACAGCTCAACAGTTGATTCAGGATCATGGTCACAGTTTAGACACTGAGTGAGAGAGGGACACTTTTCATTCCAATTTTTTTAAGATACAAATTTTCTTTGGGGAAAAACAACACCAAAACTTTTCAGCAGAATAAGCCGAGCTGGTTTTCAGTTCTGGTCATGTATTTAATTTGGCACTTGACTTTCCTAGAGTCATTCCGAGAACTGCACGTAGAAGGGTGTGTTTGCAACAAGGAAAAACATGCCAAGTGTCTCATTGCCAGCCTGCCAGGCATCCAAATGTCCAGTCCAAGTCAAAAACATCTTGGAAGAGACAGACCCCTGGCCAAAAGCTTATTAAGCTGGAGAACAGAAGAAACCTGAGTATGAAATATCCTCAACACAGAGAACCATTCCTGATCACCCTCATAAAGCTGTTCCCCACTCAAGAACTCTGGTCTGAACTATAAGCCCACGATTACTCCGCTGTGCCCTGTGATTTCAGGCACAGTGGAAAAGCCAAACAGCCCTGACAAAGAACACAGTGAACCCAACTTTTGCCAGGGACACTTATGCTCCCAGTGCCAGAGGCGTTCTTCTCTGTCCTGCACTCCCTCAAGGTGCACAGACGTGGGGACACCCAGGGTGAGGTGACACCGCTGGGGCTGCAGGAGCCACTGTGGCACAGCTGGCAGAGGGCACTGCTGGGGCTCGTCATGGATTCATGGAGTGGTTTGGGTGCAAAGGGACCTTAAAGCCCATTTTGTTTCACCCCGTGCCTGGACAGGGACACCTCCCACTGTCCAAGGTTGCTCCAACCTGGCCTTGGACACTTCCAAGGATCCAGGGGCAGCCACAGCTTCTCTGGGAAACCTGGGCCAGGACCTCACCACCCTCACGGCCAACAATTTCTTCCCAATCTCCCATCTATCCCTGCCCTCTGGCAGTGGGAAGCCATTCCCTGTGTCCTGTCCCTCCATGCCTTGTCCCCAGTCCCTCTCCAGCTCTCCTGGAGCCCCTTTAGGCCCTGCAAGGGGCTCTCAGGTCTCCCTGGAGCCTTCTCTCCTCCAGGTGAACCCCCCCAGCTCTCCCATGTCCCAGACACCGCCAGTTCACCCCAGCCCTGCCGCCCCCGCCGTCCTGGGCCATGTCCCTCTGTCCCGGGCCCTGTCGCGCCGGGCCCTGTCCCGCGTGCCCGGACAGTGCCACCAACCCCCGCCGTACCCGCCACAGCCGCCCGAGCCCGGCACCGGCACGCGGGTCCAGCAGTGTCCCTGTCCCGGCACCGGCACACGGGACATCCCAGCCCCGGTCCCTGTCCCAGCCCCGGTACCGGCACACGGGTCCCGCAGTGTCCCAGTCCCTCGGTGTCCCGGTACCGGCACTGTTCCCGTGGCGCTTCCGCGGCCGAGCGGCTCTTCCGGCAGCGGGCGGAACTCCCCGGGCTGGGCGGGCACCGAGGCAGCCCCGCCCCGGCCGAGGGACCGGCCCGGCACCGGGGGAGGGAGCGGGGAGAGGGCCCGGGGTGCAGCCGGGGCAGGAGCTGGGGTTGGGTCCGGGGCTGGATCCGGGGGACAGGAGCCGGGATCGGGCCCGGCGTGGATCCCAGGGACGGAGCCGGGATCGGGCCCGGCGTGGATCCCGAGGGACGGGAGCCGGGATCGGGCCCGGCGTGGATCCCGAGGGACGGGAGCCGGGATCGGGCCCGGCGTGGATCCCAAGGGACGGGAGCCGGGATCGTGCTGCCTGCACCAAACGGGCGGGTTCAGCCCCAAAGCGGGCCGGCTGCCGCCGCGGGGCCGGGGCAGTGACAGCCCGTGACTTGTGTTGGGATGGGAAGGAGCCTCTGGCTGTCCTCCTTTGGAGGCAAACCAGCTAGTCCAACAAATCACCTTTGTAAAGAAGGAAGCCCCGATATCTCAGCTGCACTGCCCCGTCCGGGGTCACGGGCATGGGAAGGGGTTCTGCGGGGACAGGGACCCGTCCCAGCCGGGGACCCCCGCAGCCCCTCCCCTGTTCCTGGTGCTCCTCAGGGCGGTGTCTGTGCCTTACAGCCGGACACTGCAGGACAAGGGCAATTCCTGTCAGATCATCCGGGCACAGGTTATATCAGTTACACGGCACTGGAACTCCAGGAACCGGGAGCTTCCCAGCCTGTGGGATGGCACAGGCACATCCTGCCGTCACTAATCTGTGCTCCGAAGGGTCCTAGCTCTCCCCCGTGATCACAGGGAACTCCTCCTAAACTTCGAGTCCAGCTTTACATGGCAAAGTGGCCTAAAATAGAAACCACGCCATGCCGTGTGTCATGTGGCTGATTAGGGATGGGCTGGAAGGAGGTCCCGGCTCCCAATTCCCCGATCCTCGCGGATTCCGGGCAGCCGGGGCTGTGCCTCCCCGCTGTCCCGCGGTGTGTGCTGGCACCGGGGTGCCCGTGAGCCCGCGGGGGGAGCAGGGAGGGGGCTGCACACCGCGAGGGGTCCCTCAGCCCTGCCCCGGCCCCGTGTGCGAGTCCCACGGACAGCGCTCTGTTCCCTTCGCACCCGCTCGGGTGTCACCGATTCGCACTGCAAATGTCACAACGGGCCGTCTGGAACTTGCCATCTCCCCACTTCTGCTGCATCAGTAATTTTTATATGAAATATTCATTATTTCTCGAACATCGCTGCACCACTCAGGCCCCGGGACGGGAGCCCCGGCTGTGCGGAACAACCTGCCGGGACCAGCCCCCAGCGATGCTGTCGATCCAAGCTTTGCTCCGACTGCTTTGTGGAGGATAACGCTTGGAAACTGAAACATGATTCCCTTGCAGAGGCATCTGTTTGTCTCCCCTCCTGTGCCAGCCCTCCTCAGAGCAGTCCTGGTGCGATGCCAAGTGACTCAGTGGGCTTCGAATGTGTCATCGAGCTGTTTTGAGTCACTACTCCTCTTTTTGGGGTGTTTTTTATTACCTTACCAACTGCATAATCCCTATTTGATTTCCTGAAGCACCGTGAACTACTGGAGCCTCTGCCCAAAATATTGGGGATATTAATTCCTCATGTATAACCGAGTTAGGTAATTATAGGTAGACACATTATTTGTACAAATTTATCTGGCAAACAAAAAGTGCATCTGCTCAGCGTGTCAGAGACCTTTAACACTTCATGACAGCAGAAGTTAAATCTGAAATCTTAACAAAATCACGATTTTCTGATCCCAGTGTGCAGGGAAACTGCCAGCCTGCCTGCCCAGATAAGGCAAAGCATTAAAATCTGCACACTGGCTGCTGGCTCTGCTGAAAATCACTCCTTCAAGGTTTGATCCAGAGCCATCTGAAGTTACAGGGCAAGCAGGCATCGGATCAGATGCGAAGGGGAGAACTTATCCAGAAAAAAAACGAAAAAAAAAAGCTTTTGGAAAGGAGCTTTTATTGAAAGGAACCTTCTCCGGTGTGATTCATGGACAGGAGGAAGCTGCTCAGCACGGGATGTAACGGTGGGGGAGATCAGATGTCACCAGCCGAGGCCTGGGACGAGTGCCCTGGTTCTGTGGCAGCTCCACAGGGCTCCCCACTCCCAGACTGATAAGGCACAAAAGCAGCTTTTCCTTTTCAAGCAGCAACATAAAGCACCAAGAAGAGGAGTGAAACAGTGGGGTGACCCCAGGAATGTGCTGCTGGAGGTCACACTGATGTGTTTTCCTTGCCAGGCTGCCACGAGCGCTGCAATCCAGCATCCTGCATCCCCAACAGCACCGAGGCTTCCACAGCTCCTGCCTTTGCTCAGATTCTGCCCCAATGTCCCAAATGAGAGCGTGGGGTTGGATGGAGTATCTGCTTTGCTTCTGGGCAGTCACAAAGAGCTGTTTTCCTACTCCCACAGGAGCCCTGGTGGTTTCCAGGCTGAGGGACATTCCTTGCCACACACAAACCAGGGGAGGGACCCCTGCTGTCCCCTCTCCTGCTGCTCCAAAGGACATCACAGAGGGTTCAACACTCCTCACTCACGGGTCTGAGGGTGATGGGAACCCCGAAGGACCATCACTTCAGGGTGAAGTGAATAGAATAGAGTAAAATAGAGCAAAATGAAAGAGCTTTGAAATGGCCCGAGGAAAATGTCAGTGTTATCTAAAAGACTAAAAAAGACAGAACCATAGTACTAAATTGCAAAGTTGTAGAAATTGGCCATTAAGTGTTCAAAGCAGCTGAAATGCAATTACAGTAATAGCAATGAATCAGGAAAGCCTTGGGCTTTGCAATATTTCAATCCAGCTCTACTTTTTCTCTTTTTTTCCCCATTTTATCTTAATGATATACATTAGCTTATCAAGGACTAATGGAAGTTACAAACCTTGGAATCATAGAATGACAGAATCATTTAGGTTGGAAAAGACCTCCAAGTTTGACTGATCATCACCTTGTCAACCAGACCATGGCACTAAGCACAACATCCTGTTGTTTCTTGAACACCTCCAGGGATGGGGACTCCACCCCTGCCCTGGGCAGCTGTGCCAGGGCTGGACAGCCTTTCCATGAAGGAATTATCCCTGATATCCAACCTGCCCCTCCCCTGGCACAGCTGGAGGCCGTTCCCTCTGCTCCTGTCCCTGTTCCCTGGGAGCAGAGCCCGATCTTCCCGGCTTCCCTCTCCTGTCAGGGAGTTGCAGAGCCAGAAGGTTCCCCCTGAGCCTCCTTTTCTCCAGGCTGAGCCCCCCCAGCTCCCTCAGCCGCTCCTGCTGCTCCAGCCCCTTCCCAGCTCCATTCCCTTCCCTGCACACGCTCCAGCCCCTCAGTGTCTCTCCTGTCTGAAGGGCCCAGAAGTGCCCCCAGGGCTAGAGGTGCCCCAGCAGTGCCAGCACAAGGTAACAATCACACTTTCCACAGCCATAAAGACTGAGGTGTCAGCGTTAAACTATTGACCTGATGGATCCTACAATAATTTATTAACTATTTTTTGAATTTCCCATCATTCTCCAATTAACCCCTTCTAAGTCTATTTTCATCATGAAGTCTCATCGTAGAGTATTTCTTATTTCGGTCACTAATGAAAGCCACCAGAGATGGCTCAAGGTACTCCTCAGTTGACTCCCTGTGTGGCACTGGGGCTGTGCCAGGAGACTGCAGGTACAACCTGGGCAGGGGAACTGAGGAGTTGCTCAACTGTGGAGAGTTTAATGATGCAAGTTCCCGTGGGTGGGAACTCCCAGCACAGCCCTGAGCCAGTTACCAGCCTATGTCTACAGGAAAGAATTAGCACTGAAAGATATTCCGTTCGAATAATATCGTCTTCTAACGACACTTGAAGCAGATCTTCTGATCCGACAGCTGCCTGGCCTCTCTCTGCCTGCTGTTTCTCTAATTATCCAACCTCAGCAGGAAGGTTCTTAAGTGCTTATTAAGAAAAATAGATATGCTTTATTATGAAAAGCATTTTTTTCAGGTAGCTTTGTTGCAGCAGCACAGCACATGATCCAGGTTAAAGTTGTGTCAGTTGGCTTTTCCAAAGAAAAGGCAGGTTCAGCACATAATGCTTTCAACCTGTTATGTATTTTTAGCTCACGGGGTAAAAAATATCATGGGATGATTTGAGTGGGAAGGGACCTTAAAGCTCATCCCATTCCATCTTCTGCCATGGGCGGGGACACCTCCCACTAGCCCAGGTTGCTCCAAGCCCCATCCAAACCAGCCTTGGACACTTCCAAGGATCCAGGGGCAGCCACAGCTTCTCTGGGCAACCTGTGCCAGGACCTGCCCACCCTCACAGCCAACAATTCCTTCCCAATCTCCCATCTATCCCTGCCCTCTGGCAGTGGGAAGCCATTCCCTGTGTCCTGTCCCTCCATCCCTTGTCCCCAGTTCCTCTCCAGCTCTCCTGGAGCCTTTTTAGGCCCTGCAAGGGGCTCTCAAGTCCCTCTGGAGCCTTCTCTTCTCCAGGTGAACCCCCCCAGCTGTCCCAGCCTGGCTCCAGATGGGGAAATTATGAGTCCAACATGAATTCATATTCATCTAATAATTATCTCCTCTGGGTTATTAGCTTTTTTTAAGAAAACAATAGAAGCATCCACAAACCAAGACTTCCAGACACCCTTCCCACACTGCACTGAATACTGATGGCTTCAGCTTTTGCTTCCAGGTATAGAAATTCCTTGCACAAACAAGGTGTCATCCATCACCCACAGGGCAATGAACACGAGCAGCACTGTTATGTCCAATACAAATTCAGGAATGCAGAGCCCTCCTGCCTTTCCCAGCTGGACATAGTCTGGCTCTGGCTGATCCAGACAGAGCTGGGCTGACACATCCTTGCGGAGCCAGGCTCAGCCATCTGTGCTCCTACCTGCAACCACTGTCCCCAAAGCCATTTGCATATTTGCTCTTCCACTGAACTCGAAGTTCTGAGTCCCCCAAATCTTCGTTGTTTGGGTA